GAAGTGCGGCGTCTTGACCGATCCGTCAATACGAATTGGAACTCGAGCGGCGTGATATCCTCGAATGGTAAAGCTTTCAGTACTTTAACATCCGGAGGCAAAGACGGCTTACATTCCAGCTTAAATGAAGCCTTGCTTGATGAGTCCCTCCGTAATTTCAGACGCCCTTCGTCTACGTCAATCACAGCTCCGTAATGCGTTAGGAAATTGTTTCCTATGATGATCTTCGTAGTACTCGCCGGGTTAACATAGAATTTGGCCGGATATTGGATTATGTGGCCTGCTAGATCAGTGAGCGCGATGTTGAGGGTGACAAAGGAGGTGATGAATGAATTGCCTCCTATTCCATTCACTCTGATAGTCGAGCATGTCTGTAATCGAGTCGAAGGCGAATGTATCTTCAGAAATTCTTGGTCAATCATGCTAATTGACGAACCTGAGTCGATGCATCCCTTGAATACCCTGGATGTGTTCTGCCCTTCGATAGAAATTAGTACGAAGGCCGGTGTCTTGTCTTCGTAGGTAATGTCCATTGGATCCGAAGCGACAGTCATAGTTGCGTCCTGTGAATTCTCCAAAGCCGTCTGGTCAGCCTGAATTCCATTTTCGGAGTGTTCTGGACGCTCACTGCCCTTTGTGGCTGCGTCTGATGCAATGCGAGCCTTGTTAGGTCTTCGTGAACGAGTAAGCTTGTAGTTTGGATTGTTTGAGGACTGCTGGATGCGTGACAATTTTCGAGTGATCGGTTCAGCTTGTAGAACTTCTACACAGTCTGCAAAGTTAGAGGTAGCATAGTGCTCGCTTTCCTCGGAATCGTACTGGTTGTACACACCAACTGTGATATTATTCGAAGCTGTTTGAGTCGAACTATCCTCCGCATTGGTTGTAGTGACGTTCGCTCGGGCGGGATTGTTGCGACCTTGATTATTATTCCTGTAGTTATACTGAGGTCGCTGGTTACCACTGTATCTGTCGTTTCGTCGGAACGGATTAGAATTTCGATTATCATTGCGAGGACGATAATCTCTATTCTGACCTTGGTCTTGCCGCGTATTTACGCCTCTCGAATTCTGTACAGGCGTCGTGTTCCTGCTATCTTGTCCCTGGCTTCGATTCTGAGTGTTCTGAGACGATGGCGTGAATGATCTATCATTAGAATTTGAATTCGACGGTGTGTTCGACTGGTACCCCCCTCTGTAAAAGGGTCTCGGTCCCCGAGACTGGTTTGGGTTTCTTTCAGCATCGGTGCGTGGCTTGTAGGGACGCAAGTGACCGTATTGCGCGATGAGTCCGGGTTCTGCATCGATAACTAAACGCTTCCATTCAGTAATTGTCAAGTTCTTATTAAGAACTTGCCCGGTAGCCGTCTTGATGAGGGTTTGCATCGATTGAGGGATGCCGAGCATCATATCACTAATTAATCGTTGATCGTCAGCTCGTTCTCCTAATACATACCGTTGTAATGACCGTCGATCCGTGTAGTATTCGGCGAAGCTTTCATTGCGATACCACATTCGCTGGCGTAGCTCTTCCTCCTTGTGAGTTTCGAAGTTTGCTTTCCGGTATTCTGCACGAAGCGCATCTTGCCAGTCTTGCCAGGTAACTAAGCGGCTGCGTTCAGCGTAAGATAGTGTAGTGAGCCACTTACTAGCATCTCCTTTAAGCAACAGAGCTATTATTCGGAGCAGAGCATCATCATCAGCTCGAGCCAGATCCTTAATTGTACTTACTTGCTCGATCCAGCGGTCAATGTCTTCGTCCTTCCCTCCGAATTTGGGGAAATCATTAGGCTTGAGCTTGACGCGGCCATCGTCCAGACCAGTAATAAACGAAGCAGATGTCGGCATATTAGTTGCTGGAGTAACGAGAGCTTGTCCTCGCGGCGTGCTAGTCAAATACGGCGTGAATGGCATGAAGCTTGGTGTCGCGGAGTTCGGCTGTCGTGCCGGCTCGTCGGCACCGCTTCGCCGAGTCGTCGGCTGTGACAGCGGCGCTGTTTCCGTGTTGCCGATGGTGTCGGCACGGTGTGCCGGCTGATTCCCTAAGTTGGAGAATACTACGTGCGGTGAACTTCTATGGTGCTCCTCTTCTTCGCGCTGCGTTCTTTGTGTATCCGTCGGTACTGGCGGTTGACTGTGCTGTACTGTGCTGCTCTGGCTTTGTCTCTCAGTTTGGGAGGCTCGGATCTCGTCGATATCCTCGACTCTCGCGCAATTCTGCTGTAGATCTGCGAGAGCGTCTTTTACCTCCGACATTTCCTGACTGAGATGAGTCAGGCTTTCTCCGATGAAGCCGTTCATTTCAGCTTGATCGGCCCATCGTAGTGTTGCTTGGTCGGAGTCTTGGTCTCTCATGTCGCTCTGATGGTGTACTAACTGAGTCAATTGGTCAAGGTGAGTCGAAATTGTTGGAAGGATGCGAGTACAATCGCAGTGACAGTGCGTCTCGTTAACGCCGTAATATGTTCGCCCTATAGGATCTTCTACTTCTGCTATTGTAGAATCATCGGACGATGGTGTTTCGACGCGATGTATGTGCGGATCGCGTCGGGACTCTGATACATTCGAAATATTGCTTGCTCGGTGTATTGGTACGTCCTCTTGTGTTCTATGGGTATCCTGATGTTGCTGAATAGTCGTTAGGATCCTGCTAGCGTCCTCGCGCGCTTCGATCGTCGTGAGGATGTGTCTATCTTGTCGAATTCGCAGTTCCTCGAGTTTTTCTCGTATGTCTCTCATTTCTTTTTCCTGTGCCTCTGGTGCTGAGTGGTATATCGTCGTAGGTCTTGCCGGCTTCTTCAAAAGCTTTCCTACATCCTCAGTAAGTGAATCGATCTTCTTGCTCATTGTTTCCACCGCTGATTCGATCTTTTGATTCTTTTCGAAGATATCTACTATAATATTCCTTAGAATCATTGAGAATGCGTGATTCGAATCGCGTGAGTTGTCGGGATGTAAGAGTCGTTCCATCTCACGTCTTGGTACCCTCAGATACGAGTAATCCGGCGATGGTGGAGCTGTATCAGGCCGTTGAAGGGGCGGCAGACCCGGAGGTCTCAAAGGAGGATCGGTCAGGGGTATCGTTTCATTTAGAGGTGTCCCCGAGATATGTGGTTGATGTGATTGCGGCGCATCGTCCTCGCGATCTCGCGGCTCAGGTAAATCAAAGGATGCATTACGGCCATCCATACGGTTATCGGTATTCGACATGTCGTGGTGAGTACTTGAATAGTTGACTTGATGTCTTCGGATCGAATCTCCCTCGGGACAATTCGCCAAGTTATTGCGCAGGTAATTTCAGATCCCGATCGACTGAACCAAGGTGGTCACCAAGTGTAACGGTAGCAGTAGATAGATAGATATCTAATCTAATGGATTACCGATAAGATAATCTTAAGGTTCTTGATCAGTCGGCGAGGCCTTCAGTTCGAGTGAGACGGTAGTTGATTCAGTGAGTATTCAATCTATCTATAGATGCTTCATACAACGAAGCATACAATAGAATCAATCAATTACTATCTAAGATATACACGGGAGCTCCGAGAGCTCGAGAGGCGCGCTAAGCGCTTATCTTATACTTGCGAGTATGAGTCAGATGAGTCAGCGTACGCAGATGCGACGCTATCCTACGATAAGCTACGCTATTCGGGTGCGTTCTACACGATTCTACTTACTTCTACTCAGGCCTGTTACACGAAGCGTGGAGGCATGTTGGCGTGCCATGTATCCGCCTGCCGACAGACCGGCGACGGAGATTGCGTCCATGTCAATGGAGACACCCGGAGAGAGATGTGAAGACGCGGAGAGGGATCGATGGAAGGTCGACAACTTCCGCACGTCTGCAAGCTGGTCGTGCGAGGTGAAGGGGATCAGGGGGCGATAGTCCGCGGAGAGGATCAAGATCGCATCTGAAGCGAACAAGATTTTATTATCGAAATGACGCACAGCGGAAGGTTTGAAACGCAGGACAGGAAGTGTCTTTCAGTCACCGGGAGGAGGACATCGTCACGCTGTCCGCAAAACAAACCGCCGCCGTGGAAGTAGATGACGGCAGGCGTTTTGCCAGCGCCAGGAGATGCACCGCTGTAGATATCGAGCTTGATCGCTAGCCCGCCCACCCGTGAGTACGTGGCAGTCGTCGGCTTTGCCCCCGTGGTGAAGGAGAATGTAGCACGGTTGAATGCGGGCTCGGAGATGGGATGAAATGGGATGTTAATCGTAGTAGCGCAGTTTTCAAATCCGAAAGCTCTGAGAGAGCCTTGCACGTTACGGCCAGGAATGCGCTAGGTAATGCTCGCCTCTTGGCGTCGTCCTGATTGTACTGCCGAATCATAGGTCGTGAGCTGCTCACCAATAACTCTCTAGTAAGCGTCTGTAAGCGCACCTCAACATAGAACTCGGACGTTGAGCGCACCGTGGTAGCCTCTGTGAATCCTTTCGTTATGTTTGGATTTAACCCGAAGGTTCTCAAAGCGCTCCACACAATGTGATCCTGCTGCGCGGTAGCTTCGCGGATAGAACTTCGCTATCCATGTAGGGAGCAAGGCGGAGTGCGTAGATAGTGTTCAATCCGCTCCGAGCGTACAAAGCTAATGACCGCCAAGATAGAGGGATCGTTCATGTTCCCAAGTATGTAAGACTACCGTACATGTAGGAATTGCGAGCTGGCTGCTGGGCCAATGATTGGGTGCCCATGCAGGCGTCGTCTGTGGCTGTGCAGCATCCGTTTGCCCGTTCGAAGAATCTAAATCTAAATCACTGTCAGCGACCAGACCACCACGCAGTTCCTTTGAAGCGTCGATTGCGGATATCAAGCCCACTGCTCTGCCCTAGGTTGTGCGCAACCTCAATAATCGGTAGATACTCGTCGGGATTATCATGGTGCAAAGAACGACAGTCGATGGTCAGCACACACACGTTCAGTCTGCCCGCATCGGACTGATGCACTCGCTAGGCCCGTCTCAGGCAGAACAATTGCTCCGGGTGACCTCCGGTATCGCGGCGGAGCTGATCAAGGCGCACGACGCCAACCAAACCGTGTCGCTCAACGAAATCCGCGCGCGACTCAGCAAGAAGTTTGGCTTCGGAGGTGTTCCTCGGCTAGTTGACATCATCAGTGCCATCCCAGATGAATACAAAAAGGACCTCTTGCCTAAGCTTCGGGCGCGCCCCATCAGGACAGCCAGTGGGGTGAGTGCATTCGATGTAAATCTGTCGCCGCTCATGTTTGTTCACGAGCGCGCCAGATCGCCGTCGTCGCAGTGATGTGCAAACCTCACCGATGTCCGCACATTGCAATGACTGGGAACATATGCGTGTATGTGACTGATTCCGGTGGAATATTCCTTGTGACTTACATTGACTCCAGTTATTGCCCAGGAGGCCCGGACTCGGACTTCGATTATAGCACACAGAGCTACACGGGGTACGAACCCACGAGTATGCGAGCCATTCGAGCCAGATACGACCCCTACGAACAAACGCGAGGGCGAGTGGAGCAACTCAAGGCCCTCGGACACAGCGTGGACAAGGTATGTATGGAACGACGGTGGGTTCTGTCAACCCTAACTTTGACTGCCGCCAGGTTGAATTTATCATCATGGGTGGGACGTTCATGAGCATGCCGCAAGACTACCGGGAGAAATTTGTCGCGCAGCTTCATAACGCGCTCTCCGGGTTCACGGGCACAGATGTGGATGAGGCAGTAAAGTCAGCTTCAATTACCGTCAAGGTCTCTGTGCAAAATCCTGACACCCGTCTGAAGGTTCTCAGAGAGAAGCAAGTCAAAAGCCATCGGGATTACCATCGAAACAAGGCCAGACTATTGCCTAAAACCGCATCTGAGGTCGCTATCCTGCCGAATATGCACCTGATCGAGCCATTGACCATTTCTTGTCCTCTCCACAGTCAGATGTTGCGATATGGTTGCACCCGACTCGAGATCGGCGTGCAATCCGTTTACGAGGACGTCGCCCGGGACACTAATCGTGGCCATACAGTTCGTGCCGTCACAGAATCCTTTCATTTGGCCAAAGACGCCGGCTTCAAGGTCGTGGCACACATGATGCCCGACTTGCCTAATGTAGGCGTCGAGCGCGACCTCGAACAATTCAAAGAGTTTTTCGAGAACCCAGCGTTTCGTAGCGACGGCCTGAAGATATACCCGACGCTGGTGATCCGCGGGACGGGTTTGTACGAGCTATGGCGAACTGGGAGGTACAAGAACTATACTCCGAATGTGTTGGTGGATGTTGTCGCAAGGATCATGGCGTTGGTTCCGCCGTGGACGCGGGTATATCGAGTGCAGCGGTCTGTATTGCATTGTTGCTTACGCAGGAAAATTGCTGACCGAACGCAGGGATATTCCGTTACCGTTGGTCACGAGTGGTTGCGAGAATTCAGGGAATCTACGAGAGCTCGCATTGAATCGCATGAAGGATTTCGGCGCCGAATGTCGAGACGTGCGGTTCCGTGAAGTCGGGGTAGGTTATTCTGAGCGTTGACACCTTGAACGTGCCTATCAATTATACCGACTTTTCTTCTATAGATCCACGAGATACACCACAAAGTTCGTCCAGAGTCGGTGGAACTTCTACGTCGCGATTACACGGCGAATGGCGGCTGGGAGACGTTCCTGTCTTATGAAGATCCAGAACGCGATATCCTCGTCGGTCTACTACGGCTGCGGAAGTGTTCTGACGAGGGCACGTTCAGGCCCGAGCTGGTAAGAAAAGAAGGTGACGAGGGTGGATGCAGCATCGTGCGGGAGTTGCATGTGTATGGTACCGCTGTGCCTGTACATGGGCGGGATCCCACCAAGTTCCAGCATCAAGTGAGTGAAAATTCACCTAGGGCGATGTGATGGGCCTGAATCCTGGCGTAGGGATTTGGCACGCTCCTCATGGAGGAGGCGGAGCGAATAGCCAGGGACGAGCACGGAAGCATCAAACTCGCGGTCATCTCGGGCGTCGGCACGCGCGATTACTACCGGAAGCTAGGTTACGAGTTGGATGGGCCGTACATGAGCAAGTCACTGCTGTAGATCGCGCTCACACTGCCATCATTCGCCCATCACCAACGTATGGAAGTTGGGGAAGACCAACTCCTCTTCGATGGTCTTTCGAATCACGTCCTGGATGAACCGCTCAACACGCGACACATTTCTGAGAACGTGCATGTCGGCCTGGCCAATCTCGCTCTCGATGTATATCGATGGCAGCAAGCGTTGGCCAATAGGAAGCGGCTTTGTGGACGGAAGCTCGTCTAAATCGGGAGGGGTATCGTCGGGCGAACGCTTAGGCCGTTCGCCGGCAGGACCATAGGGATCCATGTCATCCAGTATGCATAGATGAATCCGCTTTCGTGAGCCTTCGTAGGCGACTGCGAGTTCCCCCGTGAATAGCAGCCCGGTGACCGACAACTTGATCGGTAACGACATGAACATGGGAGAAGGGTAATTGATCAGGAGGGATGTGGTGAGAGAGAGCCGGAGGTTTGAGTTCCATGTGATGTGTAAATGGACTTGCAAGTCCGGTTGCGTACTTGGCCGAGGTGTAGGAGCAGACGGCTCGGGTTCGCGGGCCGAGGCCGCTGAATTCGATGAAGGAGAGGAGGATGTCTGAGGGGACGCTGTAAACTGTGCCTGGGGACTGAACGCGCTCGCAAATGGCGAGGCGGGAAACGACGGGCGGTAGATGGAAGGCCCAGGTCGGCCAAGGTAGGTATCAACGAAGCTGGCACTCAGGGGGCTGCTCCAGGGCTGCCGGGGGGAACGGAGCGCCGGCGTGGAGGAGAACATGTCCTGGACGGGTCCCCTCCCATACCGCACATGGGGCGGCAGATGATGGTACGCAGGACCGTCGTCCTCCGCGGCAGCTTTGGCCGCGGCCTTGCGGGAGACCCATTCGAAGCCTTCCTCGTCTGAACCGCCTTCGGTGACCTTGACGGGATCCGGTTCTGCGTCCTCGTCCTCGTCGTCTTCGAGAAAGTCGCGATATATGTCACGCAGCTCTACTAGTTCCACGTCCGGGGGAACGGATCCGAAGTCTAACGAGGTTACCTGCACTGGACCGATGAAGGAGGGACGACTGATGGTAGACAGCTGTTTATTCAACATGTCGACCAATGACGAAGATAGCGATGATTCCAGGAGCGCGTCCCATTGTAGATCGATGGACATGTCCTTCAATTCGATGAAACTGGGCCGATGATAAAACCAAGGACCCCTTCAGTCGCAGGCCGGCGGAAGTACGAGTGCCAGTTGCGGCAATGGATTGGGGATCCGGTGGACAAGGCGTTCGCGTACTTTCTCACGTTCTACTTTCTCTTCGCCTCGCTATTTGGAGCTTGAGGATGGGATCGTCTTTGAATGTGTACCTGAGGTTGCTAGACACCATGAGGATCTCAGACGCCCTGAAGATCTGGAACGTCACTCTGAGTCTCTCTAGATGTTCAAGGACTCGTGCCTTACAACCCCCCTGGTGCTCAGCGTTGCAGCCCGCAAAAAAAAGCACTCTGTCGAACCGCGCTCTTAGGCCGAGAATTGTCAACATTGCAACTTCGGTGAATAAGTGGAACTTGGTGAATAGGGACAAAGAACGGGTGCGGTCGCTGTAGCAGGTATTCCCGTTCTTTCTCCTGACCGCATTGGTGACTGGTGGGCGGCCTTCGTGCTATGCTAATGCGTTTGCGGCATTCCATATAGAGCTCTGATAGATCCGAGAACTGGTATAGCATATGGTTGGCGTCTCAACCAACCGCTGACGCAGAAAGCGGAAAGATGTATTTGGAGCCACGTTACCGTCGGACAAGTTGCGCTGATAGCGTGCCACTTCCCCGTTCTGCTTGCCCTGACAAGGACATGAATCATGCTCCGATCTCCGCGTCGTTCCCAGATGCATCTCTTGGGACACGCTGGGCATAGTCCGCAAATACTGAACCAGCTCGGCCGGCCATCGAAAATAAGCCGTATGTTAACGCTCACTATGTCCACCCCACCTCCTCGTGTTTGGTGTTCTGGTTCTTCCAGCCTAAATCTTGGCCCCTAGATGACAGAGGTGTGCATCCGATTGTTTCATGCTTCTCATGCTATATCTCCTCGGAGCCTCGGCCAGGTAGATCATTGCTTGTGAAGGACCACAACATCTGTGCCTTGTCATCAATGATACGGGATACCGTCGAAGCTGTTCGCTATTTCTCTGGGTTCGTTGTCCTTGCGCCGTGATATCTAGCACAAAGCCCTCGGACTGAACGGGGCTGAATGATATTGTATATGGAGACCAACGCTGACGCTTTCCCGGGAATTCCTCTAGTGACGTTACCGGGACGCGCGCCCCCAAATTCGACCGCGCGGTGTCCAAGCTTGTACCGTGCGGCGAGCTTCCTTTGTCAGCGTGTTCCTGTCCCATGGCTAACTTCCCGTACCCTTAATCGGCACGATCGTCCTGGAAGGCACAGCGTCTTCCTCATGAACACATTGCAAGGTGGGGGCGAAGAAGTACGCCACCAGCGTCAGGCGTGAGCAACGGAGGGCTAGGGAAGGTCAATCGCAAGGTACCCCGCACGCTACCATAACGCACCTTTCCAGTTCTTGCACGTTCACCTTCCCGATCTGTCGCTCGCGACTGCCTTGATGCCGAGCCGCACTAGGACCACGGGACGCGGTTATTACGGTTCACGCCCGTGCACCAGCCGGAGGGACTGCAGCGTTATCTCTCAATCAGCGGCATGCTCGGGGTTACAGACCACGACCCTGTAAACATATAGCGGACCCGGCGGAAATACCTATTGTCGAGGTTATGCCTCTTTTGGGTTGGGTAGGCATGACATCGGGACTCCTCCATTACGCCCGGATGGGAGATACACTCGTGCAAGATTATGCAGGAGGACCTGACCTGCACGACATGCGCTTTAAACACTTAGCCGATGCATCTTCTCATTTCAATTAGGCGCATCTCCACACACTGCGGGAGCGTACCTTCTCCAACTTTGCGATTCTTTGCCACACTCAAGCCGATTATCAGCCCACATGTTCGACCTTGTCGGACACGCCGATTCACGGGGTCCGGGTATCGAGGCCGAGCCGTCCACCTTCTTCAGCGTTAATCCTACTAGGATCCGCTATATGAACCAGCCCTTCATCTGTGTTCGGTACCCTCCGATGCTACCGTCACAGGCGCCAGAGATGTTCTTACAGTTGACTCTACTTGCAGTAGCGGTCCTTGTTTTGTTCAAAGGCCTCCGGTGGCTAGCTACGAAATCGCCTCTGCGTCTCGTACGAGGCCCCCCTCGGGCGTCCTGGCGAACAGGTGCATTCTAGATTCAGACCGTGTAGGCGTATACACTAATGTGACAACTGTAGGCAACCTCCATCAAGCCCTGGATCTGGACGGTTGGGACTGGCATCAGACTGCTTGCGACGAGTACGGTGGTGTATTTTCGTTTTGGGGCATGTTTGGAGTGCGGAAATTGGCACAAATACTAGCTCAGCGCTGGTTCTAATATTATTTTCCTCAGGAAAGACGACTCTACGTGTTTGATCCTCTGGCGCTGTATCATGTTCTTGTCAAGGTGACCTATCCGTACCATCATCCGCATCATCTCCGCTGAACTCAACTGTCCCTAGGATCAATATACCTACGTCAAGAGCACTGCCATCACCGGTGCGTGATCGTCATTTTGTCTGGAGCGTCTCTCGTTGACTTATGACTTGGAAACTGCTCAGAGTCAGGCGCTCTCCCGCTGTGAACAATGCGATCGGCTTACCGTTACTCTCTCGTGCAGGCTCAGCGCATTAGTCCTCGGACGGGGACTCCTGGCAACCTACGGTAAAATAGTTTTGCGACTTTATGATGGTGACTTAACTCGTCCGCATAGGAGACCGCCATAAGAAGCAACGGAAGCTGATGAATCCGGTCTTTTCCACCCGTAATATAAAACACATGGTCACTCAATTTTACTCGGTTTGCCACAAGGTTGATCGGCGTTTCTCTCAAAGCGAGCGGCAGGCTGACTTTTTCTATCTAGCTATGCGATGCATTAGCCTTCGAATTGTCGGAAGATGACAAGGAGATTGACGTCCTGGCTTGGATGTCCAGAACAGCGATGGTACTCATTGGTGAGGTGAGTAGGCTGACCTCGAGTTGGACTACGCAGGCTCAACAAGGGAAGTAGGCCGGATTGGGTTATTCTTTCGATCCCCTTACCGAGCAGAGGGAGAATCGATATGCTAATGCGGTCAAAGCTATTGTGTGCGTGTTAAACCTGGGCTGTTCGATCGACGCTCATTGATCATGTCAGGCCGGCGTTCGCCTCCATTGCAATTTTGCGCGAGCTCCTCCCATGGGTGACTATGCTTGGCATACCTACTCTATTTGAGCGCATGCTCCCATACATACCGATCAAGCGCGTGCAACACATCCGGAATATCACGGCAACCCTTGATGAGGCTAGCCATGAGGTCTATCAGAGCAAGAAAGAAGCAATTCAGCGAGGAGATGATGCAATCATGCACCAACTCGGTCAAGGAAAGGACATAATGTCGATTTTGGTACAATGCTCTCGGCATCCCGAGCTTCCGCCACTGACGCAATGTATCAGTTGAGGGCAAACCTGAAGGCCTCCGATAACGACCGCTTACCGGAAGCGGAAGTCATTGCTCAAATGTCGACTCTGGTCTTCGCCGCTACCGACAGTGAGTGGCAGGCGTGGGAGTAGGCGGCATACTGAATTCTACATCCAGCGACGACAAACGCTCTGTCACGGACTCTGTTCTTGCTCTCTCAAAATCAGGACGTGCAACGCAGGCTCCGCGATGAGATAGTGCAAGCGAAAGCTGGACGTGATGGTGATTTAACGTATGAGGAACTGGACACTCTACCGGTGCGGAAGATTATTCTCACATTACATAACATTGACGATACATTCCTATAATGTAGTACTTGGATGCTGTTGTTCGAGAAACTCTCAGATTGTGGGTCGCATCCACCATTCCACATACGCAGAAAAGCTGATAGCCTTATACCAGACACCCTCCTGTTCCGTATGTCTCTCGCATGTGAGTCTTCTGGTCGCTATGGTCTGCGGTTCGCTAGAAACCCTTCGTTGCTATAGGGCCACTCAGGACATGACTCTGCCGTTGGCGAAGCCTCTCAAAGCGACCGACGGCTCGATGCTGCATCACATCGCAGTCCCTCGCGGTACCAAACTCGTGATAAGCTTTTGGGCTATTAATAGGTCGACAGCGTATTGGGGCGACGATGCTCTGGAATGGAAGCCAGAGCGATTCCTTCAACCTTTACCCCAGACACTCATTGACGCGCATATTCCGGGGATTTATTCTAGTATGTGCGTGACACTTCGCTCGTTCGTCTGCTGTTTACTGAGCGTTTTCTCAGGATGACGTTTGGTGGCGGAGGTTTCTCATGCATTGGTTCTAAGTTTGCTCAATTGGAAATGAGTAGGTCTCTCATTGCTTCCGTGAAGTACCGTATCAATCGTTCATGGTGAACTCTAGAGGTTTCTCTTAGCCTGCTCGTTGAGCGCTTTGCTTTGACTATGACCAAAACGGAGATTCGCTGGAACATGGCTCCAATACAGGCAAGTCAAACGTTTCGCGATCGAGAGCTCATCTGAAAAGTGTCATAGTACCCTACAGTTGCTGGACTTCGAGGGCCGCATTTGCACATCCGCATGCGTGCCCTACAGCGAGATTCTGCTCTGATAATGGGTCCATCATCCCAACCCTGAATTCAACGTGCAGGGACGCGAACTCGTTGGGTTGCATTGTCGTGAATCTATTTCTGTTTGGTTATCCCTTGAATGGAGCATGAGTGACTGATCCTTCTGCAGGGCAAGTGACCCTTCCTGATCTATTCAACTGTATGACATCAAGGAATATAGTTTATAAACATGGTTACGGTTGTATTATCGCGTTGTACGATACGTTGCGGTATATGGCATGCGTTCAACAACTACTCGGCCACGATTGTCCGGCTGGAAGAAACCGCCCATGTATGTGCTGGGGAGGAGGGGAACCTACGTCTGTAGCCTGTCCAAACAGACGTGAAGACAGCCATAGTGGATAATGCCGATCATATACCGCAGGGATACGCGCAAGCCACAATAGGAAGATGGGCCGCAGCGATGCGATCGGGGGGCCAGATGTGGACACAGGCAGCAATACACAAGAGCTGGGGACTGGGCCCGGTACGCGACGGCAACGACGGGTGCGTCGAGGCAAGTCAAACACTTCCAGGGTCCGGGCGCTACGAGGCACTCCACGTCATGCGGGTAAAGACCTGGCTGTTGGCGGGACTCGAACCCGGAGGGTCCGGGCGGGGTGCAAGCGTTCTTGATGATTGACACCTGACATTCGTCAGAATACCGTCAGTCCAGCCTGCGACTGTGATGAGGTATATTGAGACTTCATGTCGTCCATGTCGGTCATATCGCCTTGGCTCTTGTAATCATACTGAGAAGCACTGCCGAGTTCAGAGGTTCCCGCCATCGACGTCAAGGAGCCACGGCGGCGGAGTCGATCAGACTGCGAATACGCAATGCTGCTAGCACCACGCTCCGAAGGGCCGATGACACTACCACTGATGCTCGCTGTGTCCGCATGTCCGATGTCCTGCGATATAATGGAACTGGCGTAACTTCCGTAAGTGCTGCGCTTCGCCCCAGTGGGCCCACGTTGTCCGGGTGCAAATGGACCGCCAGCGGCGAACATCGGTATTCCCGATGAGTATGTGGCCTGCGAGCGCAGGGACTGAACATCCGATGGGATGTACCCGAGCGCGTCGTGGGTACGGTAAAAACTGGCATCGAAACGACTGGGTGTTCCTGAGGCAGCTCCTAGCCCGGTTCGGCGGCCTATGAGAAGACAAAAAAGTTAATGCCATGTTTAGCTCACTACCCAGAATACTCGCCATCCTGAGTACTCGCAGGATTGAGGTAGTCCTTCGCGTTCGTCTCGAAGCGTCTATATTGCTCCATCGACTTCCCAAGCGACCGCCGAGGCTTGCTGAACTGTATCATGCTGGGTTGCAAATTGGCCAGGGGTCCTTCAACAAGACAGCCTCGCTCCTTGTAGTGTGTAAGGAGATAATGCCAGAGTGGATGCTGTAATCACCAGTTAGCAGCGAGCCCGTCCCGAACGGTGACCGTGAGACATACCTTGCTGAGAACCTTGGGGTTACCAAGAATGACGACACCATACTTCGCACGTGTCAACGCGACGTTCAAGCGCCGTGGATCATTCAAGAAACCGATGCCTTGATGCTCGTTGCTCCTGACGCAGCTGAGGATGATGTAGTCCTTCTCACGACCCTGGAAAGCGTCAACACTGGCAACCTCGATTTCCTTGTAAAGATCCTTCTTCAGGGAGCCGTTGAATTGCATGTAATTGACGATGTAAGACCGTTGGCCTTCGTACGGAGTGACGACACCGATTTGACTGGGCACCACACCAGACTTGAAGAACTTGGTGACAATCTTCTCCACGTTCGAGGCTTCAGTCCTAGGCAAACGTCAGATGAGATGTTTTGAACCATTCACAAAGGGACGGACCGATTTAAGAAAGACGTTCCGCTTGAGGATATCTCTTCTTGGCCCAAATTCTGATAAAAGAACATGGGCGTGTCTGGGACGGGCCATGGGAAGTCGACGTTCTTCCGCAGCCGCTCCGGGGCGGTGACGCCGTTCTGCAGGGTGCCCTCATAGAACATATTGGAAGGAAACTCCGAAAGGCAGGGGTGCATGCGATACTGAACTTGCAAGCGGATTGGTCGGTTACCGAGTACCACGAGGCGTTCGAACAAGGATTGGGTTAAACCTGCCCTAGCGGCCTTCTTGTTCATGATGACAGGTCCAAGTTGCTGGAAGGCATCATGTCAAGGAAGGTTGTCCACGATGCATCCAAAATACCTACCTGATGATCACCCACGAGAACGACCTGTTTGCAACCGAGGACAAGCGGAATCATGCACTCTACGGAACAATTGAATAACGATTGGATGGATGAGATAAGCACACAGCTTCAGACTTACCAGGCTCCGCAGCTTGGGTTGCTTCATCAATGAGCACTGTACGGAACTTCAATTTGCTCAGCCTTGGGTCACCAGCGCCCACACTGGTGCAGCAGATGACGTCCGCCGCGCCGAGGATCTCCTTCTCACATTGCTTAATGAGCGTCTTGTACTTTCTTTCGTCATTCGAGCTCAGTTCACCCTGCTCGTTCTTGAGCTGGATCAGCTTCTGCAGCTCTACGTGCGTCGTGTTATTCGCAACCTGCTGGTGCAGGGTGAGGAAGGAAACGCTTGAATCAAGTGCCTCCCGAGATTTGGCGGTGATGCGAACGACTTTGAGGCCCGTCGCGTGGATCTTCTCTGTAAGTTGGTCTACGGCGACGTTCGAGGGCGCGCATACGAGCACCTGACCCGGATTCATCTTCGCGAGGTGGTAGACAATCGACGCTGACGTGACTGTTTTGCCCGTGCCGGGCGGACCTTGGATAAGACTGAGCGGCTTCTGAAGCACGCTCTTCACCGCATACATCTGCGAGTGATTGAGCTCGGGCAGTCCGGGGGCGGAGAAGCGCTTGGGCATCTGCGTGCGCAGCACCTGCGGTTCGACTTCGTGTCCCAGGAGCTTGTGGTACTGACGTGATCCGAGCGGTGTGAGTGGAAGGCTTCCGCGGAGATAAAGGTTAAAACACCCACAATGTAGCCGCTGACGCTCTTCTCATCCACAGCAAAGGTCTTCATCGCGAGCTGCATTCGGTCGAAGCTCGTCGACTTCCATACGAAATCAGCGGCGAAGTTGTGGGAGCATTCGGTAGGCACGCCTTCCGTACGGCGCAACTCTAGCCCTACTTCGTCCGAAACGTCTGTCACTATCGTATTAGCGCCGACCTTCGTGCGATGAGAGCGCAACGTACTGTTCGGTATCTTGATAACGTGTCCAACACCCTCCCAAGGTTTGTGCATCTCCCCCATGTATCGGAGCCGCAGTTCATCGCCAACGGCCAATCGCACTTCGCCGCTCTCGAGCTTGGGCAAACAGAACCATGCCACACGTTTTTGGTTCAGCCCAATATCCCAACGCACAGTGATGTCAGTTTGAGTCTGGCTCTCCTTCAGCTTCTTATCGTAGTCGGCCTCAATTTTGACCAAGGGCCCGAAGATATTCTGGTACTGATATGCATCCTCATAGCGGAGGAGGATAGGTTGCGGTTCATCATCCACGCCTGGCTTCTCCAGATCTTCAAGGGTAGCGTTTGCATTTTCGCGCCACAGGTCTTCGAGGCGGTTAATCTGCTGGAACGAAATTTGACGCGAGCGCAGCTGTTCGGTCTCGCTCGGTGGCTTGACAAGCCATGACAGAAATGATCGGTCATCGATGAGCGGCGCCCAGAGCGACGCGTTCCATGAGATATCTTTGGAAATGGCCGCACAAGGTTGGCGGCACAGGAGGACGACGACGGTGTCGGACTTGGCGGGAATGAAGCCAAGCATAAACACGTTTTTCGATCCACAGTTGTAGCATTCGGGCACAGTCTCGCCCAAGGGCGACTCGGCGTGAAGGATGACTTCTTTGTGCTTGGCACGAACAAGATGGTTAACAATATGAGATGCGGATGTGTTTCCACGAGAGTTGCAGAACCATTTCGAACATATCAGGCACTTGACAACGCTCGCTGGGTTATGAATACCACAATAGCTGGAAAATCATGAGCTTGAGGTCAAAATGCATATTGCCTATCCGACTCACCTGCACGCATGCGGCGGAAGATCAACTTGACCCTCGTCCTTTAGATCGTCGAGAACAGCGTCCAAGTCTTCCTCTATCCCGCCATTCCTCGGTCTAGATCTATGTGCATGTGTATGAGTTGCGCCCGTCTGTCCCTGCTGAGAAGTGGCCGCGCTCTCAGATAGAGACAAAGTCTCTAGATCCGAGGCGAGGTTGGTGTTTGTGGTCGCGGTGTATATCGACGACGTATCATCGACTATGCCCATGCCACCGTACGACGAGGCAGAGTCATACTGGAAATTGTCGAAAGTGTCCATGGCGGATGTGGAGAGAAACAAGAAGTGAAGGTCGATATTTCTCAGTAAGCGCCCTGGTTCTTCCAGGCGGCGGTGGCCCTGCGGCACCGCATTCGCCACGCTCCTTGACAAGACAAAGTTGACTAGACAAAGTTGACTCTCGCTCACTGCTTACCGCCATGTCTGTGCGCGCCAACGGATTGAACGGAACGGAACGCGAAGTGATCATGAACGTATGCTACGATGCTCTGAGCCTAGCGAATCCGTATGAATGCGCGGTTACGAACAGTTTGTCGACGGCTTGTCCTACAACAGACTCAAGCTGGAAACGATGTACGGCTCGGGTGGTCTGCTCGATAAGCCCGTCACAAAATCTCACAAGGATACCGCAAACATGAAGAAGGAGGACGTCGATCTCATCGTTGAGTTCCCGCAGTCAGATCCGTACGAGCACAGATGTAACCTAAGCGCTGCAGGTGAGCGAACTCGAGATCCCACGAAGCCATGCAGAGCGCGAGCTTTCGCAAAATAACGGCGATGTTACGAAGGCACTGGAATCGCTGATAAAAGCATGATACATCTGCATTAATGTTCCCGTATGACTGGACCTCTGCAGGTTGCATGCATATAACGCATATCCTTGGCCAACACCACCTGAATGTATTAGTCGAGCAGACGTTTTGGTCTTAAGGAAGAGAGATATTTGAGTTTTGTGCGGTGACTAGCGCTATCGTCCTTGAGGAATCTGTCTTCGCTATGATGAGAACACAGTAGTAGTATATCATTAAGTGCTGGCTGTTGCAAGGGGCGCTCCAGTTAGTCACGTGGATTCTGCCTATAAGCAGTCGACGCGGGGCGGCATTTTTCTTCTCAAACCACGACGACCAAATTACTATCTTTCCTCTGGCGTCTCTCTGAGGCGTCGCTCTGCAGGATAGATGGTCCAGACAAACGTCGAAGAGTGACTCACACGAATCTCAAAAACAGTCTTTGCTGATGCTTTTCCCACTGGTCGAGAGGTGATGACGCAGGATAACCTGGAGAGTCGCACAAGCCTGTCATGGTCCTCGTACTCGTGTATCGTATATGTACTCTGTGAGTAAAAAGTGGTTTGTTCGAATCGTGCTGCCTGTGAATGATAATCCTGGTAAACTGCGTACGCATCCCGCCTCGATATACGAGGTTCTGCCAGGGCAGATGTGCCGCTCAGAATATTCCCTTCGGGTGGTTCTGATGCTGGCTGGTTGGATGCGGTTGGAGAGTTTAAGGCGAGACTGAGGCGTCTCTGTTTTCTTTTTGTTCTGCAGTCTTTGCTTCATCGACTGACTTGCGTTTCAACAGGCTAACCAGGAGCAACATGAGAAAATATGTTCATTTCATCTACCCTTTCTTTGAGTGCGTCCCGATGTTGTACCAGCCACACCCGACGCCATGTTGATGACCACGCATACGCGTGGGCGAATGACTGTATTCGCAATCAGGATGTTGGTCTCCTAGGCTGTTCGTTTCTTGCGACGTTCCGTTTGATGTATGATATATATGTATGCATACATAGAAAGGAAATCATAATTTCAGTTGAAGCCTCCGATGCGATACGCGCCATATCAGAACCCAGACCAACGCGAACGCTGTGCACCCAAGCTCCTTCGATCGCTGGCCACTTCATCCCTCTCTACGGGCCGCCTTCATTTATTATCATCGACGGCTAAACGAACCTGACGACAAACCTGTCGACATCGAGCCTGGAACCGACTAACAGCCATATTTTGACCGTCCACTCAGGATCAGGTCATACGCGAGTCGGGCCCGGCCCCATCCAACACGATGTATCACCGGCCTCAGCCCATCGTACGCGCTTCCTCGTCCCAGACATTCCTGGCGCCGCCAACTATGGCTGGCGGAGGAGGACAACGTATGGCACCGTTAATACCAGTGCCCGGTTCCTCGGGTGGGCAGGGTACACCGGAACTTTCGGTGCGCGTCCCCGTCAGCAACAGTCAGGAGAGCTCCCCGACAATACTGGGACTACCACTGAAATATGTTTCGTGAGTCGCGCCACGCACCAATTGCACGTCCAATTATCTCAACATACGACCCAGGTTGGTGACGCTAGCCGTGCAAAATGCGGCGCTTTCAATCGTAATGCACTACTCGCGTGTCTCAACTTCACCTTCTGATTCCTATTCGCCTGCATCCGCCGTGTTGCTCAACGAGCTGATCAAGGGCTCGATATCGTTCATCATCGCGCTATACCACGCATCCCTCCTGCCCGCCCCGCGCTCTCCCGGACCAGCTCAGCCGCCTTCCTCCCCCTTCATTCGCTTATGCCGCGACATCCTCAGCCCAGATTGCTGGAAACTATCCGTACCTGCGCTACTATACGTGGTTCAAAACTCGTTGCAGTTCGTTGCCGTCAGCAACCTGCCCGTGGCCACCTTCCAGGTCGCCTACCAGATGAAGATCCTCACCACCGCCGCCTTCTCCGTGGTCATGCTACGCAGACGGTTAACCCCTACCAAATGGTTTGCCCTTCTCTTCCTCGCCCTCGGTGTCGGGATCGTGCAGGTGCAAACGGCAGTGAGCCCGCCCAAAGTTGTGGTCGCTGTTGCGGAAATGGACAATGGCATGGAGGGTGTACACCACGCCGCAAGCCACGGGCATGAGCACTCTTCCCCACATGTTCACGTCATGAGCCCGCTCAAAGGGTTTGGCGCCGTTGTTCTCGCCTGCTTCACTTCGGGACTCGCAGGCGTGTATTTCGAAATGGTACTCAAGGGCTCCAAAGCCGACCTCTGGGTTCGCAATGTCCAGCTTTCGCTCTTCTCCCTCCTCCCGGCGATTGCGCCCATCTTGTTTTCTTCCTCCCCGGAGAGCTCCGCACCTTCAGGCCTCTTCGGTGGCCTCTTTCGTAACTTTGGCGGGTGGGCCTGGGCGACTGTACTCATCCAAGCCCTCGGTGGTCTCATCACCGCGCTCGTTATCAAGTATTCGGACAACATCATGAAGGGCTTCGCGACCTCGCTCAGCATCATCCTCTCCTTCCTCGCCAGCGTCGCGCTTTTCGACTTCCACATTACCCCCAGTTTCGTGATTGGTGCCTCAACCGTCCTCGCGTCTACGTGGATGTACAACCAACCGGCCGGACAGGAGGTCCCCACCGCCGTAGCGAAGGTGATGCCCAAGTCCATTCACCACTCGCCGTCTTTTCCCGGGTCACCTATCAACGGGAGCGAGCCAATCCTGGGCCAGTTCCCAACGAAACGCGGCTCACCATTTGGCTCACCCCGGGCGCTCGCTACCGCGCTCGGCCTCACGTCGGAGAGGGACAAGGACAAGCGCAGATCCAGCGAGGAGTCTAATGCGTCGAATCCCGGATTCGAGCACATGGCGGACACGAACAGATACCTTAGTGCTCCGTACGGGTCCCCGTACCCTTCCAGGACGCCGTCGCCTACGCCGAGCATAGATGATCATGGAAGCAGGTGGAAATAATGAATTGCATAGCAGACTGGAGGTAGTAATATAGTACAATCAGATGCATTTTAATTCGACACCAATTATTATAGACATCAACGTGTTGGAAACGGTCGAAATCGTCAAGAAGGCATCCCAATCCCTTTTGCGTCCGCTGCTCTTGCCGGCCTTTGTTGCAGACCAGTGTCCCTTGCCGAAGAAGCGCCGACTCCTGCACTGGTATGGTAAGATTAGGGATGCGGCGGGCGTGTCGACGGAGGAATCCCGAGATGGGACCAATCTAAACGCATAACGCGCACGGCTGCTGGTCATAGCACCGACGGCATCGACGGAGATCAAAATACTTGGCCAACGCCGGGGTCGAACCGACGACCTTGGCGTAATGTTGCGGAAGCGGCAAATATTAGCACCACGCTCTAACCAACTGAGCTAGTCGGCCATAAAACAATTAAACGTGGCAAAATATATAGCATTATAATTAATTCATAAATGAGACCTGCGGAGCTCGGTCATCGACAGGCCTTGGACAGATCTGCGTCATGTTCTGAGATTTCATTGTCTGCAAGCACGACGTAAACTCTCAACTCTGGGGATACAGCGTTATGACACTCGTTGAAGCACCTGGACCCGGACTTGCTGTGTCCGAATCCTTTTGGTTCGCCGCAGCAATTACTCACATACGGGCGCTTGTCTGCGGGTTGAGCTGCTTGCTGTCCTCCAGACCTTCAATGCGCCCTCGTTGACGCAGAGTGCCTGTCGCATGACTTCGGCGGTATGCTTAGCGGCATTCATTGGCATGGTTTGTATGCTCATTGCACGTAGGTTGCGACTTCACCGCCTGGTTCACGGTCGTCGTCCCTCTACAACGAACTCGAAGAGCATCAGGAAATAGACAGTGCCCCGCACTTGTCCTCCGTGAATTCTATAGACAATGAAACTTCCCAAACGCGCGTGAAGAACAAGTGGACACCGTTATTCCGGCGCAGGACGAAACCTAGTGAACCGCGCGTTCACTTCCCGTTCCCCGTCACGGAGACTGACGAAGACGTCAAGGTCGAGCGCGAGAAGTGGAAGAGTGGAAAGCAGCTGTTCCTCGAATCATGTCGTGCGGACAGAGAGCGCCGGCCAAGTACGACCAGTCGGATATGAACGTAAACATATCTAATCCTCGGTATCCACAGTACAAGATCGACTTGTATCAGACAGCCTCATCGTTAACAGTGTCCTTCATGAGGTTCGTCCTGTTTGACTTCGATGATTGCAACGACCGTGCTCACGCTTATACTGTAGCGTGACATGATTCCTCGGAGAGAGCAGCGCTTACGACTGTTGGCCAAGGAAGGTTACCTATACGCGTTGCGTTATATCGACCGAAATCGTACTACAGGTCAAAGGTGCACACCCTTCGATTCGCGTCGGTGTTGACGAATTGGAAACCTTCTGGCGGGAGCAAAAACCTCGATGGGAAGCGTTCGTGCGTATCCGCCTTTTGACTCCAATCAGTTGCTTAATGGGAATGAGTAGGCTCTAAGGATGCAAAGTTTACCCGTTGCAAACTATCTGCAAAAGGTACTTTAGCTAAATCGTTGTACGGCGCTCGCACGCTCCCTGCTGACTGAAGCATAGTCAACGGAAGCGACAGTAACGGAGGTGAAACCGCCATCCTGCAACGAAGCAACCAGCTTGCTCAATTTATCGCGTTATTTATCAGCATGAATGGGTCACAGACATGTGGCAATGGATCGACGTAAGTCTCGACGATCTGGAACAGACATGGGCAAACCAAGAAGAGGTACGTGTGTGCATGCTACGCACTATCACATGCATACTAATTGTTCACAGTATCGAGATAGCCCTCCTCTCATACCCACATCTTTACCACAGATAGTAGCTTCGTCCGTGGGCGAAACACTGCGAGGTGCTGACGCGACGTCGAATACCGCGGCCCGGGAATGGATTACACGGGGACAGAACATGCCTCGGAATCCGCTGTTGCGAAGCGCGACGGTTGGCCGACCTTGGTCAGAGGCGTTTGGTATGAGCACCGCAGCCTCGTACACGACCAACTTCACTACATTGGGTGCCGTAGCATTTTTTGGTTTGTTCAAGAGTATACCAGACCACGCCCGCTTTGTGCTTATATTTAACAGGGGCTTCTATTTCATGGAGCGCGGTGTTCTCGGGCCAAAGGGGCGACCTCGTCCTGATCGCATGGTCAGCCGCCGTATTCGTCGCCGCATCTGTTGCAGCGGGTGGGATGGGCATCATCGTGGGTTCCGAAGGGATTAACATCGATCGAGATATGGGTGCCCGTCGTTTCGTGCGCGGCTTCGCGGTCTGCTCGGCGCTCATGCTCTTGACGGGCATCGTCCTGCTGAGCCTTGCTATGGCCGGCATCCAACCTACATACGCCCTGCCGAATGATGATGGGCAGCCCAGCGCCGCTCGAAGACGAGTCATGAGCGCGGCTGGATGGTTCACTATAGGCGCGGTCGGCGTGGAGACTTTGCTTGCAGTATGTGTGCGCGTTATGTATAGTACCACTTCCTACCACTGGTAGTGAATCTTACTCGTGGAATTGCTCATTGTACTACTGCTTCTGATTCAAATCTTGCGCTCGCCTCGATGGCCGTGATAGCATAGTAAGATCGTACACACAGGCGGGACCGACCCTCATGCACATAACATTAGTGCAACGCGAGGATGATGACGCGTCCTTTCTGGCTTCGCTGATTGCTACCATGTCCCCAGCGTCGATCACAGAGTTCGCTACTCTACGTCTTAACTCTCCGCACAAATGGGACTCCCTGACCACGATTGACTTCTTTCGCGCACTGTCCGCTGACCAGCGCGCCTGGTCCGGCTACCCGCTTCTCTACTTCAGAGATGTAGACGCCCCGGACGACAGCGGTTGCGAGCGGGTATACCTCCTCTCCGGCTGGAAGAGCGTGGAAGCGCATTATGAGTGGATCGAAGGCGCGGCCAATCAGGCATTGCTCGAGAAGGGGGTAGGAGACGGAAAGCTGTTGTCGGTCGAGGGTTTCGCGCATGTCGCGATAGTTTTCGAAGAGTTCCCGCAAGACCAGCGTGTTTTATATCTCGAAAGGCCGGCAAAAGCTGTCGAGGATTCAACGACAGGCGCCGAGAGCTGGCGACGCCAGGGAAAGGTTCTGGATCAGGGTGTGGATGAGCTCTGGCAGTTCCGCGACGGGGTGGCAGAAAACTCCAGCGATGGAACCACGGCCTTGAAGCGCCTGAATACGAGCTGGAACTAGCTTGGCGTAGAACGGAATGGAATGATAGGGCATTCCCTGTGTAGCAGAACGGTGCGTATGGGCTGCGTAGAGCCAATGGGCATGAGAGAATGGGTAGAAGGGTGTGGCCGCGCGCCGAACGTTCATCAGTAATCGTCTTCATGGTCTCTCAGCCCGATCCCTTTGCTTAGCCAGTACGATCTGTTCTTGCCCGTTGTTCCTTTCTTCCGCGTTTGATGCGCAGCATTGTCCCCGCCGCCGTCCGAATCGTCCACGTCATACTCGTGTAGATCAGCCTCCCCCTCCTCCTCCTCGCTGTCCTCATTTGCGCTGCGTTCATCCTCTTCCTCCTCATCGGGGACGAACACGGCGTCACGCGCATCACCCATGCGCCGTCTTTTACGCGGCGGCGCTTTTGAGACCTTGTATCGGCTCTCTTCTTCCTCGTCGGAATCTTTCGACATTCGTTCCTTCGGCCGGCTCGACGAGGTAGCGGTTCGCGATCGTTTTCGTGACCGTTTTCGCTTGGATGTCGATGGGGACTCCGGGTCTGAAGGCACGTCCCACGCTTCCTCGACGGCATTGCGTTCGTGTTTTCGCTCTGTGCCGGATAAGCGGGAGAGGAGCGAGGGTTTTGATCCATCGTCTTCATCTTCTTCTCTATCGTTACCCTCCCCGTCCGCTCGATCGCGAGAACCGTTCTTCGAAGAGCCATTGGCATGCACGGCGGGTACGGCGCCTAACATGCGATGCAAGATCCTTTTGTCGTACACCTCTTGTACGAGGCGCCTGTGGTTGATGGTCTGCTCGAAGATTAGATCTCAGATGTTCAAAGGTCGTGGAATGTACTGACCTCTTGAGTGACGCCCATCACATGTGCAAGGATACTGGGTTCTTCACGATCCACATCCCTAAACCTGAAGTACCGGCCTTCGCGTTTGGCGCTGATAGATCCCGCCTGCTGGAATGCCGCGGCTTTCATAATTCCGTGAGCGCCGGCGAGAGTCTGGCGGACACGGGCGATGCCAAACGAACCGCGAGAGATGTCGTTTGCTACGCAGATTTCAGCTAGATATTTTGAGTGAGAGAAATAATTTGAACTGACTAGGATCCGAAGGGTCTTCGATAGAGAGCAGGCCGAGTTGTCTATAATCTTGCCATCCCCTTGCCGCCTTGTTGAAATACGTCCCGCCGTCCCGTAACGATATGCCCACTTCTTCGTAGTTGAAGTAGCACCCGTACAGCTCGAAAAACTCCATCACAAGGACACCCAGGTTTTTGCTCGGGTCAATCTCTCCTCTGCGAATCTTCGGGTGCATCTGCAAGAAGCTAATCGCCAGACAAACGATGCTGTAGCTACCTAAGCCACCCGTATACACCTCGTTCATGCTCCGTTGACTGAGGAACGCCTTGGTGATCATAACCAAGCCCCTGAGAGCCGGAAGCTCGCGCAAGTAGCGATTTATCATCTTGCCCGCCGCGACGCCGTTCGTCTGGTTCAAGGAGATGTCGACCGCAAAGCGTCCGTGGGTAGTGATAAACTTGATGATCGGCACCTTGGCTTTGGCGACTATTGTGACACGGTCCGTGATGCCCGCGCGGCGCATCGTGTTCGCAAGCGCGTGAAGAACGGTGACCTTGTCGGAGTAGGCCATGGAAGGCGACTGGATGACGAGGTCAATGTCGCCCAGGGGTAGGTACAACTTCGTCTCGTAGCTCCCAAACGGAAGGACCTGGGCGTCGGGGAAGGCCTGAGTCACGGCGCGCGATATGAGTTGTACGATGAGCCCGCGGATCTCGTCCTCGGCGGGTGTGGGGGATATGTAATCGATGAAGGCCTCGACGTCGCGCTGAAGCCTGGAACGCTGATGAGCAAGGCGCATCTACGAGAGAAGGAATTGTAAGTCCTCACATTTCAGCAACATTGTTGCAGCTATCCCAGTCAATGTCTGCGACCCATGGTGCTTTGCGGGACGCGGCGTCCAACCGCTGTTTCTTGTTCACGTAGCCGTCGTCGCCGTAACGTTCGCGTTCGCGTTTTCGACCAAAGTCTCCGTCTCTATCCTTGTCCCTATCCCTGTCTCTACGTCTTTCTCCGTCTCCGTCTCCGTCTCTGTCCCTGTCTCTTTCCCTACCCTTTCCTTTGTCCCACTCCCTAACCGGCGGCCGGTCCTCTTCCTCCTCGTCTGAATCAGGCGCGAACGGCACGAAGTCCTCTGCGTCCTGGAACGACGCGTTCACCGAGTTTTTTTCTCCAGATAACGGGCCGTCTTCATTTTCGGGATTGCTACGGCGGCGCCGTCTCTTAGGTGAATCGATGTCGGTAGCCATGATCCGCTCGAGAGGGAGGGAAATGAGCACAGCCACGTGCCCATTGCACGCACTTTGGGCGGAGCATCACACCTTCGCCCACCACGTTTCCGTCTTTCTTTCTCATTTATTTCCGACAATATCTCCCAGAACGTAGCGCATACAGCATAACACACCCTGCAACTCTGGTCAACGTCGCCGGCCGTTCGTGAGACCAGCCACACACACACGCAGTGAACACCGCGATGTGCGTCCCGGCCAACGCAGATCGACACCGCAGCTAACGATTACCCCCATCCGTCCAGGGCCAGCTCGCGCGCCAATCCCGCCCCCGGCAACCTTAAGGAGCGTATCGCCGCCCTTCAGCAACGCTCGACCAGCCCGCCAGCGCAGCCGTCCTCGCCTCCGCTCAACGGCCTCGCACCGAAGTCGCCCACGGGCTCCAATGTTCCCGCGAGCCCGAGCACGAACAGCCTCCGCGACAAGATCGCGCGTTTTGAGCAACGTGGGGGCACACCCGTACCGAGGGGCAGGTTCGGTATGGGTGTGCCGCCGGTCGCGCCCAGCGGAGCGAGCCAGAAGAAGGGCATGCTCTACGGGAACAGGGTCGAGGGCCTCGGGCGGCCACATCATATCCCAACGCTACAACGTAACGTTTCCAGCGCTGGCAAGGTACAAAAGTCGTCGGTAATGGAGAGCAAGAGGCGAGTCGCGAGCGAGTCGGCTTTGACGTCGCCCGTTATCGCGGCGGAGGGCACGCAGGAAGTGACTCCAGGAGCACTCGCGGGCGAACCCATGCCTGCTGTGCTTGAAAGCCCCTCCCCATCGATCCCAGTGGGCGCACCCGAAGAGGCAGGTGCAGTCCCGGCTTTGCAAGTGCTTGTGGACTCCGCCGCGACCGAGGTCGGAGCCCCATCCGCGCCGTCTGACGACCCGCCCTCACCAGCGTCGACTACAACTATCCAAGCTACTGCCTTGCTGGAGCCGGTATCGCTGCCTCCTGCGCACTCGGACCCCGGCGACGCAACTGCCCCAGTCCCTAACACTGCGAGTCCTCTAGAGCAGGTGGTACCCGAGCCCGACGCCGAGCTATCAACGATTTCGAGTCCCACCTCCGCGGAACCCGCTCTTGCTCTAGTACAGGCTATGCCAGTTCAGGGCGATTCTGCACCTCCCACACAGTCGTCCCCGCGGAAGACTCCATCTCCAGTGCATTCGCCCCGCGAGAGTCGTCCACCCAACCTTCCCATGCCCGCTCCTTCGGTCCCCACGCCCTCCACCGCGGCCAGCCTACCCTCTACTCCTGGCACCGCCGGCTCCACCGCCTCCGACATGTCGACCGAATCCGACATTTCGGACGCGGAGATCATTACCCAGCCCCAGCTCTTGCGCATTTCCCCCAAGCCCAGCAGGGCCACTTTGGTCTCCACCCCGATATCGAGAAAGAATTCCGCATCCGCCGGCGATTTCGTGCAAGATGAGTTCATCGCGAGCCCCGCATCGACAACCTCGCAAACGCCGACCCCAATCGCGACAGAGCCCGGCGCCCAGGCATCCGTGGCCGCTGCTCCTCCTCCTGAAAAAGAAAAACCTGCCTCCGCGCCTGCTGCCGCCGCCGCTCCGGTTCAGCCCCGCAAGAGCTCCTTCACCGCCGTAGTTCACCGCAAAGAGACTGTCAAGGTTCCCGCGCCCTCGACGCCTGCCCGATCCCGCACCTACGGGCCCTCGTCGTCTTCGCAGGTGGTCTATGCTCCTACCCAATCCACCGCCGAGCCTCCTAGTCCATCCCCGGGAGGCGATCTTGCCGATTTGCTTGCGGATGCTGCTTTCCTCGAGCATCAGTTGGAGCTCGGCGGCTACTTCAGCCCGCGCAAGGACGTCTTCTCTAGCTCGGCTGGGCTGGCGGGGACACTCGGCGCCTCGGCCGCAGATACGAACTCGGACGCTAAGGCGCACAATCGAAACCTGTCTGTGCAAACCATCAAGGCCGACCCGCCAAGCCAAAGCGACAAAGCGAAGGACAAGGCGCCGAAGGACAAGCTCGGCTCGCTTTCCTCCAGCGCGATGGAAACCCCGCCGCCGACGCCTCCACCCAAGAGCCCCGACTCGCGCCTCTTCTCCAGCCTGCGCTCGCTGCGCAAGCGTGCGTCGACCGCGTACCCGCGAGACAGCATCGCTTCGGAGCTTTCCACGAGCACGACGGACGAATCGGCGGCACTCCAGACGCCCAACTCATACGATGAACTGGGTGTACTGGTCACGCCTCCGCAGCAAGGGCACGGGAGCCTGGCAAGCGGCCGGCCATCATCAGTGTTTAAGGACGATGCGAGCGTTGCAAGCTCCCGCTGGAGCTTGAAGAGCAGTACGTCCTCCCCACGGAAAGGCATTGGGAGGGCGACGAGCTTCGCGGGCAAGATGTTCGGCAAGTCCAAGAGCCGGACGCCGTCGATCCGGACCATGGATTCTCGCGGTAGGTGTTACATGGGCACTCCACCTTGACGATTCAGACTGACGATTTCCCATGCAGACGAGCTACGACCTCGCGCCTCATCACCCGCCCCTTCTCTCAGGCTTCTGGACCTCGACATTTCCTCTTCTTCGCTGTCCCCGGTCGCCGATGGCGAACACGCATCTCGGCGCGAGTCCTGGATGTCATCTACGACCTCCTCCCTCTCCTCGCCCGGCTTCGACCAGGAGCTGTTTGATGCCTTCCCGTCCGTACCCAGCACCGCGACCTCCAGCGGCACCCAGGGCCGCGGCACGCTTGCACTCGACACCAGCAACCTACCTGCGTCCAAATATGGCCAGACAGATGGCGGCACGACGTTGCTCACGCCGCCGTCGCGTTCGTCCTCGCTAATGGGCCTCGGCTTCCATCAGAAGCATGCTACCTCTCCGTCCTAGCGCGAGAGCGCTGCTTCCTTAGTCCCTGCTCACATGCTTTAGTCATTTGCTTAATCCCATCATCACTCTCTGCTCGCGTTTGTTCCCGGCTGACAACATATAAACGGCCCCTATCTGCATCTTTCACATTCATTTCTCTTGGATAGGATATAATATACAACATGAAATAAAAAGGCGATCGTGAGCGGGTTATCTCGTACATATGGTGACCCTAAGATGGTACGGCGCTGGTGGATGATCTCCGCCTTGGCCTGTCCGTCGGGCCCGCCGAGTCCGTGCGAGACTTGCGAGGAGACGCGGGCGGTCCGTCCGTGGTGCTGGTGGGCATCTTCCGCGCCTGCGTGAAGAACAGCTTAGAGTCGCGGTTAGCGATGTTCTGGATGTAGTACATGTTGCCTGCCAGAACGTTATGTTAGCATCCTTCCTCAGGAGGGGAAATGATTCTCGACTCACCTCGAGGGACAATCACTGTCCCGCCTGAACACAGAATGAGGGACGTCCGGTGGACCTTGATCTGCACGGCGCCTTCAATCACGTAGAATATCTGCCTCAATGCATGAGTCGTCGAAAAAAGCACGCTTGAAATGAGAAAACGCACATAGGTGTTGTCCTTCGAGTTCTTGCTCGGCTTCTCCCCGCCCACAGGTAAAATAAGCTCTCCAGCTGCGATGAACTCGCCATCGCCGAAGATCTTCTGGTATAAAAATGTCGCATTCTCCGATGCGCGGGGTTGGACCATCTTGGCAGTGAAGGCAATACCTGATTGACATTGTCAGCGGTAGGATTGGGATGATGGACAATGCGCATTACGTCTCTCCACTTCGTCACCAGTATCCCAGTCCTTCACCACGCCGTACGGTTCGGTCTTGTCATCCCAGCCTTCCTCCGGGTTGAAATCCTCGGCCAGATCTTCGAGTTCTTGTTCTTCATCCACGGCTTTACTCTGGCTCTTACTCCGCGGCCGAGGCCTCATGCTCGCAGCTCGCTTTCCCTTCTTGCGTTTCGCGCCGAGGGGCTGCGGTTCTTCTTGCGGTATGCGAACGATCGCCTTTATTTCCGCCACTTGCCCTCCCTGCGACTCGCGTTGTGCGCCATACTCAACGCGCTCCAGGCGCCACCATTCGAGGGGGGCGTACCGGACACGTTTGCCACGACGCAAACCAGGTTGCTCGTCGGGATCAGGTGTTGGCTCTGACGGCTGGTCAGTATAGACAGCCAGACCTGGGTCACCATCACATACTCACCCGAGTGGACGGGAAGGCGGATTTCTTTCTGCAGATTTTCCTTCTGGGAGTTAGAGGACAGCGGCTTCGTCGCACGGACGCGCTTGGCTTGCGACTTGGGCTTGTCCGCCTTCGGCTTCGGGGTTTTGGTTTTCTTCGATTTCTTCGGACGCGAATCGGCCTCCGCATCGTCTTCCGCCGCGAGCTCGTCATCCACACGCGCCTCATCCGATTTACGTTTTTTCCTCCGCTTGCCGTCTGATATCGGTTTCTGCGGCTCTTCCTCCTCGCCTTGCGACTCTCCTTCCACACCGTTCGCGCCGTCGAATGGATCCACGTCCGGTACGTCATCCAGCATGGACTCGTCGAACCTACCGTTCGTAAGGCGTACGTCCTCTTCGTCCATCGCAGGAGGGACGTCACTCGCACGCCCTTTGCCCTTCTCACGGGCGGAGAATCGGGGCGCAGGCGCTACTTCATCCTCCTTCTCCCCCTCGTCGTCGTCGGTCTGATCCAGCTGACTAAAACTGGTACTCGGTCGTCCCGGGGTGGCCGCCCTCGGCATCGGCTCCGGTTCGTACTCCGCTTCATATACCTCTCCCGGCACCGGGTCCGCCAGTGGCTCATTGTCGCTGTCATCGTCGTACTGATCATATTGAGGCGCGTACGACGACCTGTTCGAGAGGCGCGAGACAGAAAAGGCGGTGCGGCGACCCACTTCCGGCGAGTCGGCGCCGGAGTCCCTGTGGCTACGAGTAGAGTGGGTGCTCCGACGCCGAGAGGACTCATCCGCGTGCAGACCGACGGACGTGACGGAAACATGCGACTTGAGCACCGAGCGGGACTGGGTTGGAGACCGCACCGGCACTTCGTACTGCCGGTCGTCGTCCGCAAGGTATGACTTCGAGAGATCAGACCGGCCAGCGGGTCTTGAGCTACGCCTCGACTGAGACAGGCTCGACGGCCGGGGAGAGGGGACGGCGTCGAAGTCCACATCGGACACGCGTGCGACTGGCCGAGACGATGATCCGACACGGCTGATACTGTTGGGAGCGATAGGCTGGCCTGTGGTCTTAAAGTAGGCATCGGGAGCTAGAGCAAAAGGATCCGTTCAATATCAACGCATATATGCGCGCGTATTGCCTCACTGTCGGCAAGCTCCATAGATTGTGCGCCGTCAGCGTCTTCTAATATAGGTGTAGCTGCTCTCTTCGTACTCTTCCTTCGGTTCTTCCAAATTGGTACTTGAGGTCGGGGCTGAGCGTCCAAGCGATGGAGGAGCTGATCGAACGGTTGGATTTCGTCGGACCCGCCATCGTGGTCGATGCGGATGCCGGTGCGCTTGCCAAAGTTGAGGTCGTCAGCGTTGTACGGTCTGTGCACCCGCGGCTGAAGTCCCCGGCGGGCAATGGGTCCTACGCTCGACTCGCGCGAGGCGGGCATCTTGGCGGCGAATATCTTCAGGCGATGTGGTCGATGCCAAGCTCGGAGTTCAGCTGGTCGGTCGCGGAAGCGGGCAGCGGGGTCATGTGACCGTTTGATGGTACACAGAACGCACAGCCACTCCCGCTCAAGTCCTTGCGCGATGATCTTGGCTGCAGCTGCGCGACGATGCTCGGTCGGCTGTGTTGCGCGACGTTTGTTTTCGACATATGCAGAGAGGCAGGTCCCGAAGAAGGGTGACAGAGGTATATCTCAAATATCACCTTCAAACGAAACTTAACCTGACCCCAGTACAGTAATCGTCGCCATGTCCGGAGGCGTAGACTCCTCCGTCACGGCAAAGTTGCTCGCAGACCAGGCGAGTATTCAGAAAGTTGCGCGCCGTTCTTCATTCTCAATGAAAACTCTCAGGATTATGATTTGTCTGCCGTTTTCATGCGCAACTGGGATACGCGAGACGAGACCGGCACCGACCGCGGCTGCGAATGGGAAAAGGACTGGGAAGACGTCCAACGCGTCTGCAAAGCCCTCGGCATTCCATGTGACATGGTGAGGCATCCAATTCCGTTCGGCCATCCCGAACCTCAAGCATGCGACGGCAGAGCAGATTGATCTCTCGCGGGAATATTGGACGCGCGTGTTCGAACCCTCGTTGGAGGCCTGGCAGAACGGCGTGACGCCGAATCCGGATGTTTGGTGCAACAAAGAGGTGAAATTTGGCGCTCTCACCGACCACCTCCCTCCGTCGGCTTGGATTGCCACAGGTCACTACGCTCGCAAGTCATGGCACCCTGTTCATAAACGTCCGCAATTGCTCCGGTGTGCGGACCGCCGTAAAGACCAAACGTATTTCCTCGCCTCAGTTTCCGAGACTGGCCTCGAGCGAGCACTATTTCCTATAGCGCACCTGAAAAAGGACGAAGTGAGGGAGATCGCGAAACAAGCGGGCTTACATACCGCAGAAAGGGAGGAGAGCATGGGGATATGTTTTGTCGGCGAGAAGAGAAGGTTTTCTGACTTCATAAGTCAGTGATTTCTGCTCATGTCCTGATCCCTTCGCTGACGAAGGTGGGCCTGCAGCTCAATATATACCTCCATGCCCGGGCCCTGTTATCCACGAAGTGACCGGGAAGCGCCTCGGGTCGCATCAGGGCTTGATGACTTATACTATCGGCGAGAACTGGAGAGCGTCTGGTATGGTAGAGAGAATGTTTGTTTCAAGGAAGGATACCAAAAACAACACCATATATGCCGTCCCTGGAAGGTGAAGCCGAGTCCTCTCGACGTCGAAAACGAACCCCTGATCTAGTCGGTGACACCATGTTGCTAGCAACCATCCATTCTTGTTCGTGGATGCCGTCACGACGAATGCGTTCTCCTGGATATGGGCCGATTGCCCTCCACCTGAAATCCATACGCCGGATGGTTACAAGTGTCGTATGCAGCTTCGCCACAAGATGGACAGTGTTCCCTGCACGGTTCGAGCGTATGTTTCTAATAATGTTGTCTACCACATCCTCTGACACAGGCTTCACTGATACCAGTCGCAGCGAAGGCCGAATACGGATAAGCCTCGATGAACCACTCAAAGCCGCAGCCGAGGGCCAAGTAGTGGTATTATGGGACGACGACTGGTGTTTGGGTTGCGGAGTCATCACCAGGACCTCCAGAGCCCAAACATTGTGACTTGGGGACTACCGGATTGTATTAAAATGCCAAATCACGGATCTTGCCAGAGCAGAATGTATTTGCAGCACGGGCAAAGTGGAGTGGGACGTTGACTATGCACTGCATGTTTTGGCGGGGCTCCTCGCGGACATCTTTGCCTACTGCGGGGAACTTTTACCACCTTACAAATACACTCTAGTATCGCCGCTTCCAGTGCTGCTGCATCTCGCCTTCTTCACTTCTGATCAAGGCGACCACGCGAAACGCGGATTGCATGGCTAGTGCCTGCGCCAATGCGAATACGAGCGCTCAAGTGCCTCCGTCGAACATCCTCGTCGTGGCAACCATGAGTCGGGAGTGATTGCCAGGAAGATTACGCGCCGTGAGCTCTGCGTGAAGTGCATGAGGGGACGAAGATCAGCAAGTGATCAGGTTCCTGGAGGTTCAATCCTCCAAGGCTTCGTCGTAGATCATCTTGTGACTGGACCACCACTGCGCATTCGTTATACGTTGATTATGATCCGAAACGGGCCAACCCGAGATGCACTTGTCAACCCTCACGCGAAAATTATGTCCAGACCTTAATATGGATTCGAAGTAGGGTCACCGTTCCCGTGGCAATGACCGTTGGCAAATTGAAGCCTATCCTTCGATCCGGGATCATCGGAGTGTGTAAGCTCGCCCCTTTCCAATTGGACAACACAACGCGTGCCCCTGGAGCCTGGCCTTGCGACAGCAGAAAAGCGGACATGGGTCGCCGCTGCTCCTGCTACCTTTTTACCCAACAACCGCCTTGAGACGCGTACTTTCGCTCTCCGGACCCGTTCTTTTTTTCGTCGCCGTTCCTTACTGTTCTTGCCGACATGCACAAAGCTGTTACCCTCCTAGCATTGGCTTGCGGCGCGCAAGGTGAGAGCACTTCAGCCTCCTGGCCTGATGCATGCTAACGGTGGTGTTTCAGTCTCTTTCGCGCAGTTGTCTTTGTACCTTCCCGGATTCGACCCGCAACCGCTCACTGCCAGCGAAGTCGGCGTTGACTCCGCAGGGCGCACGACGTGGGCCATCGCCGCTGCTCCTACCGTCACCGATGACGCAGATATCGGCATAGTCGGGACAGGTGGATACGCAGCGTTCCCATGCCCTTCCGCGTCGATGCTCATCTCTGGCATCCTACAGCGACCCTCGTCGAAGGATCTGATTACGCCTCCGTCATCGATATCGACACCATTGATAGTCTCACTGTTGAAGCGGCTTGCACCATCGCCGGTGGCAACGCCGTTTGCGTAGCAGACGACGGCTCTGAGACCGCGACCGCTACGGAGCCCGTGTCCTTCATCCAAGTAGACGGCGCTGCCGCCGCCGCAACCATTACCGGTGGATCTGCCTCCGCCGCTGTCACCGGTACCTCTTCTGCCTCCGGCGGATCCAGCGCCGGCACCTCGCCATCGGACAGTGGGAGCGCGGCAAGCCCCTCCCAGACGGACAGCGGAGCGATGGGATTGCGGGCATTTGGTGGATTGAGCCTCACCCTGGGTCTTGGTTCCGTTGCTTTCGTGGCGTTTGCTTGAATCACCCACGTACTGCATCGTGTCATGTTAATGATATAACTTTGAAACGCCTCCACCTCAAGACCTCAGATACCGTGATAACGCTAAAGGTACTTGGTCGGACGTGATAATATAAGCACTTGGTTCGAAGTGGGCAAACATGAACTATTTTGATCACCGATGCTGTAATTGGCCAGGTGATGTGGCTGTGATCAAGACGTACGGATGTCGACCTCCGAGTCCGACGAGCCGTTGCTCGACGACGAACATCCATTAGCTCTTGAACTCGTCAGCCTGCGCGCGGCGGTAGCAAGATACCAGGTCTGCCAACGTCGGAACAGTCAGCAAGCGGTTCATTCACAGTATCTGATATAGGATGAGGCCCACGCCAACGCTGTCAAGCTTCAGCGGCACTCACTGGAAGCATCACATGCACTCTCTCGAACACGCGCCTTGGAAGTAGAAAACACAAGGCTCCTGGAAGAGATTGCTACTCTGCGCGCGGAACCAGCGCCCGACATCGCCGCGGCCAATGCCACCCATCAAGCCGCAGAATTGACCCTTGCGCTGCGTTCTCTGTCCGACAAGCTTACCGCCACGGAGGCTACGCTCGCTGCACGGTCTGCTGAGCTTGCTAAGGCGAACAACGAGATCCGGAAACACAGCCACGAAGTCCATCGTGCCAAAGAAGAGGTCGCTAAGACGTATGCGATCAAGGCGGAGTACGAGGAACGTGAGCGTGAACTGGAGAGGCGGATCTGGGCAGCGGAGGAAGAACGTAATATGGCGGACCTCGTCGTGCAGGAATATGCCGACCTCGTCAGAGAGCTGGAAGGCCGTCATAAGAGCCCTGGTCACTCGCGCACGTCCTCAAGCGTCAGTTCATCGAGCATTGTCAGCGAAAATCTGGTGCACGGCCTTGCATCGAATAGGCAAGGACTTCAGAGATTGTTCTCGGAATTCAGCGCGTCCTCCGAAGCGTTCGAAGCTGAGATCACCCGACTCCATGGCGAACTGGCGTCCCTGGCCGCCGAGCGCGAAGCGGAAAGACGTGCCTGGGAGGTGGAGCGCGCTCATGCAGCTCAAACTGCGATGGAACTTGAAAAGCTACGGATCGACGACAATACCGCCGCCAAAATGGTTTCTCGCTACATGTGCACATGCTCTCTTTGTCACGATCGATATTTTGCTGACGCCGTTCCGGCACTTTTTAGGAAATTTTCCCAACAGACCACCTCTTCTCTCCAAGCCGCACTCGAAAAGCTCAAGATTCGCCATGCTGCCACCATATCTACTTATGAGAGCCAGCTTGCCTCCCTGCAGCATCTCCTGTCGTCATCACAGTCGGATGCCTCAAGGCTCCGAGATGCATTGGATGAGCTGACTGGCGAGCTGGCGAAGGAGCGTTTTGGACGTCGGAGAGAGGTAGCCCTCAGGCTTGCGCTGTTGAGCAGGGAGGAGGCACTACAAGAAGGCCTCGCAAGGTGGATCAGGGACGCAAAACAGAAACTCCAGAAAGCGGGTTGCGATGACCCGGAAGACGTGAAGAATGCGTGTCAGGCCATGCTCAGTGCTGCCGGAAAACTCCAGGAATGTGGTGGCGTGGACGGTGATTTCCGATTTGCGTCTACGGCAAGGATCATCGCTGCGGAGGGTGCGGTTAGGGCGTTGTCTTCCGAACTGAACGCGGAGACAGGAGCCAGAATGGCGTTGGAGAGAAGGATCGCCAGGTTGAGGACTGCGAACGGGATCAGGGACTACGACGATGAACCGCCGAGTGTTCCTCCAAAGAGTGCATCATTTCGACCGCAAAGCCAAGAGACAAATGGACATATCATTATGCTACCGGACAACGGCCAGGACATTGACAGACCGCCACAACACACGCATGAACAACAGCCACATCTGCACGACGACGTGACTCCGGAAGTGATAGAAGATCGCTCAGCAACGCCCTCGGCGCGAGGAGATGTCCAGGTTTATATATCCCCGAGTCTCGCAGCCGCACACACCGCAGGTGATACTCAGTCAATGGCACCCAGTGCGTCGGCACATGCTCCTAGCTCGACATCGCAACCGCTTTCCCGCGACGACATTTCCAATGAGCCCGTGCTACATCCGGAGATCCAGCAGCTGGATAGCGTAGTCGCAGAATCGGAGGAGTCTACCTCGCCCGATGTGGGGCAGTCGTCGGCGTACCACGCGCCACCGGTTGAGGCTACGGCATCAGATCTTGAGGAGGTGCAGTCTCGTAAAGCCGAGCCGAGCCCGGGCGTGACGACGCGGACATCCAGCATCGCATTCCCCACGGACGCCACAGAATCAGCAACTCCGTTATCGATCGAAAACGACGCGTACCTCCCGGCCTTGCCATCCGACGACGCATCTACGGTGGCTGAGGAGGAAGCTGTCGCGATGGTCACCCCGCAGCCCGCCAAGGGTGACGATATTCCGACTGCTGATGGTGCTCATGCCTCTATCATGGAGGTCACCAACGAGAACCCGCTTCTCGTCGACCTCCAACAGGTCAAGACACGCTATGATAGTATGCAGCGGGCGTTCAGGGACTGCCATCTCGCTCTCAAGGCTCTGCAGAGTGACATAGGAGTCTCACAGGACGACACTGGGGCGTCGTCGAGCGCGCACTCCCTTGGGGCCAACCAGCATCACGCTGTCCTGCGCGTTGCCATAGAGAGGCTGAGCGACTTCACTGAGGATGCCCGAGTGGAGCTCGAGATCCGAATTGCGGACGAAGAACGTATGATCATGGGATATGAGACGCTGCTCAGTGTCCCCGGTGCGCTCTCTTCCGCCACTGACGATGGAATGGGAGACCTAGAGAAGGATATCCGACTCTTCGTCACCGGAGAAGACTCGGCGGTGCAGAAGGCTCTCAGAACGTTTGGCCGCAAACTTGAAGACGTGCAGCACGACATCGCCTCTGTGAAACGTGCTTTACATGAGGGGCCCGCGCACGAAGCAGAACAACCCTCGGCACCGCCGGAAAGCCCCAAGGCCACGACATGGTCGTGGACAGGCGGCTTATTCGGAACGTCGAGATCGCCGAGCCCTGCACCAACCTTTGGCTCCGTCGTGACCCAGCCTCGTCTGCGACACCAGAACTCGTCCAATCGGCTTTTCCCTCAATATCAGCGTCGCGCCAGCGCCGGGTTAGCTCCTAACACTGACTCAGATCCATTCGCTGAAATTGGCTTGCGGGTGTCTATGCCCTCGCATGTGGCCTCCCTGGCACGTTCGGGCACTTCCCAGCCGTCGCCACAGTCGCGAACGAGGACGATATCCGGCATGTACATGTTAGGGCTCGGTTCGGGAATTGGGTCCAGGAGCGCACTCCCCACGCCCTCGCATGCCTCTGTTGTTCCGCCATCCCCTACCCCGAGGAGGCAACATATACCCCTTATAGCTACATCGGACGAAGAGAGCGAGGACTCGGAAGACCAAAACGATGTAGAATAATACATATTTATGTTACCGACCTGACTTGATCGAAGTGGGGAAGTACAGTACCGTCTGCATGGGGCCTTTCGTCCATATTTGACCTTCTAGCCCGGGATTCGTTCCTGCCTCAACACTGCGGCGCCTCGCAGACATCGTTTGCTCATTGTGAGATACCTGAGCAACGGTAATACTGCGACACCACGACAACACCCCCGCGAACGGCAGTCTCATATACTTGTATTATATAAAGAGCGCCTGGACAGCGTCCATGTATATATCACTACAGATTATAGATATTCCAGGTCTGTCAAGGGTATAAATATCAGTGGCAGGACGTGAGTTGCTAGAAAGCAAGTCTGACCTTGCGCCATAAGAGACCCCAATGCTCGTTGATAGGTCCATCAATCCCGAATGCCAACCCTTTGAACCACCAGAAACATGCGACGATAGAGAACGAGATGACTCCGAATATAATCCATTTGGTCTTCTCCGTCAACCGGCGCGACGTGAACACAGCGTGATCGATCAAGTGGGCCGCCATCAACACGGCGAAATACAATGTTGGTAGCTAAGCAGCAGTAGTCAGCGTCCATGCAAGTGACCGGAAAGTAAAAGATAGCGTACATAGTGATGGAGGTAGGTAACGCGACCCATGATTAGGAAGGGGAAGAAATGCAAGAACCAGCCGAAGAATGCGATCTTGCCAACATACAAGAAGTGGTCCCACTCCCCTGCAAAACATGTCGGTTATAAGAAGTACTATGCATCATAGACACGCACTGGGTTCCATGTCAACGTATTTCCGCTGCTGGCGGAGGAGGTACACCCCGAGGACCACTAGAGATAACCCGAGGCTGATCGTGCTGCCCCACCATATGATAGGTGTGCCCAGAAGGTAATACTTGGTCTGGTTATCACCCCACCCGCACATACGCAATCCAAGGCGCAACAGCGGCCAATCGGTGGGCTTCGAGGCAAGGATATCCTCCTTATCGGGATCGGGAATGAGGGCGTTATTTGATGTCATCATCGCGACGTTCAGATGCCAGAAATCACGAATGAACGGGGAACTGTAGTAACGAGCATCGCCGGGTGGCACTGTGCAATGAAAGATCAGCAGCCGTACTTATCGAGCAGCGGGATCCAACTGACAGCGTTCGTTCCAGTGACTTTCCACGTTCCAGTACGTGTGGGTGTCCTTCGGGTTATTCTCCTTATCGCAGCTGACTTCGATCTGTTTGAAGCCCCACTGAGGTAAAATGGCGTTCGCTGCCCGCAAGTAGCAGCCGAGGACTTGATGTTTGAACCTCATTCTGGTCGTTAACGAATGGATGCGGTCGACCTTTTCTCTTCTTCCACGATGCAAGTCGTCAACAACCTCAACAACCCAGTAATCGTGGTAGTCGCCGATGGTCGCATTTCCGTAGCAAGAGACCTCGTTGTTGTGCTTCGATACAGGTGCAGGAACGTTGTGCGAGTGCAGGTTGCGAGTAGTCGGAGCATGTTGTAGACGAATGACATCTCCGTGCTTGAGGTACCGAAGAGGTGAGCTGGAGTCATACACAGGCTCGTCCCACGGAGGCTGAATGATCCACTGGTTGTTATCATCCTTGTAGTGATAGCAAGTGACTTGTTGCTGGTTGGAGCCCACAGGGTAGGTCTGGACGTGCGAATGCAGCAATCCCCCACCGTACCCAACGTTCTTCAGGGTCAGTTTTGAACCGAAAGCAATGTCTGGTAGAAGATTAGTGCTTCATCATGGTGCGAATATGGGGAGATCTACCTAGCGGGTTATTGGCGAAGTCATTGCCTTCAAGGTTTGCCTGGAAGAGAGAGCTCATCTGAGCGTCACCTGGTCCAGAGTGGTTGAGAATGATGAAATGAAGCTTGAATGCGGCCATGTAGGTAAGGAATGGAAGGATAATCAGACAAGCGATGCGAGCACCCCAATGCCTCGCTTGGTCTCGCTGCAAACAAATCAGCAACAGTGCGGGGGGAACCGAGAAGACGTACGTAGGACATCTTCAAGTCGCCGAACTTTTCCCAAAGGTCTTCTATGGTGTATAAGCCGACCAGTGCAGTAACGAACAGACCGACTAGTTTCACGCTATACATCGGGTATCAATATCATGCCGCCAATATGGGCTAATGTACGCACCCGTTCACCCATCCGATGGAAAGACCAGTCATTACCAACCAGAACCACCAGTCGAAAGAAAACGGCCTACAAAATATAAACAAGTCGTGAAAGTAGGGTAATACGATGATGCGTACTGATATTGTTGGTTGTGGAACTTAGTAAGGCAGAACACCGTTAAAAATGTAAAGAAAAGCAACATGGAATCCAGCAGGATGAATCGCGATATACACAGCCAAGCAACATCTGGGATGTATATGAGCATTGCGCGAGGAAGAACGGAAAGCCAAGCTTTCTCACCGCATAGCACCATTAGCGCAACGAGATGGCAGGCCCTCCAGCTCATCCCTAGCTCCACAGCTGTGTACCACCCCAGAGGCACTAATGCGACACCGAACATCGCCAACATCACGCGCATTGATTGGTAAGGGACGTTATCCGGATACTTTTCGCCGCTCTTGAAGTCGAAGTGTCCATCGTATCCGGAGAGTAAGCCAGCGAGGCCGACAAGCATCTTTCCGAGAGGTGGGTGGACGTCGAAATAAAATTCGCGCTTCAAATAATGCGAGCCGAACTTTCCAAAGTGGGCCTCGTCCCAGATAACATGCGGAGAGTAGCCGATTTTATAGAAGCGCGTCCAGCACGAAAGGAGCGTGTAGATGGCTGGAGCAACGTGCTCCATATTTTGTTCCAAGAATTCGCGCTGAATATCGAGTGAGCGCCAGCGCATGATGGCCATCAATGGAGCGCACGTACCATCGACGTGGCAGGTGGAGGAGGAGGGCGTCGAATGCGCCCACCACCCAGTCCGTTCGCCTTGGCCAAGTTCATCTTCGAATAGACGTCCTTGCCCCCATCGTCATCGTATGCAGACCCCTTCTCCGACACTGCACCGTAGTCGTGCCCGTTGCTCGCGCTCGCGCCGGCATTGGTCCTGACGACCCTCCGCCGAGCTGAGTCCTCAGTCATGTAGTGCAGTGGTAGCTCCTCCTGTCTGTAGTCGGGCGGCGGGGTGGGTGCTTTGGTCCAGTTGGTTGGCGGGTAATTGATCTCTTCAAAGTCGGAAGAAGTGCGCGCTGAGCCTGGTGGGGTCCCGAGATCTAGCGCAACTTGGGCTGGTCGCAGACTCATGAACTAGCTAGGCAGCCTGCTTGAGCTCGCCGGGGTCGGCTGGGTGGGCAGCGTAGGGGCGCTATGCGCTGTCGCGGTGATGGCGTCTGGTCAAGTATGAGCGTTCTGCACGTGAGTGATACGTAGCCTACGCCGGCGTCGGAAGCCGCAGCTGGCACAGGAAATCCAAACCCGGCCCCGAACACGCCTAGATCCCAAAATAACGCGGCCGGATTGATATTGCAGACGCGGACAACCCATACATGCATCGTGAGCATGGACGAACAGAAGGTAATAACATGACACATGAGAGCGAAAATTAGACTACACAGCAGAAAATATATGGTACCGGCCACGTCCATACACAGAGCATTGATGATTAACGTTTTCATGCGTGTCGCTGGTACTGAGCTGCAGGTATTGTCATCACACGTCCCGGGTTGAAGCTGAAGGATCCAAGTATGAACACACCTGTAACCATCGCGTGGTCACGCTCGTAAGGCTCAAGCGTCACCTGCTCGATGGGCTTGAAGTGGAACTTCCGCAGAACCTGCACTTCCGATGCGAAGACCTCCGCGGCCGGAGCGGTGGAATCGATGCAGTTGGCTTTGATGGAGATGATAGCATGGCCCCCGTTTTTGAGGAAGTTCTCTGCGTTGAGCGCCACGATACGGGCTTGGTCGGGTTGTGCGACGTCGGCGAAGATGGCGTCGACGCTCGAGAGCAGCATACGGTATTTTTGGGGCGCACGCGCGTCCTCCACAATAGCTAGAAGGATGGTCAAGAGGCAAACTATTCATACCCGAGGAAAACACGTACGAATGACATTGGTGCGCTTCTTCGCCATGTTGATTAGGTCGCGACCTGAGCGAGGCGAGAACTCAACGGCATAGACGATGCCCTCCTGTATGTCAAGCATTAGGACGTATACGCATGCGTAAACGAGGAGACGTACGGGACCAACGATGTCTGCGACGTGGCTGACACTGGTTCCGCTGGCAGCACCAAGGTAAAGCACCTTCTTGCCGGGTGCAATGTATATGTGGTCCAAACCGCCCAAAACGCCAGCGGCCAACTTGGACCGGAAGGGGTTCCAGACGCGGTACTCGACCTTGGTGCCGTCTACGCCGCCGTCGATAGATATTCTCTTCTCGCCGTAGACGGATTCTCCAGGGACGAGGTTCTTCGTGACAAGCATGTGCTCCTTGCCCTTAGCGAGGAAAACGCCGGGATGCCTGTGCGGTTCGAGCACAACGTTAGCGCCGCCCCTTGCACCTCCTCTTCCACCGCGTCCGGCACCACGTCCTCCACGAGCGCCGCCTCGGCCAGGAGGTCCACCGCGACCACCGCGACCGCCCTTTTGTACGCCGCCCCTTGCTCCTCCTACACATGCGTTCAGATCCGCCGCAAGCTACGATTATCTGGAAAGAATACCTCGTCCTCCGCGGAACCCGCCCCTTCCACCCCGGTCACCTCCACCGCCGCGACCCCTACCGCCGCCGAAGCCGCCACGGCCTCCTGGAACACCTGTTTTGTTTCTCGAGTTCAGGACATCTGTACGCATTACGATCCGGGCCACACATACCAAACGCCATTTACCACGAGCTTTGATGTAAAACAGAACGGTAAGGTAGTTGTTGAGCCCCAAACCCACCACAGACCCCTGGTACAATTTTTGGAGTAGAGGAGGAAGCGGTGAGTGACAGTAGTGTTGTCACGCAGTCATAAACATGAATACCCCATGACTGTCACGCCACACCCGTATCAGCCTGGCCATTCATTACATTCGGGACCGCAGTGACTGCATTCGGTTTGTGATCCCGCTGATCAATAAATTAGTGACTCCAGTTTCAGCTTCAATCCTCAAATCCTATTCACGCTATCACCATCATGTCTACCGTCGTTCAACAACCGAGCCGCCAGCAGAACTCATCTCGCGGTGGTCGCAAGAATCGTCGAGGGGGAAATCGCTCGCAGACAACGCCTATCGCGAAAGCTAACGATGCTGCGCCTGCGACCGATCACCAAAATGCCGTGGAGACAACGACTGCCGTAAACACCACCACGGACGGTGCTCAGGCCGCTTCTGAGGCTGATGAGGCCGCCGTGTGCTGGATCTGTGCCGAGCCGGTCAAATATTACTCGGTGTCCGAATGTAACCATCGTACCTGCCATGTATGCGCTCTTCGGCTGCGCGCTCTCTACAAAAAGATGGAATGCACGTTTTGCAAGGTTCGAGTGGCAAGCGTTGACGTTGGCTGAGTTTTGCTGATGCACCACGGCTCGCATACAGGAACCTCAGCCAACGGTTATCTTTACCACCTCTCCCGATGCCGCTTTCTCTAGCTATACCCCAGACTCGATTCCGTTCAAAGACTCGAAGTTATCCATCTTCTTTGAGACTCAAGATATGATGGAGGACACCCTGATCCTCTTGCGGTTCAATTGTCCTGATCAGAGTTGCGATTATATTGCCTCTGGATGGGGCGATCTCAAGCTCCACGTACGGGCGGTTCATGGCAAGCTCATGTGGTCAGTGCAGTCAGTTGGGGTCAATCTTGATAACCTCATCACCGGGGTTTCGCAGCGATCTTTGCATCCGGTCTAAGAAGGTCTTCTCCCATGAGCATGCTCTGTATCCCCCAAATCAGCTGTCGCTACACCTGCCGTCCATCCCGCACCGTAATCAGAAGCCCGTACCTCAGGACAAGATAGAGGGTGGCGTTCATCCACTCTGCGAATTCTGCCGGGAATGTTTCTTCAGCGATGACGAGCTGTACGCGCACATGAGAGAACGTCACGAGGAGTGCTTTGTGTGTAAACGACAGGAGATCAGGGACCAATAGTGAGCCGACGGTTTGCGATGATGTGAAAAGGTATAGTATTGACGCCTTACCTTTAGCTTCAGAGATTATCAAGCACTGGTGATTACATTCTACGCGATGTGGATGCTTGACATTGACTAGCGTACCAGGAACATCATTTTACCAATGCTCATTTCCCATGCCGCCAAGCGGAATGCCTCGCGCAAAAATTCGTAGTATTCGGCTCTGCGTTAGACCTACAGGCGCATATGGTGGAAAATCACGGCGCCGTCATGTCTGCTCGTGATAGGAAGGCTGCTATGCATCTAGAGACTGACTTTCAGTTCGAGGACAACGCCGGAGGTCGAGACAGGGGCCGCGGAAGGAGAGGCGAACGAGAGCCTCCCCCGCAGCCTGCTGCACGACCTCCAGCTGCGGGAGGTGGTGGGAGGCGACGAGAAGGTTTCGGAGCCCATCTCACAGGAAGCGGGGAAAGCAGCGCTGTGGCCACCCCGAGTCACAGGCGATCACCTTCTCCGGCTCGTCAGCGAACGCCATCGCCCCCACGCGATGTTGATCCCGTTGTTGCAGAGTACGTTTCATGTTAGCGCGGCTCTTCGTATGACTGATGACCTCGTGCATCGCAGGAGGCACGCAACGTTCTTGTCCCGTTTAAGAACTTTGGCTCCCAATCCTACGAACGCTGAAATAGCCGTGAAAGCCGCGGTTCGATCCTTCCGGGCCTCTGAATCTACCTCTCGAGACCTCATTTCGACCGTGTGGAGCGTTCTCGATCGTAATCTGGATAACACCGCGACCATCATCAATCTCCTCGTCGACATGTTCGATGACGAGGAGAAGAAATCCGATCTCCTCGGTGCTTGGAACGGCTTCAAGATAGAAGTAAGTTCTCACTTCCGCGGTATATCATGGTAGATGCGTGCTGATGCCACGTCCTGCGAACAGCAACGGCGCCAGTTCCCTGAGCTTGTGCCTACAGGAACGGGTAGCGACTTCGCCGGCATTACCAGCGGCCGTGTTCTCAATGCAAAGCACTCCACTGCTAACCGCCTCGGGGCGCAACCTTCCCGCGTGTGGGACCGCGTCGCGCAGGCGGCCAGCTCGTCGCGTACCGCATCATCGCCACTTCCCTCTGCACCCAGACCAGCGCGCCTTCCCGAGCATTTTCCGTCGCTGCAGCCCGCTGGGCCGTCGACAGCGGTACCTCGCAGCAATGCGCAGCAGCGTACGCCATGGACGGGCAACACCCCCGCTGCGTCCACGGCGAACGTACCCCGACCTTATTCTGTTCCAGGGCCCGCTATCACCTCTGCTTCCAAAGCATCAGCGGGACGTGCGAAGGGTCTTGATCTATCCAACAAAGCGTTTCCAGGACTTCCCACCTCGACCACTACCAGGCAGAAACCTCCGGTTAGCGGGAACATCTCGCTGAAGAACATAGTTGGCAACACAACCCCGGCCGCCCCGGCATGGGGCGCTAATGGTGCATCCAACAACCCGAACTCGACGCAGGATGCAGGGGCCGGCGGTGCGGATGTCAACGATACACCCAATGAGGTGCCTTCACAGAGCAAGAAAGGCAAAGGGAAGCAGAAACAGAAGCAAACACTGTTCACATTGGGGTCATTCCCGACTTGATGATCTCTGCGGCGGATATCCGATCTCATCTTGTCGGATGTAAGTCTTCGGTGGCGGGATGCATGCCTACACGATGCGCGGTGGGACCAGGCGCAAATTCAGGGCCGATAGATACAAACCTTCTCGCGATAGTAGTCGAGTACAGTTATAGAGGATGTTGCACACGCCGCCGTTTTAGGCAGGTCCGGATATGAACCAACCTTGTTGCGCAGCTCGGAATGGATGGTCGCTAACGTTCAGCCCTACGGCGTTCAAAGTACGTCCGGCAAGCTCACACAATGTATATGGACTAGATTCAGAATTATAGGATAAATGGCAATTATAGGTGTAGTGTTAGGAACACGTAACGTAGATAACAGTCCGTATCATTACATGTAGCCCATTTGTGTACTTAGTCAATTGTATGTGATCGGGTCGTCGAGTATGTGTTTTGTGGCATGTGTTAATGGCATAATTTACGAATAACTGGAAAGGATAGCCGAAGACATGGAAATGGATAAGTTATGATCAAAATGCATAGCATGAAGAAAGCTGGCGGAGAAGAAGAAACGCAGACGACTGTTAGATTCTCGCATGAGTTGCACACCCGGCGTTGGGAAGAGTGAAGCAACGTACAACCATTCAAGCGAAAGCTCCAGAACGAAGCTTATCCGCATATTCTTGCAGCTGTCCTACGAAGCCGAAGTTGGGCTCGGCACTGGCACGCTTTGACTTGACATATTGTACTGCTTGAGCGGGTGACCAGCCGTAGTGGGCGATCAGGAAAGCGCAGACGACGCTCGCGCTGCGGCTGACACCTTGGACGCAATGTACAAGCACCCGTGCGCTTGGATCGCGGAGCGCCTCCCGTACGAACGCGGTCGTGGCAGGTAAATGAGCCGCAAGTTCCGCGAACGGGTTGTCCTCCAGCTGCACTTGCATCGCGCGCATTAGAGGCCAGGAGCCTGCAGGCGGGAGGGCCACGGTACCACGCATGGCAGAGAGGACGTGCGTGATGCCCAAGGCGCGCAGGACCGCCGGGTTTTCAGCGGCGCTGATATCGGAAATGTAGAGGCGGGGAATAATTTCCGATGCGACGGGGATCTGCGCCGACGCAAAGGCGACGTTCGCCGACGGTTGAGGCATGATAAGCGCTGGTGTATGAGGCATGGCCGGAGAGTATGGGGAGATATATCTTGGGTAGGCCGATGATGGCGGCATAATGCTGTGACAGGGCACAGACTGAGTAGCGATCTGAGCAGGTATTAGAGCATTTCAGCGCGCGTGATTCGAGACAGATGGCAGTGACATCGACGAGGGGGATGAGGAGGGAACAGACATACCATGATTACTATTGATATAGGGGGCTGTTACGAGTCGGAGCTTCGTTCCCGATGGATGGATGATATGACAGAAGACAGCCGGGGAGCAGATTATGTGACAGGGTGTGAATCAGTGGAGAAACTCGTCGGTTGGGCTGGGCTTCCGGTTATATGGATGGGAATGGCTGGGTGTGCACGTCCGGAGAAGCTGGACCGCTCTAGCAGACATCGGGCTCCCTGGCACAGCATCGGAGCCCGGTGGGGGGCATATTGTAGGATGCATCGCTTGCTGGTCTGGGGAGGAGCAGCTGTGCTGGCGTTGTTCCAGGATTGGGTGTATGATGATCAGGGGCCGGAGCATGGTAGGCTGTGCTGGCGTAGTCCCGAGCGCAGCTCCATCAGTCGACATCAGCGACACCCAAATGTCCTGATCGAGGACCGGTGGACTCATCCCCCACATCATTCCGCCCATCAGCGCAGTACTCGGGACAGGCAGGAGACGAGGTCAACGCTGGGAAGCGCCCGGGCGAGCCTGGAAAGGCGCGTCAAACCTTGTGATCGCTCGCACCTGGTTGCTTCGCGTCGCCGTATAGCCACCGTCTGCCCAGGTTCGCTCGACGGACTGCCTAAATCTCGGACGACACGCGCCACGGTCAACACACATTTCGCATAGTCCAGCGGGCCAATTCCCCTGCCACCGATGCAGTGTCCGTACTGCGACCGTCGTCAACGTCCTGTACTTTGTCCATAGACCAACCCCTCTCCTGAGGTGCTCTGGCAACGACGCCGCTGTCTGCTGTTGCGAGAAGGTCCCCGTCGGACCAAACCCACTGAGATCTGCGGCCATGTGATACCTGTACTTGCGCGCATGTTAAGCCGCGGCGCAACCCATGATGCAACCAGCCGATCGCTCTCAATGCCCCCCTCTACCGCAGTAGCAGTCAGCGGCCATGATGGCAACACAATACCCCCCTCTCGCCTCGCGGAACGCAGTGACGTGTCGGTATCGGCTGGGTTGTTGGCACGAGCATGCCGTCACTAGCTACGTGGCTATATTTCCACTGCAGTACGAGCTTGTTCTCGCTTAGTGGTGGCCCAGGGCGGTGCACGTCAGGAATAGTGCATGTTATGGTTCGAGCTCAAGATCTTTGCAAAGGTAATCAAAGTTTTCAGACCTCAGCTGAGGTCAAACACGCTTTCAGGCGGCGCTCTGTTGATCCTCCTGTTCATCTTGAGAACAGGCCACACAGATTTACGTGAATCCTTGATTCTGATACTGATCCAAGCGGATGAGAGCATTCTTTTGACTTTGTACACACTGTAGGCGATCTCAGGAAGCTTCAAGCATACCAATGTGAAGGATGACTGCTACAGAAACCGGCTATTACATCAATCACCATCACCCTCTTCCGAAGCCGGCAGTTTTTGAAATCTACGTGAGCCCGCTTTGCGTTGCTTATGCTTGATGTACTTGTTTTGTATTTACTGCCATTCGCCACAGCTTGAATCAGCTCCTTACCCGTTGTCAGCAAATATCCTGTCAATGTGGAGGCTGTTTATTCGGACAAACAGCAACGAGAGAATGACAGTGCGCATTCGCCAAACACCTCGTACTCTGGCCAGGTCATTTCGGACGGGGTTATAATCGTGAAAGCCTTGAGATATGATCGTTGAAGATGATGTACAGGGCTGTAGTCTCCGCTTGTTTGTTTCGCTCCCAGCTGTCATGCTAGCGGTCTGAATGCAGTAGTGCGTCTCACTTGTTACCTATTGCTTTATGAAGATGAATGTAGTAGAGCGATGACTCAATATGAAGCGCTCGCTGTTAATTGTCATGAGGCGCTGTACCGTGATTGGTACATCGACCCCATTTACTACATAGGTAGGTGGCTCGTTCGTAACACAGTCGACGTACCGAGTGCGGCCGTCAATCTAGCACTCCACCAGAAGTCACAGCGGAAACTTCGGTACAACAAATCTGTTGTGCTGTATAAAGGACGTTATGCATGTCGTTGTTTTGCTGGGACGTTGCGGACAGCTGGAGCGTTGTTGCTAGCTCTTCCTTCCCAATACTGAATCCCGGTCCGCTAAATTGAACGAACAGGTGCATTAAACTCGGCTATCCTTTGTCGGGTCTTAACTAAAATGACGGTCTCGCCGAGGTTCGAGCGACGAGAATCATGTAATAGTGGTCGCATAGCGTAGTTACAGAGGACACGCATGGGCGGCGGCATGACACAAACATGGGAGAAACACAAACAGCAATAGAGTAATTACTACTGCTAACCGTTCCGAGAATCATTTGGGGCAGAATTTGGAAAAGGGCAACGCTATGAGAGGTCGTGATATTGCGGGCGGGTGAGGGTACTAGGGAGATGCGATGGCAGCGTGGGCGTCTAGATGAGGTCGCTGAAAAAGATGGCGCGCCATCAGCGCCGCGGCAGAGAATTGATACATTGCGAAGGTGTACGTACGCGACGTTCAGGGGCATTTCGTCGATTTGGGTGTTGTAGAATTCTGAAGAACAGGTGTGAGACGCCGGTGCGGCAGGGATAGAAGGGCAACTTACGTTCAATGTCACGGAGCATCCTGACGTCGTCGGTGGTGACGAAGTTGATTGCGACACCCTTACGACCGAAACGACCGCCACGACCGATACGGTGAATGTAGTTCTCCCGGTTCGTGGGGAGATCGTAGTTGATGACGAGCGACACTTGCTGCACGTCGATACCACGTGCGAGAAGATCGGTTGTAATCAAAACTCGGGATGACCCCGAACGGAATTCCTTCATCAGCAACTCGCGCTGCTTCTGGTCCATGTCACCGTGCTGTATGGAGCAGAGTATATCAGAGATGCAGTCCAAAGATGCGAGGCATGACACCGACCATCGCTGAAACCGTGAACTCGCGGGCGTGCATCTTCTCCGTGAGCCAGTCGACCTTTCGCCTTGTGTTGCAGAAGATGACCGCCTGGGTGATGGTAACCGTCTCGTAGAGATCGCACAAAGTGTCGAGCTTCCATTCCTCCTTTTCTACCGCGATATAGAACTGCTTGATACCCTCAAGGGTGAGTTCATCACGCTTGACGAGAATCCGGACGGGATCACGCATGAACTTCTTCGTCACCTCCAACACATCGGCGGGCATGGTCGCAGACAGAAGCACGACCTGCGTGTCCTGCGGCAGAAGCTGGAACACCTCGTAAATTTGGTCCTTGAAACCACGAGACAACATCTCGTCGGCCTCATCGAGACAGAAAATCTTGATGTTATTCGTGACCAAAGCGCGGCGGTTGATCATATCGAACACGCGACCAGGCGTGCCGACCACGACGTGGACGCCCTCTTGGAGCTTGGCCATGTCCTCACGGACGTTGGTACCACCAACACACGCATGGCATTCGATGTTCATGTAGTCGCCGAGGGCGATGACGACCTTTTGGATTTGCTGGGCGAGCTCACGCGTCGGTGCGAGGATAAGAGCTTGCGTGCCCTTGATGTTGAGGTCGACCTGCTGGAGGATCGAGATGGAGAAGGTGGCAGTCTTGCCAGTACCAGACTGTGCCTGGGCAATGACATCGTGTCCCTTAATGACGGGGACAATTGCGCGCTGCTGGATGGCAGAAGGGCGCTCGAAACTGGACAGGCGTTGAGCACGGCGGGAGCGAGGGCGGTGCTGACCGATTCGGACTCACCCATAGGCGTAGATGCCACGCAGGAGTTCGGCCTTGAGGTCCATGTTATCGAAGCTAGAATCACATTTAGCAACTCAACGTGCTCCTTGACGAGACTGCACAACACACTTGTCGACGACTTGGTCCCAGTTGGACTCAATCTCACCCTCCGGAACGTCCTGAAGCTCTTCTCTGTGATCAACAACGCTCAGCGACGACGACACCGCCGGACAGCGTTTGCAACGTACGCCGACATGCTGGGCTGTTGCTGTTGAATCCGAGGGGATTAGATAGCGTTGGTGGTGGAGGATGGTCGTTGATGGACTTGGGCGTTTACAACGCTGATGAAGGATAAATCTCAATTTTTCTCGGGGGCATCATGCGGCCGGCCCTGGGAACCCACGGGGCCGACACCGACTCATCCCGGCCGGAACACAGCCACTCCCAATAGCATGCCGTCGGAACAGCATCCGCAAAAGCACAAGACATACAGGTATACAAGCACTGCAAAGGCGAGGAGTAGCCAAAGGACATCGATGCGCGATCGGCATTACAGCAGCACTCATGTCATTCCATCCCCTCGTCGTGGTCTCCAGGCCGCTCTAACCAGTACATGGTGTCGCGGGCCTTGTCCCGTATGTCACTGTCCACCTCCACGCCTGCATGCCGGAGGATACCTGCAGCGGACCGGCCTCCAGGACTGATGTTGACGCCCGGGGAATGCGGAGCAATCTCGCACATTTGTCGTAGCACCGCATCTATGCCGGCATCCTGCAGCGCACGCCTTGTCTTCGCCTTGAACGGTGTTTTGGCCAGCTGCAGCACGCACGAGATAGCGGGGCGACGAATCTCGACCTTGGAGTTGGTGAGGCACGTGCGGAGACAATCCATGATGCGTGCGTGTCCGAGAATGTATTCTTGGTGAATCGGTAAGCCATTGGCTAGGTGGGCCAGTACGTACATGGCCTACAACAAGAGTCAGTTATGACGCGGATCTGGGAGGCATTGATGACTCCTGGCGCAGAGCAACCATGCAACCTTCTCGGCGCATACTCACCTGACAAATCACGTCGTCGTTCTCCGACTGCAATGCCATAGCGATAGCTCCCAGGAGGATGTCATTCCCAAGGGCAGAGAACACCATCTCAATATCATCCTCTTTGTCCGCGATATTCTTGAGAACGTTGAGGGCTTGCTCTTGAATGGCGGTATCAGAGTCCGTCAATAACCTGCGTGTTAGGTGAATGCTCGAGATGAGCAGGATGCTCGTGGTCATATCATGGCAAGCGAACTTACTTAGCAAGCATGTGCCAGCCGACGGCGTCAATGACCATGCGCTTCACCTCGGACGTAGCCTTGAACAGCAAATTCTTGATCGCCCAAAGCGCATTCAAACGAAGTAAAAGATCGTCGCCCCTTACTATTGCCACCAGCCGGTCCAGCACATCTTTCTCGAGTATCACCTTCACAAACGAATTCTGATGAATCATCGTGAATGGGGCGATACGATAATCACCTACCGATCTTAGTGGCGAGAAGTCTGTCACCAAGTTACACACAGCAGCCAAGGCTGCGTTGATCACTCGCCTATCCTCTTCCCGGCTGACCCTCTCGATGACTTTCTTCGTCGGATTCAGTGCGCTTCCCTTCTCATCCTTGAATTTGACCCCCAGCGCCACTTCAACAACGCTAATGCCCAGTCCGCTGTCCACTACACTCGTCTTGACCGCCGCGACTGTTCGACTAAGTGCGCGGACACAATGGCAGGCAGCGCAACGTACACCAGGTTTGCGATGAGAGATTGAGGTCTGGAGAACGGGAAGGATGTCAAATTCGCCGATGGCCTGACAACGGATGTCGTTGTCGAATAGGCATATAGCAGCAATCGCCGTCAGCGCAGCCTAGATGCATTTCTTTAGTTACGCAGAAGCCGGGGAATAGTAGTAGAACCAACCTCACGGAATAGTGAAACGGCTTCGGGTTCCCCCTCATCCCACTCTGGAGCCTTCTCTTTCTGGCTGGGCGTCGGAGTCATTGCTTTTGCGACGGTGATGAGCCTGGAGAGACAGCCCTGCACAAACGCTGCGTAGCATAGCTGTACATCGTCGGAAACCAATGTGTCTGGAATGCAAAACATCCGTGAGTTACCAATCTATCAAAAAGGTGTGCTCCACATACATAGGATGAAGCACGCCTTGGCCCTCGTTGCAGGGGGTTCAGCAGACGATGCCAACACGCGGTCGAGAACATGAAGCACAGCAATAGCTTGTGAATTCTCGTGCGACGCGGGCATGCCAGGCAAAGGCGCAAAGAGAGGATTAGCTCGAATGATTCGAGCCGCACTAAACCGTAGCCTCAGAAAAACACGATTAACCATTTGACGCAAATTTATTTACCACAGGCATGCAGCAAGCTGGACGTCTATCGAGCGTGACTTGCATAAGGAGACGATTCTCGACAGAGTTGACATGTCTATGTATCGTTGTGAGCAGGTTCGAAGCGGACGGAGACAACCATAGCCACCGACCATTGCGATCCGGCGGGGACTTGGCGAATATCACAGCAAGCTGAGCATTGTCATTCGCGAGCGCTGCTAGGGCAAGCAAGGCCGCTTCTTGTACCTGAGAGAGGGGGGCAATCAACATCGGTCCGGTTCTGTAGTCATCATCAAACGAGACCCTACTTTAGTATCTCGTTTTCCAACCAGATCGACTAAGACCCTGCAAACCCAACCACCCCCTTTAGCGCTTTCAAGCGCAGCGCTCCCAGACTTCTCCCACCCTCTCTTCCCCTTGATCTCACGCGCACGCTGCTCACGTGGAGTCCAGGATCCAAGCACTTCGCGCTGTGCCGATGTGCGTGTAGCGCCACCTAGCAGTTGCGCAACGGAGCTGATGATTGGCGCCGACGACGCAGATAGTGGTAGGGCCAACAAGGGCAAATATATATCCAGAATGTCACTCTACAATCGAACATCATAAATTGGTGTCACTGGAGTGGTGTGGTACTGACCCGAAAGAAGTGCTGCAGTGCCGGTCGGGCCTCTTTACGAAGCTGTAGGTTCTCCTTTCCGAGGCTCCACATAGGTGCGCACACAGCATCTGCTACGCTTAATGCGAGAATTCGCATTGCCCTCGTCAGAGCAATCAACAACGCTGGGTTGTAGCTTCGGTGTGGTGCTGTTGGGCTCGAAAATGATGCAGAAGGATCGAGAATAGCCGTTATAGTACTGAGCGAGTAGACGAGCGCCTCATGAGCGCGGGCACGCAGCAGGGCTAGCAGCGAATCATCTGAACCTATACGTTACATGTGTCAGTCCGGGGTAACAACGAGCCAAATATCAAAATGCGAGAACATAGACGGCATGATTACAGACAGCGGGGTCGCAGATAAACATATGCTAACCGAGAAGGGACCATACATGCCGTCCCGAAGTGGGATGGTGCAAGTGATCATACTTCAAATTCGAACGAGCCGGGCAAACGGGGAAAACCGGTATACAAAACAAGGAAGGGATTTCAACAGATATAGGCTCTCACCATGTGCCAACGATGCGATAACATTCACGGCTTCGATTCGCAGTTCGTCCTCAGCCGATGTACTCATCCCGGCATGAGGCACTGGCCCCGATGCAGTCAGACATTCTACGAGACTTGAAGTTCAAACACCACCACATGGTTCAACACGGTGTGCATTATCTGTTGCGCGATCGACTGACAGTTCAAGAAACTGGTCGTCTTGAGCAAGAGTGGCTTTCGCATGGGGGTTCCCGATGACGGCGTTCTTCGCGCGCTTGAGAGAACCAATGTCGAGCGTCCTTATCGTCATCCCAGACGTCCAGCAGCGACAAAAACCCTAGGGTGTAGAAGAAAGTCGAGAGTCAAGTACTGTGGCGAAGTAGTCTACCGACGTTCGCGGTCAAGATGACCAGGAGACGCTGCGCGGCCTCAGCCACTCGGCACATTTCCCCGCGCATACGCACAGCGCCCGTAGCTTCGTCACCGTTCGCTACGACGGCGAGATGGCGCTCACCCGCGAAGAAACCATTGCCCAGCTCAATTCCGCGAGTGTCGCCTTCGACCATCTATTCTCTAACCGACTGCCGCAAGCAAAGGATGCTTTCGCCGCCGAGGGCACCCCTTTCCATCTCATGGGGCTTGGCGTCTGCTCGTTCTTGGAAGCTGCCTTGGGCATGGAGGTGCGTATCGCGGTGCTGCTACTCTCACAACGGTGTGGTCTCATGGCGACCTCAGATGAACCTGATGGCGGAGGCAAAGAAGACACTAAACGCTGCAGAGGCAGCGACCCGCAAGCAGCTCAAGGCAGCGCAGAAGAACGGAAAGAGTGCTACGCGCTTCTCACCTGGCATGGAATGGGACGTCCTGCACGCCGACTCCGTAATCTTGGCCGGACTCGTGAACGCGCTCAGGTGCGTTGTCGTCCTTCCGTCCGGCACGCAACGACACTAAGCGATGTCGTACAGCGAGAGCTACATGGGCTATCTTCAATGTCTCTACGCACTGAATAGGTATATTGAATACTGCTGCACTATTGGCCTTGTATTCATTATATCCCGCAGCGCTAACTCCAGGTTCACGAAGTATGCGTTGACGCTCTGAGAAACGATAAAGCCTGACCAGTCGAACATTTCAGATTGTATAAGATCGTTTTCCCCAATGGGCTCGATAGCTACCCGACTCCGAACCCCTCTCGCGCACCCTCCCGCCAGCCTTCAATACAGTCTCTCACCGCAGCTACGCCAAGTACGCCCAAGACGCCAAGTATAATCGGCAAGAGCGGATTCTTCGGGCGCTTCGGCGCGCTATCGCTAGCACCGCCATCGGCCCCAAAAGCTGAAACAACTGGCAATCCAGAGGATGATGGCCCCATTGAGGAGGCCATCGTTTCGGGGGTTGCGTTCGGTCGGTCTGCGTCACGACGTGTTGTCAGGTCATGGGTTTTGACACGTCAAGTTTAGGCTATGGCTTATTCAACCTGGTTTTCTCCCTCTTGCCGACTTCAGTGAAGTACACGGACCGTATTTTTCTCGTGATGTGCGCTGTCTTACACGTTGGCTTCATCATAGGCAGGTAGTTGGGTGGCTAGGTTTTAGCCATGATCGCAGGCTGGCACTGCGCGCGCTCGCCGTCTCGGCGGAAAAATCAGATGTGCATAGTGTCTTTGCCAGGTTCGATCATCCCGGCTTTACCTATGAAGCATACTGAAGGGCACCCCTCATAGTTTGAGTCTCATGACGTATCATGGCGTAGTGCTGCTGCTTTCTGGCTACCAGGCGGACGAACAGCACATATTGCGACAGTACCGTGCCATCATTAACAAGTACGCCCTGAAACGACCCTTGTGTGGATGTCCGCTGAGTTCTCTTTCGCAGGATGTCGTCTCGTTACCCTACAGGCTCGTTGTGGGTCCTCAACCAGGTTTGTCCTCAGACGAGTTAATGAATAACACACCTTCTGAACGGCGTTGCAGGCAAAGATATTACGCATGTCGCACGATGCTGAAGGAGCCATTCGCGTTTTGCAAGAAGGGCTTGGCCCTGATAGGCCCCACCTTTTCAAGCAAGCTGACGCTCTGGTTAGTGCTGATCCTTCTCGAGCAGTTTAATATGTTATGATTGGTATCACAGTTGGTTTTCGAGCTCGCGTGGACGCTCCTGGCCCAACGGCGTTATGCGGACGCTGCGAAGATGTTCATACGGATGACCGAAGTCAACCAATGGTCAGAGACCTTTCTCCTCAACAGGGCAGATTGCCCTTTGGGTATCCTGCCCGTCCTATCATATGAGTCTGACGGATGATCGTCTCCAGGTCCCAAGCGACCTATTACTACATAGCGGCTGGGTGCCATGTATCACTCAAGGATTACGATTCAGCACAGAAACTTTTCGACAGTATTCCGGCCCTCCTCGATAAGAAGAAGCTTGGTGGCAAGGATCTCCCAACGGAGGTGCTCATCCGGAAGAAGGGTACGTTGTCGTCGCTGTCCCTTGAGCCCCTGCATGTGTTACCACATGGGGTGACGAAGTATATTCTCCTACCCGGTCTCATTGATTGGCGTGAAGCGACCTATATTCTCATCATCCTTGTTTGGTATAGTTGCGTTCTACAAAGAGAAACAGAAGCGTCGGGGTGGGTCGGAGTCCAGATATGCTGAATGTATCGCGATAAGTCCCGCGGAAGGTTCGTTGCTGATACGGTCTCGTGCTTGCGGCACGCAAAGCTGATTTTCCTATCCAGAACTCGGTTTATGTACGTGGCATACACGAAGCCCGCGATACCGGCTTACTCACTTACACCTACAGTCTGGAATACCCACCAGCGTGTTGATCGAAATATTGCAGAAGCGCATGTGGAAGAATGGTTTTCCCTCACCCCGCCAGTTGCTCTTCCGGTCCCGTTACCCACACCCTCGACGCTTTCTTCGACGTCCAGCGTTTCCACCCCACAGTCCTCCACTCCGGGCACGCCCCTTTCGACCTCTGCGCCGTTGACCCCTTCGACTTCCACCCTCCCCAGTCGCGTGGACCTCGACACGCCGGACGAGATCGCGCTTCGACATCTCCTCCTCGGTATCGTTTATCGGACTCTACATCAGTTCTCACTTTCGCGCGCGCATCTCCTGGAGGCACGTAAGCTTCACCCTAAGGTTACTATCAGTACCTGGATTGGCGGCGTCGCCGTATTCGAGCTGGCGGTGATGGAGCTGAAAGAGGCCGAGGCCGTCGAACGCGGCCATACTTCGGTTTCGACGTCCTCTCTGGCAACACTCGCGTCGGATACCCAGTCGAACGCCGACGTCGGGAACAGCAAGAACCCGAGAGAGTTGTGGACGCCTGTCCTGAAGTCCGCGAATGTTAGGTTAGACGAAGCTCTTTCTTTGGCGCCGAACAGCGTCGATCTGTCGTCGAGGTTGGAGAGCCGGATCGCGATGCTCAGGGACGAGATCACTCTGAAGCGGGAGATGCTAGGATTATGAGAAAGCGGGGCTTGGGGACGGTATAGATATGCAAGGACATTGTAGTACAGTTCATAATAGTCGTGGATATAGCAGTGTTTTCACCTGAGTGCGGACGACGCGTAGAAGACAAGATATGATTATTGACCGATAGGTTGGTATATTTTTAGGGGCATACAACCGGGCACGGAACAACGGGCTACAGACAGGCAAACACTATCGATGACAGAGCGACTAAGGACAGCGATTAGGCAGCGGCGTCGACGCCGGGGCAGTCGCGGGAGATGTGACTATGACGAGATGAGTGGAGATGAGCAAAATGATTTAAAGAAGTGCTTACCCCTCGAGGCCGCAGGTGTAGCAAGCCTTTTTCTGCGGCTCCGGGCACTCCTTGGAGATGTGGCCCTGGATGATTGAGGATCAGCATGGTCAGCCGTGCGTTATGAACTGACGAACTCACGCTCTTGTTGCAGTTATAGCACTTGGCGCCGGAGACGCAGTCCCGGCTCAAATGGCCGACGCCACCGCAGGTGAAGCTGGAAATGGGGTAAGGTACCAGGTCGGGGATGATTTTTCAAAAGGAGGGAAAATTGCGTACCATGTCTTATTGTTGCTGAACGAGTTGAAGTTGCCGCCGCCGCGTCCGCGTCCGCCACCTGCGCCGGCGCTCTCGGGGCAGTTACGGGCGATGTGACCAACATTACCGCACCGGTAGCACTCGGCGGACGACGCGGAGCTGCCGCCGTAACCGCTAGTGTACCCACTGTTGGTGTTGGTGTTCTCGGGACATTCACGTGCCTTGAAGTGCGAGATATAAAAGCAGAACCTCGAGAGGGCGAAGAGAGGGCGTACCAGATGCTCCTCCGACCCGCACTTGTAGCAGCTCTTCGGCTTGGCCTCGGCCGCAGTGCAGTCCTTGGATATGTGGCCGCTTTCTCCGCCTGCAACGATACCGTTAGCCGAGATAGTCAGCGACGGAGAGAGGGTACGCACAGCGGTAGCTAATGGTGATAGGAGATCAAGATGACATTCGGGAGGGACTGTATGGATACGCCTACCAGGATGGTTGGGGGTTAGGGCAGTTTGCTGCCTGGTGACCGGCTGGACGCAGAAATCACGTCAACGAAGCCCTCGGAGGCGACAGTGAACACGAGACTCGGACTCACGCTGGCCACAGTTGAAGCATCCGCGTGCGCCGGCCATGGGTGAGATCGAGAGTGAAGGTGGAGACGACGAACGGTGAGTTGGGCAAGGGCGACTGGCGAGCAGCAAGCGACGACGGGGCGGGAACAAGAAAGTGTGGACGAGAGACCAGCAGGGCCGGTGAGTAGAGCTCGCTCGCTGGAGATCAAGGCGGCGCGGAGGTGCAGACGCGGATTTTTAACGATAAAGGATGTTACGTAACCCGTCCTCAAGGCGCGGAAGCGCCCGCGCTTGCAGCTGCGAAGCGTACCCAGGGCGGATCTCGCGTACGGGCCCGCGCTTCCTCTTCGCGCCTCCTTCCGTCCCAGAAGCATCGACATCGCCCAGAGTTCCGTACCCCGCAAATGAGCGATATACGGAGTGGAGTACCCCTTTGTCATGCTTCGTGCTTTGTGTTTCGACCGTAATGTAGGGTGCAGGTAGCGTACTCAGCCAGCACTTCAAGCTCACAAATAGTAACATGATCAAAGAAAGAGTCCTGAGAGAGCTGAGAGACAGTCCGACCGCACGATCTCGTTCCGTCGAGCATATTACAACGAGAACACGCCTATCACGGCACGATGGGTCGCGGCCAATATACGGCGGTCCACGAAATGATTCGAAAGGACACGCGCCTACCGTTTGAGCGCGCAGATCTCACGGTGAGTAGCCAGGTATGACTCCCGGTGGAGTCCCCGCTGCCTCATGCCTACGCAAATCTGCTCATACAAGTCCAAACATTAACTGCCATCCGACCAAATAATTAATATGCAACGGCTCCGTAGCCGCCGCTGTTCGGAGCACTTCAGCAACGATGTCAGCAGCGAGGCGTACAGAGTGAACTAGAGACTGCCTTGTGGCAGGAGTGTGGGAACCCTCGGTGCCGGGTCTGTCCAGAGGCTGGGAGCGACGACGCGCGCGAGCGTCGCCGGCCGTGTCTTTCTTTCACGACGCAACCTCATCCCCGACAACTCTAACGTTACACCCTCTGTTCAAACTCCAAAGATGGCGATGAGTTACATTGGGTACGTCGATTGCGTGCTCGCATCTCCATGTCTGACGTTCATGCCTCAGCAAAGCTATTTCCCTCATCTCTCATTCCGATGTTCGTTACCGCGGCATCCTGGCCGGGATTGACCCTGCAAACTCGACGATACAGTTGTCGAATGGTGCGTGTCCTGCACCGGTGCATCTTCTATTTCGGCTTACCTGTCCACCAGTGTACTCCATGGGGACTGAGTCACGACGGTGAGTTGCCGTTACGTGTCGGCATGCCCTTCTTATGATGAAGCATTTACGGATGTAAATGAGCTGCGGCTCGCCAGTCCGAGAGCGCAAAACCCCATGTGGATTCCTCCGTTGCCTTCCTTCTGACCCTATAGTCCACCCTACCTCTGGCGTTCTGCGAGGATGACGCTGACGCGTCGCATTGTCCAGGCCACCCGCAGAGTTCATCCCGCCCAACACCGAACCTTATCAATACATCATCTTTCGCGCGTCCGAAGTGAAGGATCTTGCTGTTGATGATCCAGTACCGGCTCGGAACGTTAATTCTGACCCGGCTGTGCTCGGTGTAAGTCACTCTTCCATCTTCGCCACTGTTTCCTACTTGATGAATCCAACACGGATGTACAATTTTTGAGTCCGAGAGCGCTTAACTCGTGTGGATATTTCCGTTGCCTTCCTTCTGATCTCTGCCCGTTCCATGATGCATTTCCTTGATCACCGCTCACAATCACGCACAGGCAGCTCCGATGCCTCCAAGTGGTTACGGTTTCGGGCAGCAGCCTGTGGGTCTTGCGCCACAACCACCTATCAATGGTGGATATGGCCAACAAATCCCCAACGGACCCTCTCCCGGATTCGACCCTTCACAACAACAAGCACGGAGCCAAGCACCTCAACAGACCCCCGTCCCTACCCGATCACGGAGCGGTAACAGCGTCTCTACCGCGACCGCGTCGCTTCAGACGGTCGAGCGCGCCATTGGGGATCTACGAGGTGGCGAGCGGGAAGGGAACAACAACCGTCGTGGTGGTGGTCGAGGAGGGCGTGAAATCAAGGCGGGCGACCTGCGCGTGCCGGTGACGGACTTTGACTTTGAGAGTTCGAACAAGCGATTCGACAAGAACGCGATCAAGAGTCCGGGCACGGACCACCCCGCTTCGCCGGGTTTGGGAGCGGACGGCGAGGCGCCTGGCGAGGAGGAGCACGCGGAAGAGCCGGCGTATAACCCGAAGAAGTCGTTCTTTGACTCGTTGAGCGCGTCGACCGGCGGGGGCTCTGCACCGCACGAGCGTGGCAGGGGTCGGGGACGGGGCGGCCGGACGCGCAGGGAAGAGGAGAGGGAACGGAACGTGGCGACGTTCGGAGAGCCCGGCGGTGTTGGTCTTATGGGCCCTGGCGCTTACGTTGGTGGATGGGGAGGGTATGGACGGCGAGGTGGCGGCCGCGGCGGTGCTGGCGGGCCTAGGGATGGTGGAAGGAGGGACGGCGGTCGCGGGAGGGCCGCAGCCGGTCCACGAGCTTGATCATCGTGCTGTTTGACATCGGACGTGGTGGATGGTATGTCATATGTTATCAGGAGCACCAATGCATGAAGTGGATTTCCGTCATGGAATGCTGAACTGTGCGCGTGAATCGTTCGTTCGTATTAGTCGGAGAAGTGTATCATAATTTATGATAGCGAGCTTAGAGGAATATTGACGATGGTGCCGTCATCGGTAATAACGCGGAAGCGTACTGTGTGCCGGTTAGGACGGGCGATACCTTCCTGTGCGCAGAGCAGATACTCACATACGGTGAAGGGTTCTCCCTTGGCCTTTCGTATGCTCGTAAAGTAGAGCGTACCGGCACCTGCATGTACTAATGAGGGGTTATGTTTCCTTCACTGGCGCCTGGAGCTGACCTTTGTGCCCTTTTACTCGGAAGCTGACGTCGGCGTGTCCCTGCATGTTGCTTACCTGCAGTTAACGTAAACAGCATCTGAGCGTCGACCTATCATGACCAAAACGAAACGACTCACCGATCCAGCTATCCAGGGATGTCCGTTAAGGTACCATGCAGGTTCCGGACGTATGGCATCGCCCAACACCTCTTTCAGCTCGGGACTGTCGCGTATGTTGTCAAGGATTTGGCGAACGACGGAACTGGACAGCTTCTCCTGGTTCGCGGCAAATATGTAGAAGACGATCCAGCCGGTCACTCCGGCCACCCCCAACGCGAGCACCGTCGGCCATTTGCGCTACAAGCACGCGGGGGTAAGCCGAGCTTGCGACAGACGGTCCTGAGACCGCAGTGGTTAGACGCGCACCTCAAATGGCGGCAAGTCGCGTTTGAGCGCGGGACGGTCGTAGTATGCTCTTGGTTTCGAGGGCTGCGAGAATGTTTGTGCGGGAGGCAGGTCCGAGGGCGGTGGTCGGGGCAGCTCAGTCGCGTACGTCCTCGATGGCGGAGTGCTTCGCGCCCAAGTCCGCTTGGGCAGTATCCGGGAGATCTTGGTTGCTGCGTTCATATCGTGGGCGTCTGCGGGACGATGCGTTCTAATGGATTGTAGATCCCAAGACTCAGTACTCAGTGTAGCCCAGTGTAAAAGTACGCGAATGCCAATGAGGACGTTGCACGGGACCTGTAACCCCTATCCTGGACGAGCCCACGAGTCGCGAAGGTCTTCCTCGGACTCAGCTTCTGTACCTTTGCACAAAGTGGATGGATCCCGAACGCCTCAGAATATCTCCAGACAGTCCCAATATCTGCTGCCGTGGTCGTTGGCTGTCGTCTGCATCGTCTCCCGGAAGCCTCTTGACGTCGTGGACCGGCGCCACAATATCTTTCTCGTTCACGGGCAAGAGGTTGGATCTCATACCTGGGCCGCTCACGCAAAGGAGAGACAGATGGAATGGAGAGATACCAGCCATCACATGGTCAATCGACGGATCTGACATCCGATCGGCGGATGTGACGGCGGGACAGGCCTTGGTGTTATATGATGTCGAGGATCCACGGGTTTGTGAAAAGAGTACAAAGGCTGATCCTGAGAGCATCAAAGATGCTTGGATTATGCTGTCAGACTGGGCCACCGAGCTCGAGATAGAAGGCTTTCTGCTCGACTCTGTACGTTTAATCCTTTGCGCTGATATGCCGTTCCTTGACTCTCATTTATGCTTATATGAAGGATGCTCAAGTTCTCTCGGTAACCACGACCGGAGAGCACTACAATGTACTTTTCGTTGGAGATAGTATCACGTCGGGATTCGCATGGCGCGCGGCGGATGATCTTCCGCACGGTACCTACGACGCGTATCCTCATTGCTTTGCACGACAGATGTCTCATACTTTGTTGAATAAACTCGAGGTTGATATCGTTGCTTTCCCTGGGATCACTCTTACGAACGGTCAAGATTCTGTTGGAGGGATGGAAGACCGGTATTGGCGCGTCAGTGCCTCAAGCCCTATGATATCCAAATTTGATGGGTTGCTGAAAGTTTTGAGAAACAGGCCTCGCCTTGGAGAGACAGTGCGTCTTGGTTATTCGAGCCCCGAAATGCTGGACTGTCGACCATCTTTGTGGCCCTAGGTACGAACTGTCATGTGTTATCGCGGTGACTTGACTTCATCGGCCTGCCAGGGGTCAACGACGACGCTCTGTACGTCTCGACCGCTGAATTCATCGCGTCGATGACGCGTTTCGTTCGGCAATTGACCGAGCAACACGTGAACAGCCTTCGCGATTTGGTCATCCTGGTGCGGACGATGAGCTGTGGACAGAGAAAAGGGACTGATACGCGATTCAAGTCACCCATAGTATCATTCGATCAATCGGACCATACCGAGGCGCCATACGGCCGTGAACTCGGCGAGCTGGCGCAGTCGCTCTCCGCGTTAGCGTCTCCAACAGTGAGGTATCACTACGTCGATACCTTCGGCTGGCTGTCGTCCGCTTCCACATTTGATGGGACGCATCCGACCGGGTCAGGGCACCTCGAGCTAGGGAATCGACTAGCCGCATGGGCTAGGGCATGTGGCCTCTTTCCCTCAAGCTAGCCTTTACGTTTTGGTGGGTCGATCCGACGGATATCGATGTCCTTCCCCGCATCTCTCTGATATAATCCTTTGGGGGCTCTTCTCGACGACGCTTCGCGCCCGTGGAGCCAAATAAACCCGATCGCTTTGTTCATAAGTACGCTGTTGACTATGACACTACGGCCAGAACACGAGCTGTCAGAACACGAGCTCCGATATATATCGTTGCATAGACGCCCGTCGGTCAGACTACAGCTTTCTCTGACTTGGCGCTCGGATCAGTCTCTCCAGGATTTGATAGGTGAGATCAGAAAGCGCGCAGTAGTTTATGTTGGTGCGAGCATCACATGCCCACCTCGATTTTCGGCCGACTTGTCGTTTCTGGTGTTGGACGTCGAGGATGGCGCGCTGATCGACCGAATCGGGAGCGAAGATCGCGAAGGCATGGACGGCTCCGATCGGCCGGTCACCCGCTCTCGCTCTTCGGTCGCCATCGGCTGCCGCATATGGCGTCGCATTCGCGGGCCTGCGCCGTTATGCGCAACGGCCACCGTCCGCGACGATCTGGTGAAGCCCGATCCGGCTGCCTTTCTCGCGCGCGTGGGACGGCGACCGAGGATGGCCAGCCATGTGCAGTCGAGAAGGGAGAGCAACGTATGTCGCCCTTCTCGCCGTCCTCACGTCGTCTCCATGTTGCCTTCAACCCCCGGGCCCGCCGAGTTGCAAGATCTGTGAGCCTTTCCCTTTGAAAGCCGGGAGAGCGGTGTGTATTGATCCCGTACGTCGGTGAACAAGACGGACGTTCGACTGCTACAAGCTCGCGGCGATCAGTAGGTCGTTGTGGCTTCATTCCCAGTGTACCTACTTCTCATGATGGCCTGGCCAGCATTCCTTTACTACGACTATTTCATCACCTTTGACGACGAGGTCGAATACTTCTGGAAGAGGAAGATGTCGTACATATCCGCGCTTTTCTTTGCGAATCGATATTTCGCACTGGGAGCGTACGCCGCCGTGCTGTATTCCATGTTCCACAACCTGTCCGACGATGCGAGTGTTTTGCTCCCTGTCCGACGTCGGCGTGCCCCCTTCTAACTTTCAGCGTCAGGTCTGCACCGACTTCGTCACCTTCTTCCGCGTGCTCACCATATTCACGCAATTTCCCATCGGCTGTAAGTGAAAACACCCCGTGTTCGTCGCCATACTCAATGCTTCCCACTGCCAGTGATCGCTATACTTCGCATATCCGCTCTGTACGGCCGCAGTCGGATCGTCACGACACTGTCTTGGCTTATCGGTCTGGCGGCAGCCGGACTCGCAGCGGTACGGCTATACCAGCTGAACCTACTGCCGTCACTGATGAGGCAATGCATCTGTCCAGTTCGCGAACGTACACGTGAAGAATGGGAACCAACTCTCCACCTCGGGCTGCTTCATTGTCAGGACCCGAGAACAAAACAAGTACGCCTTTGGTTCTGCCTTCAACCACGCAGCGCGATTGACCGAAGGCTCGTTCAGCGCATCCCGATTAGCGCTTGCCTGGGGTGGTCTCGTCATCTTCGACAGCTACATATTCTTGATGACCTTGTTGAAGACGATCAGCGTACTGCGAGGCGGCCTTCGAGGTCCGAACAACACACATTTCCTGAGTCTCATCCTGCGGGATGGTACGTCGGCCGACTTCGCCTCCACGACAGCTAGCTGATAAACCGCGTTGTAGGCGCGATGTTCTACTCGTGGGTGAAACGCTCGCGTTCTGGCACGTCGATATTCAATCACCCTCTCCTAGTGTCCTACTCGCGAATAACGTCGGGAACGTGGTCTTATCCCTAGTGAGTCGGAAGGGCGCTCTCACGTACGATTTACGCTAACTGTTGCCGCAGTATGGCCGGGTAACGCGCTCAGTATGAATCAGCAAAGCCTATACTCATCCATTCCCTAGTCGATATTCCAGTCCGTGAACGCCACAACATCGCAAATGTCAGTGGTCTATCACAATAGCCGCTCACACCGATTCATCTGTAGTTCTGCGACGTAGATTTGCCGTGATATTAACATCACGATTGATGTTCAACCTGCGAAAACCTTCGCAACAATCGTATACAGACGCAATCAGTCTCCCTACCGCCGTCTTGACTCGTGAGCATCTTCATCCTTGTTCGTTAGCCGACGACATGCGAATGTCTGACGCTGCATCATCGTCCTGCAGCACAATTCCACAGTGTGACCACGACGGGTCCATTTGGAGCGGATACTCGAGACGAGTTTGGCCTTCCTCTCAGCATCATCTAATCCACAAAATCAGCGAAGAGCCTGTTCCGTATGACGTTCATGGAGCTCTGGCTGACAACTCCGAGATTGACGTGAGGAGTCCGGACCCCTTCTTGTCATAGGCGGATTGTACGTGTATCGTTATGTATCAGTATTGTAGAGCGTCATCCGAACGGGGCTCTACGTCGCTTTGTCACACCTTATCAAACAGATCGAGACATCACTACGGCTCCGTTCGCTCGAGATTCTGGGGAATTCATTTCATTGGAGGCGACCCATGACGTGGTTGCAACTTGCAGATGTAACCCGCTCAAGTAGGGTTGACATAACTCCACCGTGGGTCGAGGAAGACACGTTGTCCAATCCATATTGTCACCCATTCATGCATCGTCGACGACCCCTTCCAGGCCGAATATCTGCCACAGCAAATGTAGTTGCCCGAAAGGTCGCTCGCCGCCCAGTAAGGTGGCAGCGGCTTCATACTTGTTTTCGGGCCGTTTGACTTCGTCGCATATCCGCTTGTACGTCTTGGCGAGTCGCTGGAGGGCTGCTTGGTGTATGCGGGTATGCAGTTTCTGGAGGTTAAGATGCAAGAGGCGGGGAGACTGGACCACCTCCAACCCGCTAAGCCATATTGAGAAGCGATGAAGGTATTTCTGGAGCTGTTGCGGCTGAGCAGCCGGAATACGTGATAGTGGTTCCTGATGACGAGGGGCGATGAGAATCAAGGGATTTGAGAGGCGGAAGAGTACCGTCCAACCTTGTCTTTCCTCCTATCGAGGGTTTCGACGAGCGTGTCTAAGCCTGCATCACGAAGGATATTCTGATACTATGCCGAAGACAAGTCAGCGATCCATGTAATGACGGACAGGACTACACCTACATGTTCTTCAGTTAGCTCATGTACACGTTGCTGGACTAGCCCCTCGATCATCTGCTGCTTCTCGGATGTGAAGGAATATGGCTCAAGGACATTCTGCAAAAGAGTATCGTTAAGCGATTGCATCAAACACCGGGGAGCATACCAACCTGAAGGTATGTGAGGCAATTCAGGACAAAGATAGGCTTGTCCCAGCGAGCGACCTGTTTGTCCTTCCTATCCGCAGCGCTGACGCACATCTCGACGGCTGGATCGATCATGATGTCTAAGACGCGGCGGAATCCTTCATTTTGATCTTCCTCACTGTCCTCGCCGGCCAGAGAGGATTGATAGACAGACATGATCTCCTTCAACACCTGGCAATGATCCAGCACCGCCAGCGGAGGCGTTAATTCGCCATTTTGTATGTCCTGTCTCCAACCCGTCAGCCCTTATGATAGAGCACAAGCAGGCCGGATGGGATATGCGTACGAGAGCCACACGTAGCAGCGCACGTCCCTGTGCCTCGATGGCATCGAAGAACACCTTGTAAGAGACATCTGTCAATCTGCTCGCGCATTAGTTTCTTGAATCTCGGCGTATGTGTTGGCGTACTCTTGCAAGGTCTTGCACAGAGAGGACTCCTCGCCCAGCGTCCGTTTCATGGTGAGAAGGTAGAACTGCAGGAGATTTGCCACCTTGTACGCCACAATTGCACTTTCCTGTGAGCGAACGGTCTGCTGCACCCGAGCCTTCAACGGTCCGCATAGCTTGCCAACTGCTCCATCCATCAATGCTCTGATGTACTCCTCTTCCTCCGTGGCTCGGAACGTGCGGACACTGCCGACCATCCGCGCATCTTTGATACCGAAGAGAGCATCGAGGAATTCACGTTCGGCGGCCACTGCTTGGTGGATCCAGGCAAGCATGTCACCGATGTAACGCATCGGGTCATGCGCATGCAGTTCTATCGGCCGAGGCGTCCCCCGAGTGAGTGCGTCAAGGAAAGCGCCAGACAGGGCTGACTGGCGGGTCTGCACGAGAATTTGAAGTGACTCTCTATCCAAAGCATAAGTGCGACACACGGACGATAGCACATGCGACTTACATTAGGAGCTCAGGACGAGCATTGAGCCGTCGCACAGCTTCCGCCAGGGTTGGTCCTACTTCCAAGAGCGCGTCACGCCCCATTTGCCTGAACTCGGAAGCGAGGTAGCGAGCGATCTTGTCGTATGCCTGCTCAAGATAAGAAGAAGTCGCCGACATGATATCCAGGCTAAAGATTGCTCAGCCGAAGAGCTACTGGCATTAACGGGATCGTACCCAGCTTTACTTGGGCCATCCTCCCCAGCCATCAGAACTCGACAATCCTCGCGAATGCGCTGGGTCTTGTCCATGACTTGAAAGAATCGTTTGCCCATGGGAACGGTTCGGGAAGTCATCGTATCGACTTCATCTTCGCTCAGAGTAAACCGGGACAGGAACATGTTGATGATAGATTGCTTGGACGCTATTGCCTGCCTTCATGTGGTTGAGACATGCACAGCTATATCACGCAAATATGCGCACCTTTGTTCACGAAGACTGCCTGCCCGTTCCAGTAGAGACTTGCACGCGTCGTTGGCACCTTCTAGTTGCTGCTCTGCCCCGTCGCATTGGGCTCGCATAGCCCTGATGTGTTCCTGCAGAACATCTAGTTGCTACTCACGTCAGGAGGGCGAGAGACGTCAAATGAAGATAACACACACTTGATTAACAGTCCCAAACGCCTCTAAGAAATGCTTGCTGCTCTCGGCCAGCTTTTGCTCCACGTCGCGGCGCATGTACTTCCGGGCATTGGACGCTACTCCTCCAGTCGGTCGTTCCGCTGCTGACGCAGTATTCGTATGCCCCACGGCATCGTCAAGGAATTCATCATCATCCCAGTCATCGTCATCCTCCTCACTGTTCTTGCTGCCACTGCCTGAAGAGTTGGTTGGGGTATAGAAGTCCGAGAGGGTTACGAGAGCTTCTCTGGAAGCTGGATCATCGAAGCTCGACCCAAGAATGCGGTATAACCGTTGGGATACAGGGTTGCGTGCAGGCGTTTCAATGCTCCGGTTGGTTGTGGGCGATAGGACTGGTGTTCGAACTGCAGGAGACGTTGCGCTCAAGGACATAGTTTATTGCGCTGGGCATATGATTATGGATGGCGACGCAAAGCAGACAGTAGGATACGTTATATAAAACACGAATAAGCATGTGCGCTTGATCGGCGCTCAAATACTTCGAGCGCTTCGCAGAGCACAGCCTTCCGCGAGTTGGGAGTGACGCTTGCGAATTCCAGATAGATACTACTTATACATGTTGGTTCCGAGGCTCGTAGTCATAGAAAGTGCATAGAGAGCGGCTTGCGAGATGCAGCCATTGTATGTCGTATGCGTGATAGGCTAACTCATAGTTTAGCCCCATTCTTCGCAGTATCTCTCTGGCCTCCGCTGCCGGTGACTCGAAGGTCTATAACGATCTTACCGAATTGTTCTCCGCGTTTCAGGAGTTCAAAGCCTTGCTCAGCTTCTTGCAGCCCATTCAGTGTGTGAGAGACCACCGGAGTAATCCTCTTCTCGGCAACAAATTGGATGCAGTCAAGGAGATCAGCCTTTGATCCCATGGTCGACCCTGGTATTGATAGGCAGCATTAGCAGACTCGACTACAAGTAGGGCAAAGTGACAAATACAAACCTATGAGCTGTTGATTACTCATGACTTCACGCATCGTCAGGGTGATCTGCGGGATTGCCGTCCTGCGTAGTGAATTGTCAATGGGAAAGGTTGGATACGAAGCTGGATCTGCCGACATTCCGTAACAGACTACCCTTCCACCCTGCTTGAGCCGACGGCCGATCTTCTGCATTATTGGTCCTCCTGCGGAATCAATGACGGCATCCAGAAGAGGTTTGCCGCCGTCGGACTTGGCCGAGCTTTGCAACAATTCACCGAGCACGTCTGGCCAGCTATCTGCGGTGCCAGTCGGCCGGGATTAGCACGGATAGGTTTCAATTCAGAAACCGACTGCACCATGCTTATAGTTCACTCCTCCTACGGCACCGAGTGCGATGGCCTTCTGGATCTTCTGCTCGTTACCACTAGTTACGAAAACCCGGGCACCTCTGGCGATGCATAGCTGCAGCGCGACAAGTGCCACGCCCCCGCCAATGCCTGTGATCAAGACGTTATCTCCCTTCTTCACCCGGGCATTCACGACGACCGCTCTATACCAGAATAAGTGTGAACTCTAGCATCCTTCTTAAATAGAAATGACCTCACCGCCATGCCGTAACACCGCCGATCCCCCATGTAGATGCCTGTACGTCGTCCAAGTGTTCGGGAGTCGGAATCACCTGGTCACTCTCGACGACAACGCATTCGCTGAACGTTCCCGACGGTGCGGTGGCGCCTCCTCCGAGGATTTTCATGTCTCCCCTATGTACATAGCGTCAAATTGCTGGACATGATGCACGATATCTCTCATGTCAGTGCTATGAACTGACTCTGGTGCATCCGGATGCGATTCCCATCCGCGCATCGGCACGAGCATGACACGCTGGTGCAAGAGTGGGAGACGACCATCTTCTCCCGGCCCAACAGCAATGACTGTGCCTATAACCGTCGAGAATCTCAGTTTGTGATGGCCGGCGGCAAATCCAGAGATCTCTGCACTAACCGGCACCGTCTCCCCCCAGTACAGCACCAAACTTGATCCCGGGGTACATGCCTTTGCGGATCCACAGCTAAACTGAGCGTGAGTGCTAGCTACGACTGAGACATCACCAAGGCGCATGTCGAAATCCCCAAGTATCAAACGAACTACATCTCCGGCGTACATAGTCGAGGAGATGTGGTAGTTTCTTTATTAAAGACTTACATCGCGGTGGTTGAACGCGACGGCGCCAAGTTTGACTAGGATCTGACCCTGTCGCAGAGGTCCGATAGGCACATCTTCTATCACCGCATCGTGATAGAGGGGTTTCGCGTCGGTAGGAGCACGACGTAGAACAAGGGCTTTCGTAGTCTTCGGCACGGCCATGTCTTGTGTAGTGCAGATGGGCAGTCGCCTGCGGCAGGTACTTGGCCGTCACAGCTGCCTGTATCTATTCTGGGACTGATGCTTGTGAATACCTCTTCACAGTTGCCGGCATCAGCGCTGGCCGAGACCGAGATGAAGCATGATGCAGACCTGACTATCTGATATCGTGTGTAAAATCGAGCGGAAAACCGGGGTTTTCCTGGCGGCACGGTGTGAGATACGTACGAGAAGTTTCATTATGACAGTGATTCCAGTCTGCTGACGTCGCAGCGGCCGTTTCTAGCGAGCTGCGAGCTTACCTCCTACTATCACCGTCAGGCAATTCGAGACAGGAATGACCTCAGAGGTCACGCCAAAGTACGGTCAAATGCGCTCGTGTGCAATCAGCGAGGACTGCCGAGACAAGGCCAGAGGTGTCGTGCTCGTTGCAAGGTGCGGGGATGAGTCGGGGAAGGACGAATGGGCCTTCGGCAGGCGCCGTTCGCACGGTTCTGACTGGCCCGGGCAGGGCTGCCGGCGGCACGCCCGCCCCATAGATGGCAAAAGCTTGGTGGGGACGACGCGACGAAGGCCAACACCGGCGGCAATCCTCGCCATCTCAGGCATCTCCCCTCCGACTTTTCTCACTCCGAACCGCAAGCCCTGCCGCGAGGGGAAAGCGAACCCGGCCTGGAGGCCAAGCCTTAAAGCGACGGCTTGCGCCCGACTTCGCACCCGCCTCCTCACGACCCTCACCGACGACACTCACCATGCCGGGAAACAGTTCCGACTCGTTGACGGCAAGAGTCAGCGACGCGGGTGCGTTGGATGAAAAGTCTAGGGTCCACGATCCGGAGGCGTACTTGCGCAAGGAGCAAGAGTCGGACGGTGCACCGGTCACGATACCAGAGGAGGACCGGCCGGGCTTGGACGACTTCCCAGATGGCGGATTGAGGGCATGGCTGGTCCTCTTTGGAGTGAGTGCCGCTATGAACAGGGAGTATCGTTCATCCTAACGAGATGGGTCGAACAGGCGGTTTGTAACACGGCTGCTACGTGAGCACCCGTACGATGTTCTCCTCGTACATACCCGCCAAACTGACTTCCCTTGTTCAGGTTCGGCTTCGTGAACAGCTGGGGGGTAAGCCATTACGGGTTTTTGGTTCGCACGGTATTCACAACCTTATATAGGTGTTTCAATCATACTACGAATCAAATACGCTCCAGAACACCAGTCCGTCGACAATGTAACGTGCATTCGCTCTCGAATCCCTGGAAAGCGCTCAAAACTCTACCGTTACAGAGCATGGATAGGATCTATACAATACTCTCTCACCTTTTTACCCGGTCTCGTAACCGGTCGACTCTTCGACATCGGTTATTTCAGAGTGCCTCTGGCTGTTGCGAGCGCCTTGCTTGTCATGGCTACATTCCTCATTGCTGAGTGCACCGAATACTGGCAATTCCTCCTTTGTCAGGGTCTCGCCGTCGGTCTCGCATGTGGCACCATCTTCGGCCCGACGATGGGTGTCATCAGTCACTGGTTCAAAAGGCGGCGCTCAACGGCCCTGGGTATTGTTGCTATCGGATCTTCGACTGGCGGCACGGTGCTTCCAATCATTTTCAGAAACCTGGTGGGCCCCATCGGGTTAGTCTCCTATCCACATCCAAGGCCATAAGAAGCGATCCACTGACTTGAGTTGGCATTTGCAGATTCAAATGGACTATGCGAGTGATTGGATTTATCCTCTTGGTCACTGTAGGGATCAGCAACGCCGTAAGTAGCGCGCCAGCTTCTTTCCTTCTGCAGCCTTCTGATTGACCCTTCGTCAGACCCTCAAACGCCGCTTGCCACCGGTCCGTCTCGCCGGCGGCTTTGTTAATCTCGGCGCTTTACGAAACCCCGCTTTCGCCGTATACTGCCTTGCAGGCTTCATGTGCTTCCTTGGTCTCTACACCGTCCTCACGTACATTGAAGTTTCGGCAACGGCAGCACATGTGCCACCGGATTTTGCCTTTTATCTGATATCCATCGCAAATGCCGCGAGTGCGTTCGGGCGTATAGGAAGCGGCTATATGGCCGACAAAATAGGTGAGATCCTGTTGCTACCCTTATGTCTATGCAAGTGCTGACTGTAGGCGTAGGAGCCTTGAATATCATGATACCTTTTACGCTACTTGCAGGCGTTCTCACCTACATCTGGCCATTTCTCCACAGCAAATCAGCTTACATTGCACTCGCGATATTCTACGGGTAAGCAAAAGCCATCTTTGAATGCATTGACGGCGCAAGGCCCACTCATATATGTACGCTAGGATTGGCTCGGGTGCCTTCGTGTCGCTGATCGTGTCTCCGGTGATGCTCATGGGCGAAATCGGTGATGTGGGACGTCGCGTCGGGCTGTTCTTTACCATCGCGGCCATTGGCGCGCTATCTGGCCCGCCCATATCGGGCGCGATCAATAATGCGACTGGGAATTTCAAGCCTGTCGGGGTGTATGCCGGTGAGCAGATATTCGTTAGCGGCATCTGCTTCGTGTGCTAACGTCGTTTTTGCAGGCTCTGCTGTGATGGTGGCGGTCGGGCTCATGATTCTCACGAGGCATATACTCCTGCAAGGAGATGTTTGGGGCAAGTGTTGATATTTGCCGACGCTTTTCATGATCGACACAGACTCGTTACGCGGACTTGCTCGCATCTTACACTCTATAGATAATGAACCGATGTACGATCAGCTCTCGCCATGCATGTAGATTGGGCTCGGAAATCCGATAATTGCTGGCCTCAGTCGCTCCGATTGAAGCGCTCGCGCTTCACATGTCTATCCAAAGCAACCGGTGCTGCAAGCCTGCAAGCCGCGTATGTCACTCCGCAGCTACGGAGCTTCACACGCGTGGCGCATTCGCGTGTTCTCGCGCGCAACGCTGTCCTCAATTGGCCTCATATCAATGTCTCTCAAGTGGCCGTTACTGCCTGCTCCTGTCGGTGCCGATCGGCTCCATATCGCATTCTTCGGAGTTGTACCGCCTTCTTGATCTGTTGCAGACCGTGAAGTAGCCCAGACTCCCTATGGCAATACAACGCCTCTTGCTCTTTTGAAAACCGAAGAGAACTTTGCAGCGCCTGTCTGCGATGCAAGGAATCGTGTAGGCTTTCGCTCTTTTTGCGGATGAGCGTCAGGCTTCGAGATTGATGAGGACAAAGCAGGATCGCATGTCACTGCTGTCCGCCTCCTACATCATTTAGTGTCCAATCAAAGGACCCGAGAAGCATGCGAGCGGACACACCAGTAACAGCATCGGGTCGCCACCACCATCTGTCTCATGGCACATACTGGCGCACGCCTCCATATTTACATCTCTCACCGGGGCCGGGCAACCGGCGTCAGAAAATTACCGTACCGTCCCTGTGGCAGTCTTCAAAAGACCGGCGTCCAGCTGCGTACACCAAGTGCTGGGCCCCCCTTCCACTGGCTTGGCCTATAATCTACGCCCTCTTGTTTAATTAGTTCGAGCTTCGGATTCTATGTCCGACCGTTCACTCACGATTGCAACTTCGCGCGACATCGAGGCTTCTCCAAGTCCTTCACGTCCGGATTCTTGTCGAGCATTACACCCAGTGCTCAGCCATGACAGCCTGGGCACGCTGCAGATGCATGCAATCCCGCAGCTCTCTCTTCCAGCAATATTAGCGGGAAAAACTGAATCCCCCGTCGCATTGGAGGACTTACGGGAGTTTCTCTTGAAGGAGGATCAGGGTGCGGAGGTGCGCAGCGATTGACTTGTTTCGATCCTGATCCTGATCAATTCACGAACCAGGCACTCGATTATTATCTGGCGGTGGAGCACTACAGGCTTGTTCTGGAGACAGAATCCGAGGATGATAAAAGGTCTTCCTCGTTAACCTCCTCTATGTCACACCTTCTCGACCGTGACGGAGCAAGCATCCTCGACTTCATCATATATCAATTCATCAAGGCCGGTTCTGCGGAGGAGATCTCCATGAGCACTGACGATAGGCAAGCGGTAAGCGGAACCCATTGTATATGCATCCTCGTATATACTGATACTGCTGTCGGATATATTCAGATTATTACTGCGCACAAAAATGGCCAATGTACCCTTGATCTGCTGCTTCCATCCCAACGACAATGTTACGAGTTTCTCCTCAAGACTTCCTATCCCCGGTTTCAGCTTAAAGCCACGCGTAATATTGGGCCTCGCGAGTCGTCGGCACGGATGAGCTTGGCTATCTTCGGCGGCACCATGATCATTGCGCTCATCCTCCTTTCGCTGCTGCTACCAGCATACCCACGCGGTCTGCGATGGCTCATCATCATCCCCGCCAACGCTGCGTTCATCGGCCTATTTCAATGGCGCGCCCGGTTTTGCGTGATATACGGCATGCGCGGTCTGGCGCGATGGAAGGGATTCGGGCTATTCGGGTTTGTGCGTAGAGACGACAACGTCGCTGTGCGGGAGCCATGCGTACGGACTGCACACAGGCACCGTGCATTGATGCTCATGGGTATTTCTCTGCTCCTGGCTATCTTGGTTGCTGGAGTCGTATACGCTGTCCCTGTCAATACATAGATATGTTCTGTACAGATTGCACAGACGAAGAACCGGCAACAAATATGCTCAAACGATCCACTGGATCTATACTTACTTTTAATCTATGCGATCCTTGCACCGAGCACTGTATGTAGTATTTGGGTGTCCCAGATGCATCAGTGCAACCTAGAAATAAGTAGTAGGGCATCTCGCTTGACAATGCTGGTCTTACCCGGACCGGAGACACTGAAAGGTATTGAATACAGAGTCATTGTAATTACGCGTTTATTATCAGATACCCTAAGTTAAATTGTTTTCAGGCAAAATTCGGAGTAATGAAACAATAATTGACTTAGGCAGCACCGCCTTCACTGCGTCGACGTATCGCTATCCTTGTCGCTGCCATCTCAGACATAAAACAACGGTCCTTTGCGACGGGAGAACGTTGCTTGCGTGCTCTCAATCGCGATTTCGTTCGCTTTCACACTCGAGCAAGTGATTGCGTCGAACTTTGAAATATGCTAGGTGCATCCCTTTATGCTCTGAAGCTTCTCGGAGAATAACCAAACATTAGTCGTTGGCTTGACTGGCGGGATCGCAACCGGAAAGTCGACCGTATCCGCGTTATTCAAATCTCACAGCGTCCCCGTCGTCGACGCGGATGTTATCGCGCGCGAAGTCGTGCAACCAGGCACTCCAGCTCTCCGACAGATCGTCCAGGCCTTCGGACAAGATGTGCTACTCCCGGATGGAACCCTGGATCGCCCAAAGCTAGGATCAATAGTGTTTAGCGACGAGAAGCAGCGAAAGCGGTTGAACGCCATCGTGCATCCGGCCGTGAGAAAGGCCATGGCCAGGCAGGTGCTCGGACACTGGTGGAGAGGCGAGAAGCTCTGCATTCTTGATGTCCCGTTACTGATAGAAGGAGGATTGCATAAACTCGTGGCAAAGGTTGTTGTGGTATATTGGTGAGTATGGTATGCAGAAATAACCTTGGGCAATCCAGTTCACTGAACATTCCTCAGTTCTGCAGAGATTCAGCTCCAGCGACTCATGAAAAGGGACGGTTCCACGCATGAAGCAGCATCAGCTCGTCTGAATGCCCAACTGCCGATATCGCAGAAAGTGGAATACGCCGATTACGTGCTCGACAACTCTGGTTCTATCCAGGATCTCAAGGACCAGTTTGAGACTCTCCTTGCGAAGTTAGACAGAGAAGCTGGGTGGTCATGGCGCCTCAGTTGGTTCGTGCCGCCCGTAGCGCTCTTATCTGCCATCAGCATCCTAGCATGGAGAACCATCAAGCGTAAGAAGCGGGCGAAGGGGAGGAAAAGGCAGTGATCCTTGTCACAGCAAATATACCTGATACACGACGAACCCACTAGATACCCATGTTGTACATTTCAAGTATTTGATCACTCCTCCATGGCGTCATCTACGACATCTGCAGATTCCGGTTGAGTCTGACTATCCATGCGCTTCTCCCTCCATAACTGGCTCCATCTGGGATATACTCGCTTGTATAGGCTCATACACACGGTATCCATCTGGTTGATTGGGCCGTCGAAGTATGCCTTGAAGTACCCATGCGTGCCCAGTGACTCGCGAATGTGGCCTGTCCGACCGTACTTCGTATGCAACTGCACTGGCGCGAAGTAGTTGACATCGTCTAGACAGACTATTAATTATCGGCAGAAGACGCATAGAAACGATACATACCCGCGTTGAAGAACATGTATCTCACTGTCGCCGTTTTTTTGTGCACCTTGAACGGATGCCCAGTCAAGATGATCCTCTTAGCAATGATGCGCGTTGGGTCTGGGTTCACGAACGCGCCCGATGCGACCAATTCCGGAGCTGAATGATCATCGTACGTTAGGTCTGGAAGTAGCATGATCGAATACCGTGACTCGCCTTGAGGATCTGCAGTCTCCCGTAGGAGCATACACGGTTGCTTGCCAAATACAGCGGGTCCGTACACGGTCGCAATGCTGGTGACGCCGTGTCTGAGATAACGCTCAAACTTGTGCACATTATTGGACCCTTTAGCGCCTCCGCGGGTATGTTGACTGTATACCGGATTGACTATCAACCGTCGAGGACCAACGCAGAGAATGAGTTGATCCTGGCAACCGTACATTAGGGAGGACCATCATGCGTATCAACAGGTTCGCGTACTTTCGAGCGGACGGAACCGTCGTATTCGGTATTTCGTTGAACCGTGAAGTTGAGCACCGTTTTTTTGTGTTCGTGCTGGAGCAGCCCAAACACAACGAACGGTGATGATGACGAAGGCGTAGCCGCCTCCTTCGGAACATCTTTGAGATACACCGTAACGCGCGTGCCGGGTTCAACTGCGCCATCGTCTTCTCTCGCCCTTCGCAGCACGTTTCGCTCTGTGCGCTTGAAGTCCTCAAATTGGAATATCCTTGCGTAGTCTCTCGGGAGATTCTCGTAAGGGTCCCAAGGACTTGTGCGGAAGGAACGCAAGCCGCGATACCGTTGAAAGCGGGTACGCGCCGGGACCTCCATAGGAGTGTCAATCTCATCCGGAAATTGTAGGTCATCGGCTTCTTCGCGTTGGCGCTTGCGCCAAGTGTCTAACCTGAGAAAGTAGCCAGAAGGCGTGAGTATGGTAAGGCATTGAATTCCAAGAATAAGCTTACTGTTCTTTTTCCTCGTCCATGTCAAGATCCTGGAATTGTACGCTCTTGCGACTCTCCAGATCCATCTCTTGTTCGTGAGCGGCGGTGTCGTCATCCCGTAGCTCAACCATCTCCTCATCCTCCATTTGCATGTCGCCGGCGTTCTCGCCTTCCTCCTCTTCGCCTTCTTCGACTCCTTCATCATCATCATCGTCGTCCACAATCCAAGCGGCTTGATAGGAGCTCCATCCCTTCGGAACCTTCTTGACCCGCTTCGGAGTCGTACCCCCTAGCGCATCGGGAACGCATTCGTCGCCGAAAGTCAATCCGTTACCGACTACATTGCCTTGCATTTCCTCCTCTGTGGGCCAAGTCTGTTCGTTTGCCATATCATCTGGGTCGTTCTCCGATATGAGTGAGTCGGCGGACGAAACATCTGGTTCTGCGAGTAAAGTTGGTTCAACCTCCATCCCTTGGGCACCAATCTTTGATGCCTTCGGCGCAGGAGACGACAGGATCTGCGACGGAGTGAGGGGCTTGGACAACGGCTTTTATAGCGAAGGGATGCGTACCTTTTGTATCTGGAAATCACCGTAGTTGGGTATATGCACCAGACGGTTTGCACTCAACGGTCCTCCCCTTAGCACGCCCGTAACGCTGAGAACACCGGATTCGGCTTCGTTTGGCACCCAATTCACCTGCTCACCCATGAGATAGCATCGGCCGTCTCGCCACCTCGCTTCACCAGGCTTGCCCTCGCACACCGCCCTCACGGCATTCAAGACGTCTCGATTCTGGCTGAGATCGAATACCCGGTTTTGACTAGGAACGAAATATTGCATGAAGCTCAGAAGAGACTTCAGTATGCCAGGACGTGCTTTAGAGTCGACGTCGAAGTTTCCTGAGTTCGAGGAGGAAGGATGTGGTGCGACGACTGAGACGACTTCAGGCATGCCCTGGGATTGAAGAGTGCGGAGCAGGGTATCTCCCCAAGCGTCTACCTCCGTGACCGGCGAGAGCACAAAGACTACATAGTCGGCAACCTTGGCCGCATCGAGGGCAGCGTAGAGGGAACGGTATGGAAGGTTGATAAATTGGAGAGATGTTTTGAACCTTTCAGCTCTAGCCCGTGGCTATTAGCTAGCGTAGTCAACGAAGGGCGGCAGGCGCTTACCTGATTTTCCATAACCCGGTCTCGGGGCAGCCGTCCGTTTCGGATTCAAGCCCGGTGGCTAGAGCGCTCGATACATGACGCGCGCTTACGTCTTCAGCGAGGGGAATCACTGCGATGATCCTGGGCACACCGTCCGGCCCACTGAACAATCGTGTGGCAGAGACAATGGCCTGGCGCTTCTTCACCTGGATTTGCTTTGCGTTGTTGCGACGGTTGAGTCGCGTTTGGGACGCCGTGTTCTGTCCATTGGATGCCTTTGGTGATTGGCGGGAGATACGGCCTGGATTGATCATAGGTCAAACCTTGGCAAGAGTGCTTGGGCTGCATACCTTTGGATGCTTCCTTCAGCGCAGACTTCGTTGCATGCTTGGACTTGTAGGGTTTATTTTGCTACGACGACCCTCGTATAAGAGCCATGGTATGATAAGAGGGCGAGCATATACATGCCTGTTTGAGAGTCGGCCTGTGATGGTGCGCTTCAACCATCCTGCTGGTAGTGCTCAGAGATCTCGTTCCTGGTCGATCTAGTATGCTTGCGATCTCCTTTCAAAGTTGCCCAGACCACAGTATCCTGTTTATTGAACCAACTGTGATCCCCTGCAGTATGCTCAACCAGGAGAGAGGGGACCGAAGGAAATTTGTGCGACTCCTCGAGGCAAATTGTGGCTGGAGGAAAGTAGAGATCGCAAAAGTCCGCAAAAGGAAACCATTGCTATTGCCCTCTCGCCATAAAGCACCCGGAGACGCACTGGGACCAGAACGTGCAGCTCGTCCATGTAGAGGCAACATGCCGACGTTTCAATCTAACCCAGTCAAACCGTCTCGTACGAGCACGCTGCTACGCAAACACCCATCCTTGTTTGGTGTACCGTTCATCGTCATGATGGTCGCTGCGTCCTTCGGCCTGGCACAGTTCACGCAGACGCGGTATGACTTGCAGGATCAGAAGGTGACCCAGGCAAGCTATTTGCTGCTTGCTCACCGCTCTTCCTCATTCACGCACATCTCACAGGTTACGAAAGAGCAGGCACTGGGCCTCAAGGCTAACCGCAAGAAGTTCGACATCCGGGAGGAATACTTTGTGCGTTTCTACCGGGTCGTATGGTCTCCATCGAACTTACCATATGCAGAAACTCTCTTCGTCTGGCGACGAGGATTGGGAACCGAAGAGAATACAGCGCCCGAAGGGTCTACCAGAATGGGGTGTACCTCCATCCGAACCGCCTCAGAGGAAGGATACATGACTACCGCGAAGTGCTCCGCCGCTGGCTGTTGGACGTCTCACAAACACCAATGCACATTCAGCAGTGCATGGTCTGACGACTGGTTGCGACTCCTACGGATCAAGAGCTCAAGACTGGTATATCCATGTATCATAGCGATCCTCACAGTAACTACCGTAAGCAATAGCCATGGGCCATCGTCCTAGACTTTTCCATCCTCCGTGAACCGAGGCATGTTCAATACGCCCCTTCCGAAGCCCGCCGCAACGGCGCCAAACCCATGTTCCTGGACGTCGGCTACAAACAAGTCGTGCCGATCAGCCAGCCGCTCGTTGTTCCGTCGTATTTCACGAATGGTACCATGCGCACGAGCGCATTGCGGACATTCGGTTTCGTGGTCTTGCAAACACCTACATTAGTTGGGATCAGTTGCGATCTTAAACACAAACACGATATGAAGACTTGCCTCTGGTGATAAGAGTGATTGCACATGAAATGCACGGCGGGCAGATCCAGCGGCGCATTGCATGTTGAGCATCGCGTAACGTGGAAGACACGCGGGTGATCCGGATCCACGAGCTCTTCGACTTGCTTGAGCTTGCTGGCGGTTTCAAGCCGGTACGAGTTCGTGAGCTGCTTATCCTGGACACCCCGTCAATGCCCGTGTCAAGGGTGCACTCACCAGCACTCACCGTCTCGATCTCTTCCCTCGCCTCCCCAATTCTCTTCATCAACCACTCCTTCACAAGACCCACGCTTGCGACCCCATTCCTACTCAATACCTGTACGACCCCCACAGGGCTCAGCACTCCTTCCCTCTCGACCTCCTCGAGCACCCTCCGAACATCACCCTCGTGCTTTTGTAACAGCTCCGATGTACTCGTCAAAAACCTCAGGACGAGCACGTACAAGGACTTTTTGCTCGGTCCATACTTGTTCAGTGTTGCGACGACTTGATGCGAGGCGGACGCGTCGCCGGCCCCGTGCTTGTCTATCCAGAATCGGAGCACATCCTCATGCATTCCGAGTCTTTCCCACAGGAGAACGAGCCCGGGGGTATAGGCACGGCTAGAGCACAGGATCAGCGCATGTGTGGGATCGTATGGCAGGTCGGCGCGCTCGAGCAAGCGCAAGGCTTTGTCTCGCATAGGCTTCTCCGCGTCGGAAGTGGAGCCTTCAACAGGAAGAGTGAGGTATAGCTCCAGGAGCGTGTTCCACACCGCGACCTGATCTTGTTTGCCGTTCCCTTCGTCCTCGCCCTTGTCGGGACTCACGCCGCTCACACCGCCGTCGACGCTCTGACCCCATCGCTTAAGCGCCACTGTCTCGAGGAACACCACGAAACGGTTCAGATGATCCACGAAGTGCGCAAAGTAAACCCGCGGAGAAGGACGCTTTCGCAGCGGCACATCGACCGTGACCATCCTTGCATGCGCGGATCCAGTTGCAATTGTCGGCGTCGCGGTCCCAGGCGTGCTGACACCCACGTCCGTGGCCGCGACAGCGGTCCCAGATTCCGCTCTGCGCGGAGTGAGATCGCCCGCCCCGGGGCGGATGGTGGCTACACCGCTGGCGACCGAAGCCGTGGAATGCGTGGAGGTGGGAGTGGGCAACTCCGACGATATCAAGTTGCCCATGTTGCCCATAGGCAGCGCCATGAACGACAGGTACGATGCCGCAGAGTTTTGTTTTCCCGGAGACACGACCTGGTCCTGCTCATCAGACTCAGACGGTAGAAGCCCTGAGGTCGTGCATATGTCAATGAGGAGTTGGGTGGTTTCGTCAGGTAGGTTATCCAGCAATGCTCTGCCGTATCTCGCAAGGTTGTGTTCTGCCTGGTGCAACATTCTGTGTCAATTCGCGAAATGATCCACACTTCACGCACGTACCGCCTCAGTTCCCAGTTTACGCAGATACGCCAGTGCATCTTTGTAGTTGCCAGCGTCTTCAATCTGAATCCGAAGATAATCTTCGTGACGGTCGTACTTCTTCGCGAGGTAACTCGCGTGCTCGAAGTATCCCGCTTGGCGACAAACGCGAATTGCCGTCTCCAGGTCGAACGGTAGCTCATCCTTATCACCTTTGCCGTCTGCGCGTCTGGACTCCGTCTTGATAAAGTTGTCTAGCCGCAAGACATCCTTGAGCTTGGTGTATGTGTTCAGGAGTAGAGTGGTATGGTCGGCGTTGGCAAGACCGAGGCTATGGAGCTCTTGTAGATAAGTGACAAGATTATGTATCCGTTGAGCATCGAGGAACTTTTTCCAACGTTTTAGTTCGATGACTTCATGCCGTGTCAGAAGATCACACACCTTGCGGATGACATAGCTCGGTTGTAAATATCCCAGAGTATGAATGTACTGTTGCATCGCGCTGTCGTATTCTCCTCTTGCGTATAACGAATCCCCGTACCGCCGGTGAATATCCGCTACGCCCGTGTCGTCCAGTTTCTGAGTCTTGGCCAGCTGGAGCGCGAGCGTATACTGTCCTTTGCGGTACAGCATATCCAGCTTCTCCGACATGGGCTTCTCTTCGAGACACAGCAACTGAATGGCCGCCAGTTAGCTCCTTTACGGACACATGCCCAGCCTCGGTCACTCACCTTTCCGTCGTTGGGAAGGATGTAGATTTCGTCCCAGGCGGAAAAGATCTCTCGCACGCCACCGGGGAATGTACCTGAATAGCCGATGATACCGTTCTCGAGTTCAAAGACCGTCACCTTTGTGACATCCGCGTTCGCGCCTGATGTGACCCCGCTTCTGGCGACGAAGTTCCGTACGGTCGCAGAGGCAGATGATGCTGAAGGTGCGAAGGGTGGTGATACGATGACCAGATAGTTCAAGTGGGTGTGTATGGACATTTTTTGGCCTAAAGAGAGTGAGCAAATACAGAGTGACGGTGTATCGGATTTCCTACCTTCGTAAGCATAACATTGGCCTCGGCCTTCTGTTCCAAAAAGATAGATCGCCTCGTCCCGCGCCACCACCATATCCTTAGCGTGCCAGTCCATGGTCGAGCATCCTAGACCGGCGCCTATCTCGTCCACAACCGCAGCCGCGCCGCCGCTCCCCCGCCCGCTCGCTTGATAGCTCAAGACCCTATTCGTCGTTACGATCAAGAGATGCACATTCAGATTGTCCTCCGTGGGCTCTCGGAAGCCAAGTCCGGTGATGGGCTCCGTCGGAGATTCGTGAATAACGCGGGGTTTAGGTAGAGATGTAAGTGACGACGAGCCAGAGAAGAGCGACTGATCAAGGTGTCGATACACGATGACAGTGCCGTCACCCATCCCGATGGCGAGGTAGGACAAGGTGGCCGAGAGTGCAACTGTAGTCACCTTATAGCGTGCGGTCAGGCATATATCTGACGAGGGGGATGAGACGCACTGGATGTGGCCGCTTTGTACTTGGTTGTACATTGACGGATCGCAGCAGAGTGGGCGGGGACGTGGAGCCAGATTTCTTGTCGAAACTGGTGAGGTCCCAAATCTTCAATATGGGATACTTCACCCCAGTCTCCTCCTGTATTGTATCTATTTTGAGTTGAGGCATAGAATCAGAGCATGCGCCAATGCACTGACTCCGAGAGTGACAAGAATCTGTCTCCGTCCAACCATGTGCGTTATTCGTCCACCAATATGGGCTACCCAACTTTGGGTGGACTCGAAGTCGTCATTGAGGATATGTACGCTCCCGTGAATATCCGCGAGAAGAAGATATGAATTCCAATATGTTATCGAGGAGATCTCGTGTGCAGCCTGTGGCTAGATTTAGACGATGCATACATGCACCGAGGAATAGAGATACCTTGAAAAGCTCCGGGGCGTTGGCGAGGTCATGCACGTCCTTGACCGGAGCGACGTCGAAGAAAGAGAATTGGCGCCACTGTAGAGGGCATTCAGTATGTCGTTCCGTGGTTAATTGGTAGATGTACCGCTGCGGGAGCTGTCGCAGAGTTTGCTGCCATCAGTGGTCACGGATGAATGTCAGTCTGGTAGCTTTCAGACAGTGCCCGTGGTATGGCACAAGTTGTTGGAGCCAGCCGGCACGCACACACGAGGCCGAGCAAATAAAAGCAGCAACGGGGATGAGTGCAAAGTCCAGGAAGGCCGGGTCTAAGTGATCCTGCGCCGCTACGCGCGAGAGCGAGGAAGTGGGAGCGGTGATCGCGCCTTTGTCTTTCCGAGCCTACCACCGGTCGTCTCAACCCGAAAACTGAGACGAACCTAGATCGAACACTCGCTTGCCCGCATCTACTACGTTCCAATTCGCCTTGATCTCCAGCCCGGCCCACCACTCATCCAAATCCTATATCCTGCTGAACGTTTACACCTCGTCGACGCTCGTGCCTATCCAACGCCAGCCATCGCCGCACACTCAAATCCCTCTATTCCTGCGCCGTGTTCCAAACACCTTAGGTTCGTGCTCTTGATCGGACTCGGGTGTCACCAGTCGCGTTAATTTTGCGCGGCTGCGAATAGCGCTGTCCGTATCGTAGGTTCGGGGCCCAATCCCTACGAGCTACCACCTTAATCCTATTTTCTTCCTAGAACGTAACATGCCCTCTGAATCGCGCCGAGGAGAGAAGCGCAAGAAGGGCTCAGAAGACGCTGCCCTTACTCAGGCTCCATCGGACACGGCAAACCGAAGTCAGTCGCCATCGGGCAAGAGGCTGAAGCGGCGGCAGATGGAAGTTCTGCTTACCCGTCGGCCATTGGGAAAGCAGCTGTACAAGCCTTCAACTCCTGAAGCTTCAGAAGAGGTGTCGTCAAACTTTCCCGGGGCTTTGGTGTTATTCATATCGATAAACCTTAACCTCCAGGCTTATGGTCATACATTGCAAAGATTAGATGCGCTGGGCCTCAGCGTCACATCCACCCCGGAGACATGCACTCAAAGTCCAGATCGCGTGCCCAGTGATAACGGGGTAAACTTTATTCATTATCAAGACACTTCTGCGTCTCTTGTTTATTGCTCTTGCAGGCTTCGACTACAGCACATGTCGCGCATCACGAGCTCGAGGATGGAGAGCAGGAGGATGCAGCCCTCTCAGTATTCGGAGAGTCACAGGCTCCTCGTACGTCTAGCAAGAAGCCGGTCCGCACCCTATCCGAATTCGCCGTATTTGATCGGGTAACCCGCAAATACATTGACTTCATAGAACTGGATCAATACCTCCGCTCTGGGTCGGGAGGCGGGACTGCTGTCGCTTCCGGTCTTGTTGCAGCCTGGATACTGCCAGATAACTTGGATGTCGATGCAGAAGATGATTTGACTGTGCCCGATACACGTGTCAGCCTGTCCCCTATTCTCAGTGTCAACTACCTTGATGTGCCCCTTGAAGACTGGGATGGCTCTGCAAGAGGGCACATGGACAAGTATGAAATCCGCTTCGGTGATTCAATGACAATGCTGATAATGATATTAGACACGTATATATCGAGACGAAATACGCATGGTACATTCTGGATGTGCCTCTGGAGCCCTATCATCCTTTTTATCTCCCCTTTCTGACAGCACATCACTGCAGCCATCTTATATTCCTGGCTGCTTGTGTTAACACCAGGATTACCATGCAGGACTTCCTGCATGCTGTATCACAGACCCCTAGTCAGCAGCCTGAGGAGACATTGAGCTCCTTATGCCCTCATTTCAAGGAGTTATTGCCCCAGACATCACTTGGGGTGAAACATGTTGCTCTGGATTTTTGGCACATAGTCAGAGATGCAAATACTGCTCTTCACAGGCTTCCAGATAGTGATGATTTCAGATCCGTTACTGTGGTATGTCATTGACCTTGTCTATCTGGATCAAACCTAATGATAATATCTGTAGCTGAGTCAGATTCTGGATCTCCTTGAGCATCTTGAAGCCACAGATGAGCTCTGTGACAAGGTCCAGGTACTTCGTTGTGTTCCTCTTGTGCAAGAGATAACAGGGGATATGGGGCCAATCATCTCAGACATTCCCAAGTCAATGGGATATCTTTTGTCAGATGCAAATCTACCAGGTTCAGATGGTTCACATGACAATTTCCATATTGCTGTGACTCCAACAGTAGGCCGTGTGGCTTCTGTCATCTATCCTTCATCATATGAAGTCATTTCCTTCCCATCACATACTCCCCCTATTAAGGTGCCACATGTCTCTGAAGACATGGTGCACTTGAAAGATCCCCAGAGCATAGTTTGGGGTGGAACACCTTCTCATGGGGTGTACTCAACCACATTCATAGATGGTATTCAGTATTCAGTGAGTAAATTATGTATTATTCTTATTTTAAGGACTAATCACTGTATATTAAGATTGGTGATGTTGTTCTTGTTGAGAAAGGCCAAGATGAAGGTAGAAGATATCCTGCTCCTCCTAGTATTAATAACATTGCACGAACAAAATGGTGAAGGCACATATTATGTTCCCTACATGTATACTAAATAAAGTTTCAGGTTTGCGAGGATATGCTACTTTTTTCAAGAAGGCTACAAGGTCAGGGATAGGTATTTATGCATTAGTGGATGCTCATAGTTCATCAGAAACGGTTCCATGCTCAATGGCTAATTCATGGCTCTGAGACTATCCTTGGAGAAGTTGCATCAGAAAGAGGCTTGTTTGAGATGACAAGCTGCGACTCTCATGATGTGTCATGCATCTATCAAAGATGTCATGTCCTTACACTTCACGGTGGTCAGCATGAACCCGATGATGTTGCTTTCAAGTCTGACAACAGTTTCTACTCCTATGGGTATGGTTTTATTGGATGTATAATATTCCAGACTTCTACTAACATTGATTCAAGGCTGATATGGGACAAAGAAGCCTGCTCATTCACTGAACTCCCAGAATCAGACTATTCATCTGCTATCAACCACCCTGACTATGTCACCCACCCATGTGTTTCTTGTTGCCTCCTTTCTATACAGGAAGCTCATGCACGTTTCACTCTATATGACATGGAGCAACCTGCAAAAGGCTTTAGCTTTGGCAACACAGGCTACCATCTGGGTGACTTGGTCTATATAGCCCCCACCATTCAATCCGGTCGATATCTGGTTGGGCAAATCCTCTCAATCAACTCCTCACCTTCCGTATCTGTTTCAATATTTGACTATGGCAACAAACAAAAAGATAATATCCCACATGAACTCAAGTGGGTACATGAGGTTTGTTTTGTACCACATCAGCTGCTATGTGAATATTGCTGATAGAATAATGTGGTGGCCAGAAACTACTGTTTCACACAGACAATATTCAGGTGATGAATCCTCAGAGAATAGAAGGAAAATGCTATGCCCTTGCATTGAAAGCAGAGTTGGCTGTAGACGAAGACTGGATTTTTGGTGATGATCACTACTATGTCCTGACCCAGGATGAGTTTTGGCACTGTGACAAATGTCTTCAAGTTCATTGTGAGCGTCTGGGAGAGATTCCTCGATATTTAGATCATCAAGGGTGTCTGAAATGCATGGATTTGTTCAGTGGTATGTACTACTATGTGGCTACCTGAATGTGATATTGAAGTTTAGAGTAGGTGCTGGAGGTCTCTCTGTAGGCCTTGAGCAATCTGGCTTCATTGAATCAAAATGGGCTATAGACATGAATAATCTGGCTCTTGACACATTTCAGTGAGTCTCACTTACCTACTGGGATAAAAAAACTTAACTCATTGTTTCAGAGCTAATCATCCTGGAGCCCAGGTGTTGAAGCAAGATTGCACCAGTGCACTTCAGTGTGCGATTCAGAGTAAAGGAGGCATGCCCTCACCAGCTGATGTTGATATGATTGTTGGGGGTATGTGATCCTACTTACTTGAAATCTGAAGTCTGATTGATGAACTATTAGGTCCACCATGTCAATCATTCTCTGGATTAAACAGATCCAAGGTAATCTCCCTAAAATTTGTTATCATATTCATATATTCAACAAGTTCATTTTTAGAGACTCAATGATCCAAGGTGAGTAGTAGTATATGTGCAAGTATAAGTTGTGATATTTATTTCACTAATAGGAACATGCTGCCAGCTGTTATGCTCTCTTTTATAGAGTTTTACCAGCCTAGGTTCTCAATTCTTGAGAATGTTGTTGGCTTTATATCCCACAAGGTCGATGGAACTCAATTTGGAAACCATGTTGGGGAAAGTCCAATTTCCTGGGCCATGCCCAAATTTGTGATGAGGGCTTATATTGCTCTTGGGTGAAATATCTTGTCAAACCAAGCTCTACAGTATACTGAATACAAATAAAGTTATCAGGTTGGCTTCAGGATTCTACAAGCAGCCATGTATGGGACACCCCAGGAGCGACGCCGCTCTGTGTTTTTTGCATCTAGACGTGATCTACCTGGCCCAGCATTTCCATTGCCAACACATTTTACAGCACGTGGCTGGGCATCTGCCACACCCTACGAGATTCCACTATCTCATCCCACTCGGCTTACATATGAACTTGATGGGACAGTCTCACCTAGTCGTTCTATGCCTTTTGAGGCTGTCACGGTTGAAGATGCTATTTCTGACCTGGTGAGGATGGTTTGATCCTAAACATATAATAAGCTCATCTGGAAATAGCCTGTTTTCCACTGGATTCATCATGACATGCTTGGAACACAGGACAAAAACCACACACCATGCTTTGAAGCTATTTCTAAATATGCTAAGACATGGCCAGGCTTTACTAAGCCAACCCTGTACAGAAGTCCACCACAGTCACTATATCAGAAATGGATAAGAAAGCAGAACTCAGATGACAAAGTTACCTATCAGTATACACCAACTTGGGGACAGATTGTTGTTGAACGGTGAGTAAGCATGTTAAACAATGGTTACAGAATCATTCAATAGTGCCAGTGTTGTCAATGTACCAATGAAGCATGGTGCTAGTATAGCAGGTTTGTGCCATAATAACCATGCATCAATGTCTTAGCTCAATGCTTCTACAGATGTACCAGATAAGTTACGGTTCCCTCGGTTCCTAATGGGAAAGAAAACAGGTCTGTTGATCTCATAGACAAGTTCAGGACATGGTGATGCTAATTGAATTTCAGGAGAAGAGGGATATTACCGCCGGCTTGAGGAACATGGGCAATTTCTCACTGTTGTCACTTCACTGGACCCAGGCACCCAAAAAGCTCGGCTATTGCATTACAATGTGAGTACTTCACACTGTTAGGAAAGTATGATCTGAGGCAGTGGTGATCTCTAGCAACGACGTGTCATTACTGTGAGAGAAGCTGCAAGGGCACAGGGGTATCCAGACAGATATATATTCATGCCTACACCTGAAAACAGCCTGAAGGATGTTGATCATGTGAGTAAATGATACAGGGCTACTGCTGAAAAAGAGTCTCACCGATCACTCTTGTAGTATGTTCGGCAAATTGGCAATGCTGTCCCAATTCCACTGGGTTTAGCACTGGGGAAATGTGTTGGTAAAATGCTGCTACAGAACTGGGTACAAGCTTCAGAATAGAGATAAGAATGCTGATGAAGGCACATACAAATACATCACTGGAGTGGGAATGTGTATGTGGCATGTTCTGCACAGTGGTCAACATGTGGAGCAAGTGTGCATCAATATACTGCAAATTACATCAATATCATGGAGTCGTGTGAGTGCAACTTTATAATTACTGATGGGAGGGCCCTGGTAACATTTTCCCCTGGCCCGAATACTTGAGCTGCGTCCAATCACGCTGCTGTTCCATAGACCTGTATACATGTTAGAGCGGCACGGTCCACATTATCAACCAATTTTCATCAACAATGGGAATGAGAATATTGAATGACTCACAGCTCTCATTTACATTCCTTACAATTACTCCACGAGATCTCATCCATCAAGCAATAGCCAATAACTATTGACTTCTATGAGGCGGAGGTGGCTGGCTGGATCACCAGCGGTTGGAAGCATGTGCATGAGGGATACCTTGGTGCTTGCACGGTAAGTTGCTTTGATACTGGTGCAAGGTACGGTGAGAGTCACCTCTGGTACTGTCGTGATCTTCCCCGTGCAGAAGAGTCGCGGCGGGGATGCCTCGCCTTGTTTGTTTTCAGACTCCCTTCGATGCAGATGGTGATGGCTGGGAGGCAAGCATCGGGGGCTAGCGAGTAGTGAGGTAAGCGCCGATGGCCTGAGACATCACCGGCAGACAAGACCTCGAGCCCGGCCCTAGCTGAGAGGGAGCATAGTAGGGCTGGGTGGTCGTTTAAGCCAATAACCGACTCGTAGGTGCTCTCGGCAACTGCACGAGCAGCATACGATCCCAAAGGCACATCTTTGGCAGTCTTCTCCAACATGTTTCTGAACTTGCGCGCAGTGGAGAACTTGCGTGGGTCCACCTAACCCGCGGATCTGAGCGAGTATGTCAGCAGAAGGCCAGGGCATGACGCAGATATACGCACGGGGAAACAACTCGAATAGGATCTACGCTCATCTTGAAGTTGCGAACTCCAGGTGCTGTGGCCGACCGCGATGAACTTGTCGGCGTCGGACGAGGGGTTATCAAGTCCAGTCCTGCACGTACTGGCCTTGGGAGGATCTAAGCGAACGGGTGAGCACTATACCGACCGCGGTGTGCATATGCGCACCTGTTGTCATTAAACATCGATCCGGGTGCTTTCAATCTATGCTGGCTCGAGCCACTACAGCTTATTGATGCCCTTAGAATATTACGGGCCATCTGTGCGCTCGGATTCATTCAGACAGGAAATGGCTGTGGTTCGATCCTCGCGTGTGGGCGTTCATCTCTTCATCGTGCCAGCAGGCCCCTGAGCGTATACATGTTTGCGACGCGACTGCGTATATGTATAAAGAATCACGGTCCATGTCAGCTGCCTGTCATAGCTAAAATGGAAAAGGCGGCATACACGGTGAACACGATGTCGCGTTTGTGCAAAGACCATATTATTGTGCATTTGGACTTGACAGTCGTGTTCGGACGATGGTCAATCCGTGCCGCTTCTATGTTCTTACAAGTGGGCAGAGGATCAGAGATTTCGCCAAAGCGAGCGACCGAGACGCGACTCGCAAAGCGAGCGTCAACCTGCGTCAACGCGTCGCGTCCTTAACGCACGCGTGTTCATCGGACGCCGGCCGCATGTAGTGTCAGCTTTGCCTTCAGACTCCCGCGTTCAGCCGGGCTAGTTGACGATTCAAGACAATCTGCCATGTCCAGCGCCACTGTCTCACCAGAACTGATCAATCTACTCAAACAGCTGGACCTGAACGTCGACGCAATGGAGCCATTCAAACGAGAGGAGCTCGTGGACGCTCTGAACTGCATGAACGTCAACGTCAAGGCGAATACGAAGTTGCCGATGAAGTCGTTGGAACATCTGCTCGGGCTGTCACTAGAGGCTGCTCAAAGAGTTCCGAGACTGCTTAAGGATGGCACGCCTTTGGATCCGTCCGGGCTTGGTCCCTGGCAAGGTCGCGACCTGATTGATGCGGTTAACATAGGCAATCTCCACGAGGCGTTTCAGAATGCACGGCGCGGAAGCAGGGACGTGGAATTATACAAGGACGTCTTCATGGATCTCAGGCAAGCACCATGTCTAATGCAACATGTTGCGCCGCTGAGCCTCCGTGATTAGGCAGACGGTGATGGCCGTTGGAAAGGGGTGTGACGACGGACGAACATGTTTTGTTATCCAACCGAGGGACGAGAAGGAGCAGGAAGCCGCCATCAACCTTCGAGTGAGCGTCAATTCTATTGCGATAGTGTCCAAGTCTCCTTGGATAAATGCTGACACAGACCGGCAGGTGGTTTCTACGCATGTTTTGAGCGAGAAGACACCGATTATTGTTGTCCTTTACCGAATCATCACTCTTTCGAACGCTCAGGAAGGTTTCCAGTGGCTCGAGAAAAGGCACGTACAATGCGAGATAGTGAATACATTCTGCACGCCGGCGGAACAGAAACTCGTCAAATTACTCCTCCAACGCAACTCTAAGCTCATTTCTCCCGACTTTAAGCCGTCCAGACTCTCAGGCGAAGACAATTTCTCTGTCTCATGCGTGTTGCCCATCGGACCTCTCGATTTTGCGGACGTAGCACGCTTGAACGCGGACGAGCTGAAAGGCTGTATCGTGTGCGGGAAACAGACGCTCAAGGAATGTAGTAGATGTCGCAGCGCCAAGTACTGCGGCCCCGGTACATCTCCCGAGTTCTCCGTGTATCTCAGCCGGCTGACGTGTTATTCTTGGGCTTCAGAATGCCAAAAATCTCACTGGCGGGAACACAAGCCCGTTTGCCGCTCTATCGAAGGCGGCGAATGGCGCAGGTTCATTATGGCCCCTGCTCCGGCTGACGCGAAACCTGGGATGCGCGTCGTCACACTCAATCGCTTCAGCTCGCCTGGGGACACGGACCCGAGCTCGACCGCAGAGGTGGGAGACTCACCTGGACCAAACATTCATGGCGACCGGCCGTTCATCGCCAAGATTCAGAAGGGCAACCCGATCCAATGCATGCTCGTGTACGATCAACAGAGGAGCTTCCAAGGTTTCATCCCTCGCGGGGGCCAGGAGATGGAGTACGGGGAACTGATGGAACAGATGAAAACTGGTTGGAACGGGATTAAAGTGTATCGGTGGGCGAAGCGCGCGGCAGACAAGGAGCTCATGGTCTGCCTGAACCGAGGGCCGAGTGAATTCCCGCCGTGGTAGTGCTGACGAGGTGGTTCGAGCTGTTGTCGCCCGCAGAGTTGCTATGTACATGGATGCCACATCTCACGAACATCGTATTCATTGTCGTCCGAACTTGCGGCACCGACGGGTTCTGCTGCGTACCACTTGAAGCTTGTCGGCCCAGCCGCGGGGGTGGGGCCTTCACATGACTCACCAAGAGCCGTCCGTCGTCGGACTTGTTCGGCGTCCCCACGAGTCATTTTACCCAGCGCTTTTAGTTGCAGCGCCCTCGTCCAGGCTCATTCCTCCGTTCCTCTTTCCCCGTCTCTGCCTCTGCTCGTCGTTAACCACGACGATGTCGCTCATTGCACCCAAAATGCGCGCGTCGAGCGCCACAAAAGCTCCCTCCCTCGCGCGCTCCCGCTCCAACGTCGCGGCCGCGAGTAGCTCCTTCCTAGAGGCTCGCTCCAGAGTAAAGGAGCACGCACGGAACATCAGCAGAACATCGTCTAAGAATGCCTCTGTTGAACCATCTATGTGAGCGATAGACGTATTCATCACCATCCTTACCTCTGATATCCATGCCAGTCACCGACCTGCCCCTGCGCCGAACTTTCAGCAGCTGCCTCCGAGAACACAAGTACCGGGGCCCACCGCGCCAACGCAGGCGCCTAAGGCAGCCCTCGACCACTCCTTCATCGGCATGTCTGGAGGCCAGATCTTCCACGAGATGATGCTTCGACACGGTGTAAAGCACATCTTCGGTTACCCAGGAGGCGCCATTCTCCCGGTCTTCGACGCCATCTACAACTCCCCGCACTTCGACTTCGTCCTTCCAAGACATGAGCAGGGCGCAGGTCACATGGCGGAGGGTTATGCCCGCGTGTCCGGCAAGCCCGGGGTCGTTCTCGTTACCTCTGGCCCCGGAGCTACGAACGTCGTGACACCCATGCAGGATGCGTTGAGCGACGGCATCCCTCTGGTTGTCTTCACTGGTCAGGTAGCGACGTCTGCCATCGGTTCTGACGCCTTTCAAGAAGCAGACATCGTCGGCATCTCGCGCAGCTGCACGAAGTGGAATATCATGGTGACAGACATCGCCGAGCTACCGAGGCGCATCAATGAGGCGTTCAAGATCGCCACCACCGGCCGTCCGGGTCCCGTTCTCGTTGACCTTCCCAAGGATATCACGGCCAGCATTCTCCGCAACCCTCTGCCATACAAGGCCACTACACCCGGATCGCCGCTGGGCCTCCCGTCGAACCCCTTGCAGCAAGTGGAGGAGACTTGCGACATCGCTCTGCTACAGCGCGCCGCGGACCTCATCAACCAATCCCGCCGGCCTATCATCTACGCCGGCAATGGCGTCCTTTCGTCTCCGGAGGGACCGGAGCTGCTCCGCAAGCTGTCGCAGGACGGCAATATCCCCGTCACGACGACCCTTCAGGGGCTCGGTGCATACGACGAGCAGGACCCCAAGTCACTGCATATGCTCGGGATGCACGGCTCGGCGTACGCAAACCTTGCGATGCAAGAAGCGGACGTGATCATTGCCCTAGGCGCGCGGTTTGACGACCGCGTAACGGGTAAGGTCGACACGTTTGCGCCCACTGCGCGCGCGGCTGCAATTCAAGGCCGCGGCGGCATCATCCACTTCGAGATCCAACCGAAGAACGTGAATAAGGTTGTCGACGCAACCATCCCCGTCCTCGGCGACGTCGTAGCAAACCTTGCCGGCCTTGTGCCGTACATTCGCCACGCGCCGCGCGAGGAGTGGTTCGACGACATCCGTCAGTGGAAGGAAAAGTACCCTTTCACCTACATCAAGAGCGCAGAGGGTCGGCCGATGAAGCCGCAGGAGGTCGTAGAGGAGCTTGACGCACAGACGCGGGATTGCAAGGGTGACGTGGTTGTCACCACTGGTGTCGGCCAGCACCAGATGTGGGCCGCACAGCATTACAGGTGGACACACCCTCGGTCTATGGTCACCTCGGGCGGTTTGGGCACCATGGGCTTTGGCCTCCCGGCGGCTATCGGCGCCAAGGTTGCCGCGCCGGAAAAAATCGTTGTTGACATTGATGGCGATGCCTCGTTCAGCATGACCGCGATGGAGCTCGCTACGGCGTCTCAGTACAGCATCGGTGTGAAGGTGCTGATCCTCAACAACGAGTTTCAGGGCATGGTCCTGCAATGGCAAGGTACGCGGGCTTGGTTCCACTTGATCCCCCAGTTGCTCATTTTCGTGCAGATCTCTTCTACGAGAAGCGCTACTCGCATACGCGCATGACCAACCCTGACTTCGTGAAGCTCGCGAACGCGATGGGCGTGCACGCCATACGGTGTCACACCGCCGCGGAGCTACCGGAGAAAATGAAAGAGTTCCTTGAATACGACAACTCCAAGCCGGTCGTGATGGAGTGCATCGTCGAGCCCGGCGAGCACGTGTTCCCCATGGTGCCCGCCGGCAAGGCTCTGCATGAGCAGCTGCTGCACCCGAGCCTCGCCGCCGCTGCGACCACCAAAAAGGCGTAATTTTTTATGAACTGTACTTTACACGCCGCATTCATCCCTTACGTTCTTCTCACCCATCTTCCACTGCATCGCTATTATTAACTCACGCGGATCCTTCTCGCATATTCAGCATCCGCTCGCACGGGCTTTACTGGCAATGTATTCATAACACAGGTCGTCGCTTCTGCTTTTTGGTGGCGTGTATATGTATAGTAAATATGGCCACTTCGGGGGGCTTACGACGACAGAAACGTCCAAGGCATTTCACGAATATATCGTTATGCGTCTCTAGGTTCCGCAACGTAAGGTGTGTGGGATCTTTGCCACGGAGATGCATAAAGGTGATCGCGCCGAGTTGCGCTGATGAGCTACAGTACATTGAGAAAGCCTCAAGTCTATCTCTATCGTTGCCTGAGGAATGGACGTTCGAGCCCGAAGTGCGCTCCGCTGAGGTGCTAAGACACGTCTCTACCATTTGGGATCCTGAGGAGGGGCGCGATCAAGGCAGATCGTCAATTCGTTATCTCCGGTCCGTTGAGCCCAGCGATATATTTTCGCGCCTAGGTACCCTGTTTTCATCTCTTCCATCATCTCGTCGTAGATAGTCGGTTGGGTGGCCCTTGTAATATATCCCTGGAAGCTCCGCTGCTGATCGTAAACAAGTACCGCGGCACCAGCTTGAAGCTTGACTAGAAACGGTCTGCCCTGGTGAACATCCGGAGGTGCGACGTCGTTCGCTTTGTGCTGGTAGTGTTCAGGGAACCGATGCATCGGCGTGCGTTTGTTGAGGAGCGTGCTGACCATCCCTTCCATCCCTTGCAGCGTCGGCCCGAACGTATACGTACGCCATGTTCCACCGGCAACCGAAGTGCAAAAGCGTCGGTGTTCCGGCCAGTGGGCCGTCTGGCATTCTATACGCGACCTAGTGAGCATGCGTCAACTTGAGACAGCCGTCTTGGAGTCCTACCGTCGCTGCAATAGTTGGCGCTTTGGCATTTGCCGCACACGCGCGTCTTAAGCTTGCCACACATGAGGCAACCCGCCTTGTTCTGCGAGTTCAGCGAGCCCACATCTTCAGAGCCAACAGGCCCGATGGGCAGCAAGCAGCTCCGTTTGAAAAGCCTCTCGCTCTCATGCTTCTTGGGTTTATAATCGGCTCCGAGAACTTTCGAGTTTGTCTCCAACATCTTCAGCAGTAGCTTCTGCGTCAATGGTGCGCACAAGATTGGTTGGATGCCGCCTGATCGGTCTTGCGCATCCAACCATGCAAGCGCTTTCGCCGGTTGTCGGTCGTCAAAGACATCGTAGAGGACGGTTATGAGAGGTGTTCTGTCGTCCAGGGCATGAACGGAGACCATCTTCAGCGGCGCAAGCGTTCAGTGGTTGATATGATACATTGAACGGCGGCAAAGGCTCACTCGTAGGTTGATCGCCGCCGACCCTTCCCGACCGCGAACAACGACACTTTTCATCCTATTGTCCCAATTGCGCTGGAAGTCTGCTACGACCTGCCTGTCAAAAAGCTTGCGCTGAATCCGCCATGCAAACAGCAAGGCATTGTGAAAACGGACCTGAGCTCTGTGAAGACGTCCAAGACACCATCCTTGGTTATAGTAGCCCCTATTGCTTCCTCAAGGGTGGCACGGCGTGAAGCCTTCTGAATAGCGCCTCCTGACCATGCCGGGAGAGCTACCGGGTTCACTGGCAGGTCGTCGGGCACAGTGTGCTCCATATCCTGTGCGGCCTTCAGCGTGGCTCTGAGCCTCTTTTCCAGAGCCTTTTCGGCCAGCTTGCTATCGGCTGGTATATCCACGTCCATCGACGAGAGAATAGTGCGATACTCTTCCCTGCTGACAGCTTGCATGGTAAGAGGATGTCGCGAGACAAAGCTACGCGAGACAAAGCTACAATGTGCAGGTTTAGATAACACAAGGAGGATGAGGGAAGAAAGGGCGACGCGCTTCACGCCAGGGGGGGCCGAGGATGCCAAATTTCGAGCTTTATCCTGCCCGGAATCTGAGGCCAGCCATTGCACGATTGGAGGTCGACATTCCGTTTACGTGTTACGATGGTCTCGTACGATTCCAATATGTTGCATCTACGTAGCACAGCGAGCATCGGCTATGACTTCGTCGTCTTCCAGCGTACATAGCATGATACCCTATGAAGCCGTTTGCGTATGACTCTCTGTGGATTGGAACGGAGATGCATATGGTCTGGCGCACGGACTACCATAGGCCTATGAGTGCAGCAGAGCCAAAGAGACAACCAGCTATGTCGATACCAGCTTCAGGTTGCAACTGATGGATTACACAACTTGCGTCGCGGCGAATGCCACGGGCCCAAATCCTTGGCTCCACCACTTCGTCCACCAACTTGGTTGATCTGTAACGACATCAACTTCCAGATCTTCCAGACTTCGACAACAATGTCAACCATCGATCTATACGCCGTCGCAGGCAAAGTACATTTCTTTCCGTGGAAGATCTCGGATTGACGATCTGCGCAACGCCAGATTTCTGTCTGATACCCATCGGTGCGTATCTAAACTGAAATTATCGACATTTCTGATCGTTAAACGGTCGACATGTCTCACAGGGACGGGGGAACCTTCGGTACATTTGGCTACGAAGAGACCGCGGAAGCACCCCCTAATCACCGCTTTGTACGGCGCCAGGTCGCCATCCATGTCGCAGAATGCCAACGCGTTCTCGAGAAAACGGGGCTGAAGTACAAAGCACGTAGAAATGCAGAATGTCCAACGTCGATGGTAATGGTGCTGACATTAGCTTGATAGATGCAGTGAGTAGGCAATTTCTGTACGGGACGCACATACATGACCCTGCGATCAAGCGGATATGGCACCAACATAGGCGCGTTCTGTTTATCCCATGACTAGAAAACTAAAAACCAAGACGCGTGTATCATCACAGAAGGACCGTGGTCCGAAGTCTCGAAGGCTATCCATGACTGTCATGCTGCAGTTCACGCCATGGGTGCTCCTCGAATTGCGACAGATATCCGTATCGGTACCCGGGTCGACAGAGAAATACTTCCCGGAACTGGTAACGAAGGCAAAGTGGCCCGCGTGGAAGAAATCCTGGCTAAGGCCAATCAGAAGTAGCAACGGAGACGGATGCGAAGAAGAATGTGCTGTGTGATGTTCAAGTGTAGGCCCAAAATACTGTAACGGCCTGCATGGCTGATTTAGGCTATAGATCTAGATTGACTGTATTTTCCGAACTTGCGTGTATCTTCCGCATTTGATATGCCTGCATCTGGATGCTAGCCGCCTCCCAAAGCCACCGTGTCCGGTGCATTCTCTTCGCTTGCTGCGTCACCGCTACATCACAGAAATCAGTATCGTTCACTCCCGGACCGACATCCCTTGCTCACATGACCTTCCCCGTGGGTCTTCCTACTCTTGCAAGATTCGGGACAGAAATGTGCTTCTCCCGGACAGACTCCGGCTGCACCGATATTCTTGCCCGTGCTCCATTCAACTGATACAGCGATGCTTCCTTTCAACTTCTCCGGTCACATGGTCGACCCTCCTGCTCGTATTCGACGGCCCGACATCGACGCGGTCAGACGCCGGTATACATGTTGCATCCAAGGGCAAAGCTGGTATAAAGATATCCAGTTGCATGCGCACTCTGATCATCTTTATACGTCGACCATCTTGAAGGCAGCTCGGTCACGATGCGCCATTCGATTCCTACACTGGTCACCCTCACATTGGCTTCCAGGGCCCTCGCTATCGCGGTCCCGAGCACAACGCCATCTAACGTATGGAACTACGGCATATATAACAATGTCGCTCATCGCTCCGATCTATCCAGGCAGCTAACGTGGATCCAGAACTTCTCGGTGTATCTCTTGAATTCTTCACGTTTCCAGGTCGGTCTTTTCGACCGCGATCGTACCTCATGCACTCACCGAATGTCCGCAATCAAGCATATACCGAAATTCCCGCAACTATCAACTGCCTTGCCAACATCCAGACCTTTCGTGGCGTCGCTCCTCCTGTCCGCATCGGTGGTACGACCCAGGACCGCGCAACATACAATCCGTCTCTCAGTTCGGCAGTAAACTACACTGTTGCCTCCTCCGCGGACGCGCCGACCTCCCTCACCTATGGCCCGAGCTTCTTCACCCTAGCTGCCGGGATGAAGGGGGACGTAACGATCGGGTTGAATAGGCAGTTGAACAACCAAGCAAACAGCCTGCAGGCGGCACAACAGGCGAAGAGTGTTATGGGCAACTTGTATGCCTTCGAATTGGGCAATGAGCCTGACCGTGCGTGGTGTCTGCACGAAATCGGGTAGTTGCTGACGTACCGTGAGCTAGTGTGGGGTACCGAGACAGTAGCTACAGACGCAACTTCGGAGACGAGCTGGTTCAAAGCGATGTCATCCTCCGTACGTCAAATTGGCGTTGCTGTATTGTCACAACTGATGATCGATGCAGCTCGGAAATGTCTTCCAAGCTGGCGTGTACCTTAGCTGGAAGATTAGCGACCTCATACCAGACCTCATAAGCGATGGTGGAACGAGTTTTGTGAAGTCATTCTCGCGGCACTCTTATCCGCAAAGCGCGTGCAACGGCGCTTCCACGAGTTTACCGACGCTCATGAGTCATTCGTAAGCAGTCGCCCCATTTACCGGCAAAACATGCAGCTCGCTTGACTCGTACCGATGTTCAGCGGCATTGTATCGTACTTAAGCCAATTCAAGAGCGAAGCGACTTTGGCACATACTAACAATAAGAAAGTACGTTTGGTTCGCGATGACGATTCCGTGTATCTGATGCTACGTAGTACTTCCTAGGGGAGACCAACTCAGGTATTCGCACGTTGTCACCATACCGATGATGGAATTGACACATTTGCCCCTCACTAGCTACGTGCGGAGGTACATCGCTTTTCCTTGGCAGCATCTCGCAGCTCATCCGGTTGTCATAGGCGGCGGTATCAGTCCAACCTTTGGGGCTGCGCTTTGGATCGTCGACTATGTACTGCAAGCTGCGTGGATCGGTGTTGACCGGTTGTATTTCCATCAAGGAACGATAGGCAATTGTGTAAGCGTCGTCTTATCGCCTGCTTCCAGTCGACTCATATCATCATGGATACAGCAATATTGCTGGTGGGGACGTTTCAGTACAGGTGCTCCCTACTACGGGGCCGCATTCGTCGCCGAATTTCTAGGTACGGATGGCACGAAGATTTCAATGCTTGATGATGGTACAAGTATGTTGGCCGTTGCTTCCCCTTTACTGGTGTTGAACCGTTGGACTGTTCGACAGGCGCGATTGGAGTATATGCGATCTTCAACTCTGCTAATAAGCCCGTCCGCCTGTTGGTGTATAATTCTAACTATTTCGATGGTAAGACAGATGCTCCCGCCCCCCCCCCCCCCTGACGATCGTTAAGCGGACTGGATTGCACAGGCACGGGTACAAGGTCCTCGACGTCCGTGTCTTTGACCGGCTTAACCGCCACGACCGCTAAAGGGAAGCGCTTTACATCTGCATCTGCTCCTAGTCGCGTTGATGGCGGGGTCATTCCGACGATCGGCGGAGGTTCCTTCAGCACTACGTGCACTCATAATGGCACCACGACAACCGACAGTTTGACGCTTAGTGGAGGTGGTCTAAGCGTTGCAGTACAGGCTTCGGAGGCATATATGGTATTCTTGTCATAAGCATGCGGCAACAGTGATTACAACTGCTGTTGAAGGATGTAGAGCAAGCAGCGTCGTGATAACGTGATAATGTGATATTGGTACAAGATGCAACAAGCTGAACACGCCGATCTCCTTAGATCACTCTGGCTGGTCCTTGCCCCCGCGTTCCGTATATCTGTGCCAGCAATCCCAGGACCCCACCATCCTCAAGATCCTCCTCCTCCTCCTGTTGCGATCGGTTGATGTCCGCCTTCGCCTTCGTCCCATCAATATAATCTGACTCGTCCAGTTCGTCCAGTTCATCGTTCTCTTGCTTCGCCATGGCGGAGGCCTTAGCTGTTGGAGCAACGGAGTTCTGAGAGTCGCCCAAGATAGCCGTTTGAGCCATGGATATGCCGCCGCCCGGTTGCGACAGATACATCGATGCAGATGGCGCAGTCTGCATTGTGTTCCCAAGACCGCGACGTTGACGGGTAGAAGCCAAATTCTGACTCTGTTTGAGAGCTCGGTCGTACTCTTGAGCCCGCAGCTCTCCTAGGACTGTGCTACCCATGTTGGTTGATTCAAGCATTGGACCAGGCGTCCGATTCTTGCGTGGGGACACCGCAGGATTGTGGGATGTATACTCTGCCATGCGGGTGAGATACAACGATCCTGTCGGGTCCGAGGGGTTCCATGTGGGATGGGCTGCCTATCACACGCAGTCAGCAATCGCGCTGCATATATCTTACCTCCAAGTACGTACCTTGAAGTTGAGGAAGCTCTTCTCCATCTTTCCCTCGTTAGACATCAGTCTCTCGTCGTTGACTTGAGTGGGTGCTCCGAACTGCGGCTTAATTAGCAAAATGACATCCGTCGTGATAGAGATCTGGGCAAACCTTGACGTTCCCGTGCCTCTGGAAGTCGAAGACCGCGAAACTGCAGACGTAGCCGAGGCCGTCCACGTGTACTGTGAACTCACGGAAGAAGTCGATAATGGCAGGTGCGCAATCAGGCAGAGAAAACCACAGTATGAACGGCGTGACGATGACAGATATTAGTTCGTGAACATATGTCATGACTTTCATGCCGAATAACTCTCCGAATTCGGTATGAACCTGAGATATCGGTCAGAACCGCATATGTAATGCTCACGACATGCTAACCTTTTTCGAATGCAACTGATCTTTCCAATGGTCGGGCATGTAGTGCGTGTGGTGTATTACCTCCGTCATCAGCATCTCGGTATCAAATACTCGATGTTCCTCTGGGATCATGCCTCGAGCAGCTGCGAGTACTGAGCCGAATACACCGAGATAGAACAACACGGTGCGATGGGGAGTAACCTCGAAGTGGAGGAACAAATCTGGGTCCAGGACGGAGGCGAGAAGGAGCACAGCAGCGAAGGAACCGGCGATAAACGCAACGAATCTGTAGCGAACGATGGTTGAACATCATGAAACCCAGTCGGGGAGGGCGAACAAGAACATACCTCATGACTATCGTCATCTTCTCGTTTGGGAATTGCGCTATGTACACATTGGCGGTGGGGTAGGACTCGTCGAGGCGTGTTTTGAAGAAATGTGGGAGCTCATTGAACTCTCTAAATTTCCACTCAGCAAACGGTGTATAGCGACGACTCCCGATAGAAGATGGATTCTTGTGATATTCCTGGATAGCAGGTCAGTATGACGGCGGCCATTCATTCAACGCGCACGTACCTCGAAGTAGCGGAAGAATGAATACATCACAAGATACAGTACGATGAACGGCATGAAGATTGCGTTTAGGATGCCCATGAAAACTAGTCGCCGGCGTAATCTGTGAGGTAACGTGAGCATGGCATGAACCAGCGCGAGTAATGCTCATTTGAACGGACCCCTCAATCAGCACGGCGCGATTCTTTGACTTCGTGAACACCTTGCGCACTTTGCCGCTCGGATCAAAGAGATATTCCATCAAGCAGAACCTCAGATTCCACTCCAGAGCACGCGTAAGGATTCTGCCCTTCCCTTCTTCGGGCGTGATAAAACGCCTCAAGACCCGTGGAAGGGGAACACGAAGATCGAGAAGCTCCTTGTTGAAAAGCGCTATGAGGTAATTCTCTTGCCGCATGATGCGGTTCGCAATGTCGTGCGCATCCAACTTCGCGGTGGTCGCTGTCGTTTTAGACGAGAGCGCCGTGACGGGATTCTCTTCTCTTATAGCAGTGATACGACGGACGACCTCGGGCCATGAGATAGTTTGGATGTCCTCCTGTTCAACATATGGAGATCAAGATGTGCGAAAGGCAGAATTAGAGTGTACTTACGTCCGGTATTCGCAGAAGGTAGGTATAGAACCGGTACATATCCATCAGGTGAAATATGTTCAGAATAAACATAGCTATCCGCCACACATAGAAGGCAGTAAATAGCATAACGAAGAGAAACGTAAAGCCGGAAAATCTGTGCGGCAGACTGAGTATTCGCTTTCAAAAGCAATCGGACAGTGCGAACCTAGACACGCAACGGTCGACGACAACCTCCGAGAGTCGAGTAATACCCTCGTGTCTTATACGAGAGTAATCTACACACCCAAGAAGAAACGTCGAGAACCCAATCACAAACCCCACTGTACTAAGTCAAAGGGTCAGCACCAGAGAATTATGACGCGACGGAGTACGTACAGAAGGTTCAGCCCACGCGAGAGTGCGATGCACCATATTCCCTTCCCCTGATAGTAGTAGTACACCTCCTGCAAGAACGCGTCCAGGTTGTACACGTTCACCCAGTTCCACAGGGCGCGTTCGTAATTGTCCAGCCCTCGCATGGGTCGCGAATCATGAGAAGTTACCTGTGATGTATCCTCAACATCCACCTCTGACGGTCGGGGAGGTATCGACATGTGAACGGGTAGTGTGGCAGGGGCGGGAGGTGGCGCAGGTTTACGTTGCTGCTTCGGCTTCGTCTTGGGTTGTCTAGGTCTTGGAGAGGTCGCTTCAATCATGAAGCTCTGTGGAGGTTCATCGTCGGACGAGTCGAGTCGTGTCTGGTCATCCTGGCGAATGTTCGGTCTGATCACGCTCGACGAGGCGCCGGCGCCCCAGGTCACCCGCTGCTTCCCCCGAGTGCGCGGAGACTTGGAGAGCTTGATGCTCCGTCCGGGATCTCCTGCTTCCAGGTCGAGATCTTCGCTGCGCTCCTCATCTTCCTCTCGTAAAGATTGGTCGGCCTGGACGTAGCCCTGGTAGCGCCTACCCATGGGGTTGAGCATGTTGAGGAATGGGCGAGAGCTGCCGAGATTCGAGTCGAAGAGAAATGAGCTGGATGGACGGGTGTTCTGTCTTGATTCCGCCATGTAAGTCGACAGAGCCGAGCTAAGCAAGAGTACCGAGGCTACTGCTTGCAGGCGCCTGGGGAGCGCCGGTGGCGGTTACAGCGACGCGACGCGCACGCGTAATAGGGTTGCGTGCCTTTGCCCGGACCGACGACCGTCCAAGTATACGTGGGATCCCATGCTCCTTCGTTGCTGTTGCTCATGGAACGATTGGTAGCCTTGCCACGCCTCTACGTGTGGGTCTTCACGCTGGGCGCGGAGCAGAGGCAGGTCTAATGCCTGGGTTCACGCGACCACGAAACATACTTGACCATGTTTTCGTCTACAAACTATCCTTGTCCCCTTCATCTCCCTACAGGAGGGAGATGTTTCAATCCCATCAAGCCCAAGGGAAACGCAAACCGGCATCGCGAGGAATCAACACTCTGTCATGCTCGGTACCTTGGCCTCGTGTTCTGTTACCTCCTCTTCCCGGCTGTGATTGATGGGGGTGCAGCGTTCTGAAACCTATCTGTGACTTGCGAGACCCTGTGAGTGCACCACTCATATGAAGCGATACGAACTACCAAGATCTGGACCATCCACATATGATTTCTCGCACTTCATTGCCGAGGTCGCAGACCTTGCGCCTAAACTGACGACAACTGTCCGCGTTCGGACCATGCCCTGGTTGGGATGTGATATGAATTACTCCTCGGCACTGGATTGGTCGAACTCTTCCCATGGGATTTCGACCTGCACCCATTGCTCCCTAACCTCGTACCGTATACCTGGAGTCGGCTTTTCTGGATACTCACAGTTGGCTGAAGAATGGTTCAACGTCGTCGCACGGCAGCCAATCTCGATCTTGCTTTGGCAGCCAACGTGCACTCCGACCCTCTTCCGCGACTTGCCAACGCCCAGCACATTGTTAACTGTATACGCATGCTTCTCATTCTACCTCTTATTTGTAGCCAGGAGCATCAAGGCAAACCCAAGTCACGTCACCGTTTTCGTAACCTGCAGGCTCGCTGTACATCATATCAACACCAGCAAAACTTTACTCTGGCACCGCATAACAAAGGCTTGCCAGAGCATGATCCGTACTCCCGCTGCCCTCCCTGTGTACAGTCAAGATTCGCTCTCTCATTACAGGTATAAATCGCGATGACACTGGGGTAGTCAACGCTGACCAATCTTTTGATTTGCAGCATGTGTATCGGCGAGAATTCCGCTGACCACGCACTTCGGTATCTGCGCGCACAGCTGAGCGCTCTGTTTACCAATTCCTCCTAGTGCATATCCCGTCATTGCAAGGGACGCCTTCGAAGCGTGGGTCAAAGGCATCCTTCGCTTTGGCCGAGTTATAGGACGGGGCTTTGGATCGGGATCCGACTATCCATGGCCTACATATTCGATGCTCGTTTGAAGAGCCGCACTTGGATGTTCTGTGCAACACGAGGTTCTTCTATACCTAAATTTCAAGGTCGACCATTACAACCCCGACTATGAATTGACTCGCAAGAATGGGCTTTTCCTCCAAGTTGCTAAACAGAGAGTCTGTTCTGTCCTGACCGAGTAGTCAACTCTGATCCGTCACCCAGAGAGCAATCAACCTCTCACAGATATCAATGTTGCCTTTCGTGTACCTTTCACTAGTGCGCCAGACCTTCATCATCGTCATGTACCCGACTTATACTCCTTCGCAGTGCGTGTCCTCGAGAGTCCCTGTCACCAAAGCCGCCATACAGCGAATGGTCGGCAGGACATTCCTATAGTCATCGGAGGCGTGATTTGACTTGAAATCCTTTCAGGACCGCTTCTGCTGCGAATGGAGAGCGATCATCGACTGCCGATCCACCCCAAGTGGGCCTCATGTCCGATACTCGCCCCTGAAAGCCATGTATGTTGTTTCATGAAGTCCCGGGCTCTTCTGGAAGCTCACCTGTCGGGATCACTTCAATTCGCATACCTCGTCGACGTGATCAAGTTGGTTACTGAAGGCGCCTGGAAGTAGGGATCTAACCACTGATTGACTCTCTCACCGAGCGGCCGAATCTGGAAAGTCGAAGCTTAACACCTGCATTACTACATAGACGAGTGATTGAGAGCCTGAAATGCTTCAACTCTTTGCTTGACTCGCGAACTGAATATCGAGAATGCATATGGGACCCTGGGTGTATATAACTTGATAAGTAGTCTCCAGGTGACACTGCGGGAAACAGGCTGAATCTGGGCAAAATAATTCAGAAAAGCTATGAGCTAAGTTGACCCAAATGATGATGTCAAACTTAGACCGGGAAAATAGTTATATTTTTGACATATATCTGCATCCTTGAGATAAATCTGTCATAACTTCAAACTAGCTTAGCTGCAAATATGTCAGTAACAACGATAGTTATTATACAATAATTTTGTTATAGGGATTTCCCGCTGTGTGAGACAGACGCGTGATGGCCACGAGTGGTGACACTCAGGGTGACACAGTGACAACCGCGTCCGACGCGACTTCCTGTGTCTCGACCGTCTTGATTCTCCCGCCACCATGTCTTTGCCAGTTGTGAATATCGATGTCGACTACGACAGGGAAAAAGGTGCTCTACGAGCTACTTCGTACCTGCTAGGACTCTGACCTGGCAAGCCAGAGACAATCGAATCCTTCTTCAAGACATGCAAGGGCCAAAAGGACCTCACCCGAGGCATGGCAAGCATCAGTCTGGGAGACGCGTCAAACACACCCGTTACCGGCCTGAAATATATGGATCAGCTAGTATGCCCCTGCTGCGCTTCCAATAACGGTCTCTGACGGTGCTCTAGCAACGCGTAGCGAATCGCGACCAGCAAATGCTCGTTATTGAGCTTCGAGACATTCCAGATGTAAGCAGGTGCGATAACGGGCTTCAGTCATGCTGAATTCAGCTCTTAGCGAGAGCTTGTCTCGCGGATACGAAACAACACACGTCGATATGTGAACCTCTTCAGTCAGGTCGTCGATGAACTCATGCCTACGCCAACAAAAGACATCAGCGAGTCTGACGAAGTCATCGATGTGATCCTGCATCAACGGCGAGAACGCAACGAACAGTTAGATGCTGCTCAGGACAAATTTCCCGCCCATCTCCTGAGGCGATAGTGCGTGACTTTGTCGCTCTGATTTGACGTTCAACTGAACATTCCCTAGCAACCTGTATTTCCAGCCACTACCTTCCGACACACCAATGGCAGTCAGGGACGTCAAGGGCGTTCATCTCGGGCGCCTCATCACTGTCCGGGGCATAGTAACCCGTGTGTCGGAAGTCAAGCCGCTGCTACTTGTGAACGCATACACCTGTGACGTCTGTGGATCGGAGACGTTCCAAGATATCTCCAGCAAGTCCTTTCAGCCCATCGTTGACTGTCAAAACGAGAACGAATGCAAGAAGAACGGCATCCATGGTTCGCTCCACATGCAGACGCGCGCATGCCGATTCAGTCCCTTTCAGGAGGTCAAAATCCAGGAGATGGTCCGTCTCTCTCACGTCATGTTCTGGCTCTGCGTGGTTCATACTTTCTCAGGCTGATCAAGTACCTGTTGGGCACATTCCTCGTTCCATGACGGTCCACGTTCACGGAAATCTTACGCGCATGATGAACCCCGGAGACGTCGTTCACCTCGGCGGCATATTCCTTCCTGTCCCATACACCGGCTACCAGGCAGTTCGGGCCGGTCTTCTGACGGACACCTACCTCGAAGTGCATCACATTCTCCAACTCAAGAAACAGTACGACGAGATGGAAATCACTCCTCAAGTCCAGGCGGAGTTGGAAAAGCTGCGCCAGGATCCTGATATCTACAACAAGCTCGCGCAAAGTATCGCACCCGAAATCTACGGTCATGCGGACGTCAAGAAGGCGCTGCTTCTGCTTCTTGTGGGTGGTGTCACGAAATCCATGGGCGACGGCATGAAGATTAGGGGAGATATCAATGTCTGTTTGATGGGCGACCCTGGTGTTGCGAAGTCCCAACTTCTAAAGTACATCTCGAAAGTCGCCCCTCGTGGTGTCTATACTACCGGCAAAGGATCTTCCGGGGTCGGTCTGACCGCTGCGGTCATGCGTGATCCCGTCACAGACGAGATGGTGCTGGGTGCGTCCTCGTCCGAATGAGATCCGGCATCGTCGCTGATTATCCATCCAGAGGGTGGCGCACTTGTCCTTGCGGATAACGGGATTTGCTGCATCGACGAGTTTGATAAGATGGAAGAGTCTGACCGAACCGCGATACACGAGGTAATGGAACAACAGACCATTTCGATATCGAAGGCCGGCATTTCAACGACATTGAACGCGCGTACTTCCATTCTGGCGGCAGCAAACCCTTTGTACGGACGCTATAACACCAAAGTCTCTCCAGTGGAGAACATCAATCTTCCTGCCGCTCTTCTGTCGCGTTTCGATCTGCTTTTCCTCATTTTGGATAAGCCATCAAGAGATGACGATGAACGCCTTGCGTTCCACGTTACATACGTTCATATGCACTCGTCACACCCGAAGCTCGAGTATGACCCCATCAACCCGGTACTAATGAGGTAAGGTCTTCTTCCAATGTCCACCCGGCCATCGCGTTCGCTGACAGGATCAACGTTAGGCATTACATCGCGCTAGCAAGGCAAAGGCGTCCCACCGTGCCCAACCAGGTTTCGAACTATGTTGTCGATTCCTACGTCCGTTTACGCAAGAGCTCGAAGGACGAGGAACAGCAGAAGAAGTTGCATACCTATACCTCCGCTCGTACCCTCCTGGGCATTCTCCGTCTTGCGCAAGCTCTCGCGCGATTGCGCTTCTCTGATACCGTTCATCATGAGGATGTCGATGAGGCGCTACGTCTGATGGAGGCTAGCAAGGAGAGCCTGGAGGATGACACCGAACAAGAGCGTGGTCCCGACCAATCAGTAGTCAGCAAGATTTACAGGCTGATCAAGGATATGGCTGCAGCGCAGCGTGCGTCAAAGGCACCTCGGGCGAAGAGGCGCAAGACGAAACGATTCGGAAGGGGCCCTGGAAGAGAAAGAGACTCGGATGGAGACGAGGACGAGGAGAACGTCGACGAGCTGTCGATTACCGACATTCGACAACGGATCGTGGTTGCAAAAGGGTTCAGGGAAGATGATCTAGCCCGCACTATCGATCAGGTTAGTTTCCTTTTGATCACGCGTGATAGATGATGGCTAATGTTACTCGATTACAGTACGAAGATATGGATGTATGGATTCGCGTAGCCAACGACACCAAGTTACGTTTCGTAAACGCCTCCTGAAGAACAACGTCCGTGGGTCTGCAATCCTGTATTACTATATTATACATTTTGGTCGTCGCACTGCTATCCGTGTATTTACGTTTGTAATCGTCATCTTGGTTCATGCCTGCGCAAGGAGTTGCTGATGCGCCCTTTGCAACTCCGTAGTTATTGCATGCGATGCTGTACTTCGGGGCAGGTCTTCATCGTCGGATTCTCCGATGATATGATACCGTTCCTGGTGCCCAATCGCGCCCGATACGCTGTCATCCGCCATCGTGGACATCCCAACTGCGTCATCAGTGTCTAAAGACAAGTAGATATTTGATCGTTGTCGGCGTCTGCAGAATGCGCACAGCAAAGCACCGAGCAGTATTGCAATCAGCACCAGTCCAACCACCCATCTCGAACCTGGAATGTGGTCCACCGACATATTCGTCATCGTTTCAGTGCTTGGACTGGCTTGATTCTGGAGAGCTGGGGACTCCGTCTCCGCTGCTGCGTCATTGTGGTCATTCGGGAGGACAGCCGTCGGATTCGAATGCTGTGTTGTGGATATTGACATGACGATGGAGGGTCGAACAGGGGGAGAACTCTCAGCCAGGATCGTCGCTGAGGGATTGACCTCGTAGGGTTTTGCGAAGCCAGGATCGATTGTAGACCCCCAAAGCACCAGATTCCATCCCAGAAAGTATCCGTTGAGGTCCTCGTCGGCTTGATCAGAAACTCTAATCGTCCAGTCTCCCAGCGGATCTTCACCCCTGCCGAAGAAGCGTCAAGCACGGAAACATTAGGATGTGTTGAACATACCAGTGCTTAACGGACATGAAACGCCATCCCGGAAACCCCGAGTCTGAGATGTCGCGAGGCCGCGTTGCAGCGAGTACACTCTTGACGCCATTCGGACTAATCAACTCGACTTCGACATCGCCTCTGCGATCATGGGCGACCCACACGCGAACCGTCACATGCTCGAGTGCCTCTAGGTTGTTCGACTTCATCATGTCGGCCGTGATGGTGGTAGAACTGGTAATTCCACCAAGAGGTATAGAAGCGCCTCCCGACATGCGCTTCCCCTCGTCCATCGTCCCGTTGTTCATGCGGAGGGGCGGAACCTCCAGCCATGCTTGCGGTTTCACTGGGGTCCAGTTCATCGCGGCAGTCACGTATCTGTAGGCATCCATTTTCCCAAAACCGTATTTGTAGCTGTACAGGCGGCCTGTCGATGTCACCTCCCAGTCTGGATCATCTGGACTGACGATAGCGGCTGTTGCGACGGCAAGATGCTGCAGATCCCGCCAGGTCAATTCTGGCCTGGGTCGAGTGTATGAGGAAAAATGGCTGAGAACCCGTGAATGCTTCACTTACCGGGTAGAGAGTGCCAACGCAATCACGCCAGCTACATTCGGAGCAGCCGCAGAGGTGCCACCGTGTGAATGCGAGCACTTGTCTTTACCGACATCGGTAGTGGTCTGCAAGGGAGAATATGAGCGTTACGACGGTACGTCCAAGTGTCAACCAATCTCACGATGGCAGCACCGGAACCGGATGTATAAGCAACGACCAAGTTGGCTGCACAGGATTCAGAGTAGTACGGATGCCCGCCATCACGATCTATTCCAGCAACGGTGATGGTGAATATACTGTTCGTGTATCCGTCAAAGTTGCATTGATCACCAGAAGCGCTGAACAACGTTATTCAGCTCTTGCCATGCCTTTGGTGATAGCTGATACTCACGCGCCATTGCCGCTCGCATATACGTACACAGAGCCTCGACCGCCGCGTCCATGAGTAATACCATTCACCACGGCTTTCTCCACGAGGTAGGGCGGCGCATCCATGTGTACGCCGTCGTCCGGAGGACCCCAGCTACAACTGTATATAGAGGTGTTTTGATAACCATAATTCAGTGCAGCCGCTTCGTCGGCGTCGGTGATAGGTCCCGAGAGAATGCGAAGACCGGCGACCTTCGAGTTGTATGCGATTCCAACCCCACAAACGTCGTTCTTCCCGGCAGCGATCTGTCCCGCACATCTAGCGACTAATAATTGGGAATGATCCATAATTTTGCAGTGCGATACTACTGACCTTGTTCCATGTGTATCGTCCCACTTCTTCGGTTTAGGAAGATCCTCTTGATCGTTGAAATCATACGATCCGAGCGCATCCTGTGGTGACGAAGCTTGCATCAGATAATTATATAGGATCAAATGTGTGCGAACAAAGTTGGCTGCCAGATCGTTGCTCTCGAAGTCCAGTCCATCGTCAATGAGAGCAGTGGTGACGCCCTGCCCGGTGACGCCTATATCCCAGATACCGGTCGCATTCATGGAATGCTCCGGAGCCTCTTCATTCACCAGATGCCACTGGTCAGAGAAGTTGGGATCTTCGATGCCAAAGTGAAGGGCGATAGACCCGATAGATTCCGGGTTGAACGAGTCCATCAGAGGCGGCAGGGCTCTCTTCGTCCGCCAATGGGGGGTTTGAAGCGAGACCGACAGAATACTCGCTGCCATAACTCCGTCACGCCTGGGATAGCCAGCGGCACGACTTTGCAGTCTTCGCCAGAGACTCTCTGGTGTCTCGGATGTGGAGGGCTCCGTCTTCGGGCGGCGGGTCAACCAATGGTTCGCCAGTGCGCCAACAGGCTCCACCAACTGCAGTCCCAAAGCCAGCAAAGAGACTTCCAGGTCTACACCTTGCCTCGGATCATGTTCGACAACATAGTAGTCGTGGGTTCCGTACGCGCGCCTTACTAGCGACGCCGAAGAGATCCAGGCCATAGAGATCAAGACGGCGAGAGCAGTGCATACGTGCATGCCAGCACCAGGAGATTGTGTATATCCGTGACGGTTCGGGTGAGACCCTCAGGCGGTACGGCACCAGCAATCGATGGTTTAAACGGCATGGCGAAGGTAGCCCTCCCATACTCTGCCTCGTCGCTCCGGAACTGTGCATTGCGCTGTGCGTTGGTTTGTGATCGTTCCCATGGCATGCCTGAATGCAAGACCGGATTCAGAACGAGAGATTCAGAACGAGAGAGTGGCTTGAGCTCGCGTGCGACAGCGGAGTCGGTACGGATGGGAACCTGACCGCCGCAGGGAGAGCCGGCCGTGCACATACGGCGCGTGGCGTAACGTGGCACACCGATACAGAAATGCCAGTGACAAGTGCAGCATTGAGTATCATCTCAGTATGGTTTCAAGGCCAGCGGTTTGGTAGGTAGAGCGCCGGCAGCAGCGCCATTGCGCCCCATGTCATATATCACTACGCTAGAACACACGCCAAGGGGAGCTATACTCAACGTCAACATCTCATGCTCGTCGTTTCCGCGAGAACTTGTCTGCTGCGCAGAAGACCGCTTTCAGACCGCTGGACGCGATGTCCGTATCGGTCGCCACGCCCCACGCGCTCCGCCTTGGCTGTCCTTCCGCCTCGTATACCAGCTCGACGTACGACGCCGCCTTGACCTCCGTACCCTCTCCCACGGAGTGCTCCGAGTATTCCCGGATGCTCAGCGTGCCCTCCCATTTCTTGTTGAGGGCGTCTAGCAGCGCCGATAGAGGACCGTTTCCCTGACCGGTGAGGCTCAGCGGCTCGCCGTCGACAAGGGCGTCCACGATGATCCGTCGGCCTTCTGCGTCCTCAAGAGGCTCCATCTTGTACGCCGTCATCGACAGCTTCGAGTCTGCGCTTTCGTAACCGTACGTGCTTTTGAAGAGATCCAGGAGAGCCTGGTACGATATTTCTCCTCCTTGTTCTTGTGCAGTGCGCTGCACGACCTCAAAGAACGCAGACTGCAAGCGACGAGGCAGCTCGAGTCCGAAGGAGTTGAGAATTTTGGACGCGATGTCCGCCTGCCCGGAACGAGCATAGAACCCGATGGAAAGCTTGAGCTCGGGCAGGGTCCGATCGCCTATGGCAGCGTTCACAGCGCTGAGGACAGCACGCAAACCGGAGGCGGCAATATCGGTATCTACCCCAACGCCCCACCAGGACTGCGCCGATTTCTTCGTATCCTTGATGTTCTCCTGCGTGGGGACGAGCTCTACGTACGAAGCGGCTCTCGCGGCATCGCCCTCGCCAATCGTGTGCTCCGTATACTCCCTAATGGTCAGATCAATGTCCAGATGCGTGCGGAGAGCGTTCATCAAAGCAGATAGGGGACCATTTCCGTCTCCACGAATGACTCGGAGGACGCCGTCCACGGACAACGTGCCATCGAACCGACGACGTTCGTCGGGCGCCTCCGTGATTGCAACGTCGAGCTGGTCCAGATGATCGATAGCCTCTGCCGAGATTTTGAAGGATCGCAGGACCAAGCGACCCTGATAACTCGGCCCGCCGAAGAAATACGTCTTCCGGAAGGCGGTGGTAATATCGTCGACGGTCATCTCGCGCGCCTCGCGATCCGAAATGTCCTGAACAACCTGGTAGAATGCGACCTGCATCTTCCGGGGCAGGTCCAGCTGCAGGTGCTGCTTGACGAGATAGGAGATGCCGCCCTTGCCCGACTGGGAGTTGACACGGATAACGGCCTCGTACGTTTCGCCCAAATCGGCCGGGTCGATGGGAAGGTACGGTATATCCCACCAGAGGTTCTCGCCCTTTTTCGCGGCCTCTTGATGTCGGATTTTCTGCGCCTCGAAGCCCTTCTTGATCGCGTCCTGATGTGAGCCAGAGAACGCGGTGTGAACGAGCTCTCCCGCGTACGGGTGCCGAGGGTGTATGGGAAGGTCGTTGCAATGAGTGACGACGTCTATGACGCCCTGCAGGTCGCTGAAATCAAGCTTCGGATTGATTCCTTGGGTGTAGAGGTTGAGAGCTAGGTTAACGATGTCGACATTTCCGGTTCGTTCTCCGTTCCCGAACAATGTGCCTTCGACTCGGTCCGCACCGGCCATTTGACCAAGCTCCGCAGCGGCGATACCGGTCCCTGCACCAGTGTGAGGCATGATCTTGTGACGAGGCAGAGAGCCATTCACCTCGGTCATTATGGGGATGTAAACTAACAACCACCTTTTCTCTCTCGGATATTTTGGTGCAGAAGTTTTCGATCTGAGAGCGAGTCAGACATGAGTTTGCGTGTTAAAGTATACACAGCTTACCAAGTCGGCATAGTGATTTGGAGGTCCGACCTCCACGGTCGCAGGCAAATTGAAGATGATCCGCTCGTCCCCGGGCCCTGCCTTACCCCATGCGGCCTTGACCGCCTCGCAGACTTCAAGGGCAAATTCAGGCTCGGTCTGCGAGAACGTCTCCGGACTGTACTCGTACTTGAATATCGTCCCGTACTTGGCAGTGCATTCGTCCGTGAGTTTGCGGACGATCTTGGTGTGTTGTATCGCAAGTTCGAGGGTCTTCTCTTTTGAGTTTCGAAAAACGACTTCGCGGAAACAGGGGCAGGTTGCGTTATACATGTGGAGGATGGCATATTTCGCTCCTGCGACGGCATCGACAGTACGCTTGATCAAGTCTTCTCGCGCAGGGGTGAGAACCTGACGGTCTTGTGTTATTATGTTATGGTGTGTCCGTGGTCGACATAGAGACTCACTTGAATCCATACGTCGTCCGGAATCTTCTTTTGTTCGACCAAACCGCGAACGAAATTGAAGTCGGTATCGCTGGCGGCGGGATACGCCACTTCGATCTCCTTCAATCCGCACTGCACGAGCTTGTCGAAGAACATGCTCTTCTGCTCGATGGTCATAGGATTTGCGAGCGATTGGTTGCCGTCACGAAGGTCGGTGGACAGCCAAATGGGAGGCTTGTTGAGGATACGACTCGGCCACTGGCGATTCTCGAGCTTGAGCGGCGTGTACGGCCGGTACTTTATTGATGGATCCGGTCTGGATGGGCGTCAGTACAGGTGAGTCGCTGAGGATGTAGTTCGCATACAGCATCGGCATTTTGTGGAGGCGGGGGTCAGAACGCTGTAGCAGCGCGGTGGCCAGGCTTTATGCACGGTCACGAGTATGTCGTAAACGAACGCGCTGATGTGCTGTTGGCAAAGGACGACCGTTGACTCGAGGACCGACTAGATCCGAAGGAACGAGAGGGGAGCGGGGAAGGACTTCAAAATTTGAGGTCATGGTCGGAGGTGAAGGTCACGAGCCGATCTAATCAGGACGAGAGCTTGACTCGAGACCACCATGGCGTCCTTGACCGTATCGTCCGCGACCAGTCCGTTCCCGTACGCCGCGGTCGCGACAGCAGCCTACACTGGCAAGGCAGAGGTCCTCTTCGACTCGTCGGCCACCACGCCCGTCCTCGATCTCAATGGTGCCAAGTACACCGATGAAGTAGAGATCGTGCATGCTTTGGCCAAAGAGAGTGGAATCGCCGCAGACAGTAGCAAGGTTGTTTCTTTCTTGTATCCATGTGTAATCCGATCTCAACCCCGCCTTAGGCCACCTCGTTCGTGGAGATCGCCAAAGCGTTCGCCACCACCACAAGTGTACCCGATATCCTCGCAGCATTGAACACCGTCGACGATCACCTTGCCTTCCGTACGTTCCTCGTAGGTCATGATATAACGGCTGTAGATTGGATTCTGTGGGGATCCATCAAGGGTTAGTGCATCCTTTTTCTGTGGTGTTCATCTAATGAACCCGTCACAGGCTCCGTCAAAATCATCGGCTTACTGAAGAACAACAAGCATGTGCATCTCAGCCGATGGTTCAACTACTTGGAAAGCCTCGAGTCGACGCAGCTCACGCTAGCCAAGCTTGCGGAGGCCAAAGCCAACAAGCTCCGATCCAATAAAACCGCTGCCTCGTTCGCTCTGGGACTGGCCAATGCGAAGGACGGCGAAGTTGTCACCCGATTCCCTCCTGAGCCCAGCGGGTATCTCCACATCGGCCACGCGAAGGCAGCCATCCTCAATCAATACTTCGCCAAAATGTATCACGGCAAGTTGCTCATCCGGTTCGACGATACGAACCCGACGAAAGAGCGCGTACGTGAATGCTATTGCATATAGGTCAATCCATGTCTGACGCGATTCTTTCAGACTGAATTTGAGGAGACTATCCTCGAGGATCTCGCTCTGATGGACATCAAGGGCGATACAGTCACCCACACCTCCGACTGGTTCGATAAACTTTACGACTACGCCATCCAGATGATCAAGACCGGCAAAGCTTACGCCGACGATACGGAACAAGCGCAAATGCGGCAGGAGCGCATGGACGGCATTGCTTCCAAGCGCCGTGAGTCAACTGTCGAGGAGAGCTTGGCACGCTTCGAGGAGATGAAAGCCGGCACTCCGGAAGGCTTACGCTGGTGCATCCGCGCGAAGATGAGCGTCGACAACCCGAACAAGGCTCTCCGCGATCCCGTAATCTACCGCTGCAACGTGCTGCCCCACCATCGCACCGGCGACAGATGGAAGATTTACCCCACCTACGACTTCGCGTGCCCCGTGGTCGACTCGCTCGAGGGCGTCACCCACGCATTGCGTACGAACGAGTACCGCGACCGCAACCCGCAATATCAGTGGATGATAGAGGCCCTCAACCTGCGCCCTGTGCATATCTGGGACTTCAGCCGTCTCAACTTCATCTACACCCTGCTTTCCAAGCGCAAGCTGCATTGGTTCGTGGATCAAGGCCTCGTGCGCGGCTGGGATGATCCAAGGTTCCCGACAGTCCGTGGTATCCGTCGCCGGGGCCTGACTGTCGAGGCTCTCCGTCAGTTCATGTTACTTCAGGGCCCCTCACAAGCGGTCGTCTCGCTCGAGTGGGATTCGATCTGGGCTCTCAACAAGAAGATTATCGACCCGGTTGCCCCTCGGTTCTGGGCACTTTCTAAGGACAAGGTGGTCCCGGTGACGATCACTGGTGGCCCCTCGTCCCCGGAAGTGAAGGTTCTTCCGAAACATAAGAAAAACCCGGATGTCGGCGAGAAGAAGACGGTCTACTCCTCTACGATCCTTGTTGAACAGGAGGATGCACTCACCTTCGAAGACAACGAAGAGGTTAATATTCTGATCTTTCGCTCGTTGAGCAGGTCACTGATCCGGTTCCTTGTAGATCACCCTCATGGACTGGGGGAATGCCATCGTTCGCTCCAAGTCTACCGGCCCGTCCGGCGAAATAGCCGCTATAATCATGGAGCTCCATCTTGGCGGCGATTTCCGCAAGACCAAGAAGAAGGTGACATGGCTTCCTCAGCCTCAAGGCGAACACACCCTAGTAGATGTCACCCTCCTCGATTACGACTACATCATCACCAAGAAGAAGCTCGAGGAAACCGACGACGTCAAGGACTTCGTGACCCCAGTCACCGAGTTCCGGGAGGAGGCTGTTGCAGATGCCAACGTACGCGAGCTCCAGAAGGGCGACATCATCCAGTTCGAGCGCAAGGGTTACTATATAGTCGACAGCGCAGAAGGCGGCAAATTCGAATTCATCCACATTCCAGACGGACGGGCTGCCAGTTTGGCCAGTAAGGCGGGTGCAGCGACTCCCGCCGAACCGGTCAAGAATTCAAAGTCTGCGGACTCGACACCCGCCAAGGTATTGGATACTCCGGTCGACACCAAAATGTACCAGGTTGAGAAGGTTTACGGGGATGACAGTGCTATACCACCAGCAGATACCAAGATGTACAAGGTCAAGAACGTATACGATAGTTGAATGTTTCGGTAGATATAAGCAATTGAAAATTTAAGGGGGCTGCATCACTGTCCCATGATGCACTGTTATTTTATTTTGTTCATGATTGGCTACAATACAATGCTAAAGTATGCGTGTTCGATGATTTGGATGGATTGATGAAGTACAAGCGTGTCAAATGGTCAGGGGTTACTATATAGGTCGAGTCCAGAAGGGAACGGTGATCCATAGAATGAGGGCATAGAGGAATGGATAATGTACACACCGAGGCCCATGGCAGTCCGGACCGAGTCGGGGTCCAGAATCAACGATATTGTTGAACCAACTCTTCGAGCTCTTGAACGACTTCCGACATGGTCGGTCGATCCTTGTGGTCTTGCGCCCACATACGTTCGATGAGTGCAACAATCTCCGGGCACCAGCGTTTTGCAAGTCCACTGACGGAAGGGCGCTGTCCTTTAGCGCCAACCAAGTCATAAATAGCGTGCTCGTTCATGCCCTGACGTTGGTTTAGTTCGCCGTCCGAATAAAATGCGGAAGGATAATCTGACCTCCCACGGAAACTTCTTGTTCGGCAGATGCCACTGTAGGATCTCCCAAAAGACCATGCCACAGGAGAATACGTCGACCTTAAGATTGTACTTGGGATGAGGGCTCCATAATTCGGGGGCCTGCCAATTGACCGTGCCAACAAGGCTTCGCATCATCGACCGCGTGCTTTGCTTAACTTTCGCCAGCCCGAAGTCGGCAATCTTCGCCTTGCCTTGACTGGTGATGAGGATATTCGAACTCTTGCAGTCGCGGTGAATGACGGATGGTTTGCGCAAGTGCAGATACTCGATACCCCGGGCGATATCAAGCATCATGCCCAGGACCTTATACAGAGACGGTGGTTGGACGTTTCGAATGTAGTCGAACAGATCGCCGTTCGAGCACAGTTCAGTGACGATCATGACAGGCGTGTCCCGCGTGTTCTCTGGAATGCTTACTCCGAACTAATATTATATTTGCTTTAGTCCGGGAATAGACAACAGGAAGCAGCAGTCACGTACGAATCGAACTATGTTCGGATGATCGAACAGCCCGAGGAGTTTGAGCTCTTTGATATCCACTGTGGCGGAGTCCATGTTAACGCGAGACCCATCCTCGACGTCAAACTCAGACTTACTTGCAGTCAGTTGGCCACGGAACTCGGCAATGGCGACCCTTCTTCCCTTATATTTCCCTGTAAATACGTCTTTGAAACCACCGCTCCCGATCTTGTCAAGCTTCGTCAGCTTATCTGCCGGGATTTCCCGTTCTTCCAACCCCAAACTCTCCAGGTCCAACTCAAGTTCCGGCTCCGTCTCTTTGCAATTAACTTGCTGGGACAAGGGGGGTGTCCGAGGTTCATCCGTGTGAAAGTGTGAGCGGCGAAGAAGGATGGGCGTCTGAGGAGGACTGCCGCTCCGTGTCTTCATTCTCCTACCAGGACGAACAGTTGAAGGAGGACGTGCAGTACCCGCTGATGACGGTGAAAGTGTTTGATGATCACGCCAATGTAACAAGGACTCTGCTAATTGCGGCTTCGTCCCTTGAACGTCGAGATCACGGCTCTCGCACATTCTGACTAGATCATCTCGTCGTAGGCGAACGAGGGTCTTCGCTGTGGCGGCGGTGAGGTCGATCTCTGCCAACATAGAATGCCGCAAGTCAGTAGCATAAACAAGGTACTTCGCCAACCACAAACCTTCTTCCATGGGTTCATCCTCCTCTTCACCTTCAGCATCGGCATCCTCGACCTCTTCCTCGACCTCTTGATCATCCGAGTTGTCTCCTTCGTCATCCTCAGCGTGCGCATCATCCATATCCTCGTCGCCGACGATTTTGCCGCTTCTTAGCCTCTTGGGCGTGACCTCCACGGCCGTCTCGTCGCCTTCATCAACTTCGCCTTCATCACCTTCTTCCTGTTCCTCCTCCTCTTCACCATCCTCAGCATCGCCCTCCTCGCCCTCCTCGTCTATAATCGCCTGATCTCCTTCACTAGGTGGGGTTGCAGTCTGGGTGAGCGTTCGCCTAGGCCGGAGGCGGCGCCGTAGAGGCGTCCTTCGACCTAAGGGTGGTGGTGTGGGCGACGGGGATGAAACAAGCTCGTCAACCTCTTCCTCCTCCCCGTTGCCTTCATCCAACAATTTGTCCTCCTCTTCGGTATCCGATTCCTTGAGCGACCCCACCCTGCCCTTCGCCTTACGCATGGGAGTTTTCCTCCTTCCAAGCTCATCCACGGTTTCGTCGTCTTTGACTGCTCGTCCTTTTCCTTTGACAGCTCTCCCCCGGCTCGGGCGAGGCGTCGCCATTTGCTGGCTGTCTTCGAGCTCCGTGAGGTCAGTGAGTTCACTCTCTTCATCGGCCTCTTGACTCGATTCCCTCGACGAGTATACTCGGACATCTTCGTTGAAGTCAACTTGACGCGCTTTTCCTCGGCGAGAGGCTGAGCTTTTGAGTGAAGAGGTGGTGCTGCTGCCTGAGACCTGGCGAGTACGAAGCCGTGTGAGAGGGGGTGATGGGAGCGACGCCGAAGCCGTGGACGTCGTAGGGGAACGAGAGGAATTGGCATGAGCATTACGCCGTCTACACGGTAGTGAGCGGTCTGAATGTCGGATGTCAATATATAACGTACCTCGTCAAGAACGAAGGATTTTGAGCCACAGGACTTCTTGATCCCCCAGCAATCTTCGGAGCCTTTTTCGCCTCGGCGACACCTAACTGTCCCATAGAGAGACTACGCGCGTTGGGCATTTGCTTGGACACCACGCCAAGTTCGTGCACTGTCACTCGACGACGAAGCGCGCTGGCACGGGCGGGATACCGGTTACGTAACTCGTTCTCTTCATCGCCGGCAACGTTCCCATCCTCCGAGGAATAATCGCTCGAGTTGCCATCACCACGGCCAGGAGGTGACGATGGCGGCAGCTCTGCGGTATCGTCACGAGCTTCGATGATAGCGTGCACTATCTCCTGTTTTGTGAGACTCTCGGCGTCCTCGGACAATCCGGCTTCAGCGTATAGACGGACGAGCTCTTCTTTTCGAAGCCGCAGGAGTTCGCGTTCGGAGGCCTCGTGAATGAGGTAGTTATCACCTTCTAGAGTCGACATGAGTGGTTGACGCCAACAGCTCAGCCTCTCTCACAGCCGCTCACCAGGCTTCCATTCGTCATCTTCCTCCCCCTCAGGATCAGACCCGCTCCATTGCCCTGCAAAATCAACGTCCATAGAGCTAGCAGCCTCTTCGTCCGTCGTCACGTCCGAGCGCGTCGAACGCTGGCGCTTCATCTTGCCTGCACCACGCGTTGGGCGCCCATGGGCATGTCCATTCTCATTGCCGCTCGGGACGCGCTTTCGCTTCGCGCCAACCTGGGCAGCAAATGTTTCTGCACGATACATGCCGTCTCGAGCTAACAACCGAAGGCGTGACGGAAGCCTGCGCAAATTGAGGTGCAGCGGTACCAAGACGGCACGATCTGTTGAGGAAGACGCGACCGAGGCGTGGGAAGACGCTGACTTGGGAGCGCTGGCACTTGTTGGATGTCGCAACGAGTACTTCCGGCGCCCTACGGGCGAGTTCGAGCACAACGACGCTTGTCTATGCCGGTAAGGTGACCGCCGCTGCTGTGCCATGCCCAGTTCCTGAGCCCGTTGGGTTGATCAAACTAACCCTCGAGGATTAGTGGTAGAGTACGCCAGAGTCCAGCTTGATCAACTGGATTGAGAGAAGTAGTGTCTTTGGGCCGAGATTAATTGCACTGCTACACAGGAGTGAAGTTGCCGCCTCCTTAGTCGCCGTGGTCGCCGCCGTGGTCGTCGTCGTTGAGAGGAACTCGGTTGGCTCACGTGGCTGTGTGCAACTTAGACTCGAACGGGATCTGGTATTGTTGCAGGCTCTGATCTAGTCGACTGTTGACATGACCTTTGAATGCCTTTACGTCATGAGCTGAGGTGATTGACGTTGGTCATAGACCCCAGAATGTTCCGGGCATATTAATCACGTGAGCTTAGTCATGGCTGTACGTGCCCGTTGCGTTGCATTGATGTCGGGCTCCCCGGCTCCTAAACCACCGCGTTGTATGTAGCTCCTGGCGCGAACGCGAGGCTTAATATAGAGTGATGCTTCTTGATTACGAGAATTTGATATCAGCTTCCTTTTTGGTCAGTGAAAGTCAGGAGCACAACGCGATAGAGCGGCTGGCCAAACTTGTGATTTGAAATCGCGGCAGCGCTCGGCGCACCTCATTACTTACCTCAATAACACTGAGCATAGTAAGGGTAGCTGCCATGCAAATCCTGACCGATATCACGTGGCTGCCAAAAATGGCTTCAAATTTCATCTGCTCTTGCAGTTTTACTCTTTCGTCGGAGTCGTAACCTATGATCCCTACTAATGAACTGTATCTAGACAATATAGGTCGTGCATTGGTGATCGTGCTTGATCTGCAGGAGGAGAAGGGCCTTCAAGCAGTCGATCATATCATGTGACATCGGTCAAGATTTGCATGACAGCTACCTTAGGTTCGGATCAGGCCCTCTTCTGACCGTGGGACGTGCTTTGTATTGGTGGGAATATTGCCACGCGCGTCGCGTCCCTTCGTCTAGTGTTGCCGCAAGTCAAGCTGAGTCGAGCCGAGTCGACAAAATTGCAATAACTTGCTTATCAAGTTACGACAAGCCAATTTGTGAGTTCGGCTTGCGAGTTGGCGGACAGTTTCCCACCCTGCGACCGGACCTAGCGGCGACATTGAGCTGTGGCAGGTCAATGTTTGGCACCCTGACAATCAAGCCGTTCAGCCAAGGCCACGTTTTCATCGTGTGAACCGATTCTCTGCATGGACCAATCGGTAGTGTCGCTGAACGTGGGATAACAGCAGTGCCAACTCGCAAGCTCACGCAAGTCGAACTCGAGGCCCACAAGCCAAGTTGAGTTGTCGTTTTTGCAAGTTGAGTTGAGTTGGAATTGACTTCAACTCAACTTGGCGGCAACACTACCTTCGTCAGAGGTGCGCGGAGCAAGGGCTTGCTCCGAACCAGGGCTTACGAGTGTCATGAGAATTTTGCTGGGAGGCAAAGTGCACAGCTTGAGCTACGATCGTCGACGGGCTTCCCAGCTGCTCCTGACTTTAACTGACCAAAACGGAAGAAGCAACTTTATTCAGCACCATCCCCTAACTGGTGGGACTTAGTAGGATTAAGCCTCCAGGAGCTACAACGCGATACAAGCGGTGGTTTAGGAACCTGGAGCTCGACGCGCATGGAGCGACAATAATATCTGTCATCGACACAGTCGCGCAGCATCAGGGGGCCTGCGGCCCTGCTGGGCAACATCAACAGCGTCCCTCAAAACCTCGTTAGCGCTCTGCATAATTTCTGCCTCACTGAAGCTTGTCTCGTCCCGAACATTCCTTGACTCTTCTCGCGATGCTAGTCTTCCTCAGGCTGTTGTTCTGCTTGATGGGCTCGGCCCATGTCCTAGCAGCTCCAGGGCTCTGGCCTGCTGCTCAGACACCCCTGGGTAATAGCGGGCCCGGTTCACGCGCCGTATTTCCATTACCGAACAATTCAGCACTCGTGCAGCCCGTCTTGAAAGACCTGTCGATTGCGAACATGCGGGAGACCCTCACCAAATATACAGCTTTCCCGAACAGACGTTCGTATTGTTGGCCTATGTTATTTTTCGAGTCTCACAGACGCATCTTTCATATCCATAGACCATGAGACACCAGTGAGCAGTGCATGCAAGCTCGTCATACGGACTCGTACTGATAACGTTTATCAGTGGGGATTGATAGCGCAAAAATGGCTATACTCCAAGGTTATCGAGGTAAGTGGTTTGCATCCACTTCGTGGACGTGCCCTAAGGAACCACAGACGGCTGTCGTAGCATCGCACAAGTACGGACTTCCTGACGTGGAAGAGATGCACCACGCAAAGTGGGCCCAAAACTCAATAGTGCGTTCAAAAGCCTCTCACCGCCGACTTCGTGCATACCACCCACGGCGAACTTCAGGTTGCGAGGATCCGTGGATCAGATCCCGAAGCGGGCGTTGTCATTCTCGGCGCTCATTTGGACAGGTATGTCCTGCGGGCAGCCGGAGTCTCAAATGGCGTGCTTACACTCGAACTTTAGCAAGAACTACCAAAATCCCCAAGGCATCGCCCCAGGTGCCGACGACGACGGTTCAGGTACGGTGGCCATTTTGGAGGTCTATCGGTCTCTCTTGGCCGCCAACTTCACGCCGACTCGGACTGTTGAGTTTCATTGGTACGCTGCCGAAGAAGGAGGCGCTCTGGGATCAGAGGAGGTAGCGCGTCTTTACAAAGGACGCGATGTCAACGTTGTTGGTCAGCTACAGGTGCGATACATAGCGAGCTTTGAGCGCACGCTTGCCGACTGCTGATCACAGTATAGATGGATGGTCTTGCGTGGGTCATGAAAGGCACGCGGGAAGAAATGGCTATCGCTATCCCACATTCTGACAGCGGGTAGGTGCGCGATCGCGTAAGAAAGGCGAGACGACTGACTTGCAGTCGGGATCGTTAGACTTATCAGTTTCGTCCAAGCGCTCATTGAAACTTACTGCAAGCTCCCGTGGGTAACGTTCACACCCCCGAATAGCGCAGGCAGCGATCAGTGAGTGTCCATCAACTCTCCCGGCTCACAACGGCATGATTCGATCCTCGCGCTTTGCAGCATGATGTGGACTCGGCAAGGTTACCCAGCAGCGTGGGTTGCAGGTACGTGTACTCAGCCCTGCATAGCCTAGCCGGGTTTCTGAACGATGCCGATTGCACGCGCAGAGGGCACATTCGAACATATGGGGACATACATCCACACTGAGAATGAGTGAGCCACGATGAAAATGTACCTTGATGAGAGGTTCTGACGTCTCTGCCCTCAGTCGTATCGACATCTCGGACGAATTCAGCTTCGAGCATATGCTCGAGTTCGCCAAGCTGGGGGTCGCGTACGCAATTGAACTGGGAAGATGGGAGCAGTGAGGCGGTTAAGGGCTGTTCTGTCCTATGCATGTGCATACTGCTGTCTTCTATCCATCGATCTTTTGGACTGTCTGGGATCGCGAAACACTCAGGGTCCAGCATTGCCCTGAGAAGCGGTAAGGCACCGGATGCTGTCATCGCATATTCTCCGAACAGACGCCCGTTTAGCGACGACTAAATGCCCGTCGATCTATGGCGGCAGTGTGGCTCTGTTGTGGCAGCTTTCGGCGTGCACCTTGACCTTGAGGCCCTCAACCTCCCTCAGTGGAGATGAGCGATTCAATATTCTCAGGCGGGCAATGAATGCGGTATTCTACTCTACTCCGATACGGAGCATGGTCCGAGTCGGCCTGTTGCCTGCCGCCCCGCAACTGTATATCGGCCACAGACTGAGCCGCTGCATGGTTTCAATGGAAGGCCGTTTTGGATGTTTGGCGGTGAGGGAGTCACGGAAGTAGCGTGATGGAGCATTTGAGTGCCCGGTTCTATGTAATGAAAACTTGTGAACTCATGCGCATCCGCCGTGCGGCTTACCAGCCTGGCATAAGATTAGCGACGGTCCGGCACTGCTGAACTGGAAGAAGGTTCAAACCCCTCTTTGCTCCCAGTGGCTCACATTCGTGCGGCCGGGCACTCCATGATCATGAATGAGCGGCAGAAAACCCCATTTATCGACAGATCGTTGGTAGATGTGAAGGAGTGTGCCTTATACATGAGGTTTACTATCAACGGACGGAAGCGAAGATATCGCGATTTACCATGCCGTCGCATAGACTGCCCTTGACAGCATTTCGAGAATTCTGCGATCAGGAAGGTGGTGAGGCATGAGAACATCGCGGGTGGATCCAATGCAAGTCAAAGCTCTTCGTTGGCGCGTTCTTTCGCAGAGAAAGCTGGTCAGCGTCTGCGCAGTCGGATGATCTGCAGCGAGTACATGGTGCATGGGCTGCCGCCCGTTATGCAGGTGCTTGGGACTGCATGCGAGAACGTCGCGGAAGCAAATCAGAGAGCGGAGACGTGGCTGTGATCCGCGGCGGCTGAAACCAAAGTCGAAACGTCCAGCGTCTGGGGAATCTCCGACCTCGCCGGAGGGTCCTCGTAGGCGCCCCGGCTTCTTACCAACAACGTATATAACACCGGTCTGGCTGCCTCGATGTCGATTGCCCGGCACTCCGTCCCTCCTCGGTTCCTTCCCCTCGCTTGGACGCCATGTCGAACATCGGCTCACTGGACGAAAAGCACGTACCAATCCAGGCCGACGTGCAGGACGTCGATGTTGCGGCCCAGTTGACTGCTGGGAAGGAGGTCATCCTGACACCCGAGGAGGCGGCGCGGATCAGGTCTGTGGCCAAACGTATTCATACAGCATACAGTGTTCATGCTAATAGTGAACCAGGAAAAAGATCGACTGGCACATCCTGCCGCTGATGTTCGGTATGTCCGTGCTCAGCGTTAGTGGGGTGCGCGGTCTGACGGGCGCTTTCAGTTCTATATCTCATACAGTACGCGGACAAGACCACTCTCGGCCAGGCCGCGGTTTTGGGCATCATCAAAGACGCGCATCTCAATCAGAACCAGTTCAATTGGCTGGGGACCATATTTTACCTGTCATTCCTGGTTTTTGGTAAGTGCTGGTAGAGCGAAGATCGCGATGGTTGTTTGAACGACGTATAGAGTACCCGCAGAACCTCGCCCTGCAACGCTTTCCAGTTGGCAAATGGATGAGCGTTAACATCTTCATCTGGGGTGTTGCTCTCGCTTGCCACGCTGCGTGCAAATCCTTCGGTGCCCTCTTCGCTTGCAGGTTCATCCTTGGTATGTGCGAAGGCGCGATCACACCAGGGTACGTAGATGAACCATTGCTATCAGCCAAGGCTTGTCAATGACGCGGTGCTTTAGGTTCATGCTCGTCACCTCGATGTTCTACACTCGGGATGAGCAAACGCGGAGGACCGGATTCTGGTGTACGTCTTCCGTTTTCCGTTGGATGTTGTACGATTTCGAAGCTCATAGCTTCTGACAGTTCTAATGAACGGCTCCGCCATCATCGTAATGGGTTTCCTCGCGTTCGGTACGCTGCACATCAAGTCGGGATCAGTCATGCCTTGGCAATGGTACTTCCGCTCGTGAATCCATGTATGACATCTGACTGAACTGATTTAGGCTGGTCATCATCATGGGCATCTTGACAATAATCACATCCGTATTATTCTGGTACGCTCGAATGCATGCAGCCCCACTGACAAGGTAGCTGATGCAAATTGAACCCAGGTTCTTCTTCCCAGACTCTCCGACGAATGCGCATTTCCTCACGCCCGACGAACGTGTCATGGCCATCGAGCGTATCAAATCGAACCAAGCTGGCGTCGAGAATAAGAAGTTCAAGCGAGAGCAGTGCGTGGCCTACACGTTGTGCTAGCCGACGTTGTCTTATGGCCTCATTGCAGGATGATCGAGGCATTCACCGATCCAAAGACGTGGTTGTTTGCGCTTTTCGCTGCCATAGAAAACATAACAAACTCCGTGAGTTTCTTTGTCTATAGCTTATGTACTCCGTGTTCTCACGGTACCCCAGCTCTCGAACCAACGCCAGCTGATTGTCAACCTCTTCGGCTTCACGCCCATCCAAACGACCCTCCTCGGCTGTGTGGACGGCGTAGTAGAAAGTGAGATGAATCATTTCCGCGCGTTCTGGCAGTACTGATCACTACATGTAAACAGTTATATCGATCGCTGCTGGTGTCACCATTGCTACTGCTTGGAAGAATGGACGTGGATATACCGCGGTTCTGTTCTTCGTCCCAGCCATCCTCGGTGCAATCCTGGTCAACACGCTGCCGTCACATAACCGCGTTGGCTTGCTCTTCTCTTATTGGATCTCAAGTACGTGAGATCACGATGCCCCGCTTAACTATGCCAATCAATGGTGATCTCCAGTCACGGAAATCGTACCGTTTGTGATCATCCTGTCCTGGGTGACGTTGACCACGGCCGGACATACAAAACGTAGGTCGTCGCCGATGAACGTCGTGGATGGTATCTCACTCGCATGGATAGGTGTGACCGTTAACGCCATCGTCCTGTGCGCTTACGCCGTCGGTAATGCCGCGGGCCCGTTCATGTGGAAGAAGAAATATCAGCCACGGAATCACGTCCCTTGGGCCATCATCGCCGCTTGCTCATTTGCGAGTGGTATCATTGCCCTCGTGATCCGCTTCGTACTCGCGAGGGAGAACAAACGGCGCGACGCTTCTGGGACTACAACGGACAGCTACGACGATGTTTACCTGACTTCTGTTAAGGAGGATGGGACAACTACTGAGCGCCATGTTGACCGCGTGTTCTTGGACTTGACAGATCGGTATGTGTTTCCGCTTTACTAGCCGGACGGTACTCTTACCGCATGTTCCTATAGGCAAAACCAGGAGTTCCGTTACGTTCTATAGTTAGGTATATAATAGCTCAAACGCTTTGGTACTTCGGATGGAAGGGTCTTGTACTGTCATACATATAAGTTACAGAAACACATGTGTTACACAGTCGCAACCGAGAGTCGGAATGTCCATGACTTGCTCAGATCATAGGAATGATGCTACCTTTACCGGCCGGCGGACAGCTGCTGAATTACCTTCCTTGAAGCGATAGCTAACCTTGTATTTCTTAATTGCCACCGCGCGTTTCGACGAAGTCGTAGGGGCGATTTTGATCGGTCGACCAAAGAAGTCGACGGGGGGCTATAACAACTATGTATGAGCTCACCTCCGTGCGTTCGCACCACGATCCGTACCTTGTCGGCGATGTCCAGCTTCTGTTGCTCCGTCTTGGAACGTTTGAGTGCCGGCCCCGCTGGGTCCGGGGCCTGTACCAGGGTTGCTTCCCCGTCGTCATCGGCTCCCTCAGGCCTTTCGTCTTCGGCACCATCGTGGTTGGCATGTGAGGCGCGGCTACCGAAGTAGTCAAATCTGCCTGCCTTAGTCCTCTCAATCGCCTCAGCATGGCGTGCGATCAATTTCGCATCGATCTTTGCGGAAGAGTTAGACGTCATTTCTTGATATTGAATCTTGACTCATGCACTCACCTCTTGAGCAACAAGGTGCCGTACCGCGTAACGGGAAACAGACAGGTCCGCGGCGCGTTTGCCTTCGTAGGTTACGAATACATCAACCGGTCTGTGACGTTGAGTGAGGGAGAGCATTCCATACAGGCAACATGTACGCACGGATCGAGTCGGTAAACAAGACGTCCGTCGTCATCCTTCTCCTGAACGAAACGCAATTCCAAGGACACCATGACATCGACCAGTCGAGAAAGCAGAGCCTTCTCTTGAGGCTTGATCACTTGACTGTTCACCGGCCGCAGTGGGGGGGAGATGATTCTGTTGATGAGAGGGGCGAATTCCAATTGTAGGACCTCGTCGCTGGCTAGGTGTCTGTAGTCCCCATTGCGGGAAGCGCCAGCCATTCGGAGGCCTTTGGATAGTGATTTGTAGATTTCTTCATTTGTCCGAGTGACAAGGAAATTCTGGAAAACTCGGATTTAATCTGCGTCCTTCGGCTTACGATCGCATCGTATGCTCACCTCCCAGTCAACCTTGGGTCGTTCCACCTTTGGACCCCCTCGTTCATGGAATAGTGGATAGAATGCAACCATCGAGTATGGAAGATACGGTATTAGCGCATACTCCCTCTCCGTTCGCATGGCGCCGTTCAGCATGTCATAGGTCACCAGCCATTCTTCCGCTTTCTCGTATCGATCGAACGTTGCATCGTGCCTTCGCAAGTTGAGATAGTGTTCGAAGCAGCCTAGTGCGATTCTGTCTATTGCGCCGCAGGCCTCGATTGAACGGCTGAGCCTGCCCACATATGCGGCTTCCTCCGTCTCCGTAATGGCCAGCTCTTTGACACGTTTGCGAGTCATAGGCGCGAAGAGATCGCCGAGAACAGACATGTAAGAGCTATCGGTTTCTTTCATCCCTGCGGTGGCTGCGCGCACCACGCTTTCCGACACCTCCTGATTGCGGGCCTTGATGAATTGCAATGTGTTGAGACATCCTCGGAAGTCGCCCTTCGCGATTCCGACAAGAGCACTGAGTGCACGGGCCTCAGCCTTAAGCTCTTCCTCCTCGCAAATCCATCGCAGTCTTTTCACAATATGAACGTCGCTTGGACGGTTGAACCTGCAAGTGCTTGTATAAACAAAGGCTGGCAAGAATTGGGATGCGCAAAGTCACCGAATTATTCGTGCGTGTTGTCGTAACTTGGTCAAGGAGGAGGCGTAGAGGTCGTTGCAGATGCATATGATGGGCCGGAGGAGCGGCCGAACACGCTCGGGTTTGTTATTACGGCCTTGCCAAATACGTAAGAGTCGTATTCAGCGATGTGTGAGCGAAAGTACCTTTCTTCTTGGGGTTATCGAATGTTAGCTGGATCAATTTTTGCACAAATGACCCTGCCTGAGCCAGAGTATCAGCGAGCAGTACCTACTCCAGAGTTACATCACGACGACGCACATTATCTCCGGCTCCAGTAGCACCATCTATTTCGTCTATCACGACGAGGTAAGGCTTGGATTTACCCACAGCAGCGCCTGCTTCTAACGCAGGTTTTATCCGGTCGTCAATGATAGAACCCGAACGAGCATCACTAAGGAACATGAACGAACTATGTGCAAAAGAGAGGTGAGCTAACTACCTAGCATTGATCTCGAAGACGCTATAGCCTGCTTGCTGGGCCACGACATGGGCAAGGGTTGTTTTCCCCAAGCCTGGAGGACCTGAAAGAAGCAAGAGCTACGAATGATTCCAATCATGATTATTAGTAAATTGTGGGTATGCCATACACTTCCTTACCTTTTCTTTTGGACGTTTCCACTCGTCCTTGCTCTCTTCCCAATCCTGATCCTGGTTGCTGGATCCCGCATTGGGTGACCACTCATCCCTTGCTCTCTTCTTGCCCTTATTCTTCCCAATCACCTTCTGGGGGCCGAACACGCAGAAGTCCCATTGTTTGACCCATGCTAGAGTCTCGCGATGCACGCGCTCGTCGCCGATTAAATCGGTAAACCGGGTCGGTTTGTATCGATCAGTCCACAGATCACGAGTCGGCATCGCCGAGCTAGATGCGGGTTCAATCCCTGTTCGTCCTGGCAACGAGTCACTGTGACTAATGTGTCAGCTCGGAGACCGATGGAAGCAACATCGAGCTGACATCAAAGCTAAGCTCTCTGCCTCCTTTCTGGATAGCTCCTCCATAAGGCGGTGAATCGGGACATCAAGCAATTTGCTCATCCGGCTGGATGACGACATTGCTCCTTCTCTCTGCGCAATAATCAGTATAGATTACACCAGTAAAAAGTCTGCTGGGAATACCTGCGTTGGCCCTCGGCGTTTTCGTTTGATGTTGAGACTTTGACCATCGTAAGTCGTTGCTCGCACGCCGAACCAAGATGTACGGGATGTACGGGCGTGATCATTCGCAGCGTCGTTACGAGCGTAAGGTCGAAGGATTTCGGATAATGACGGGAGGCTGTCGTCCTGTGAGTCGGAAAGAAGGGAGGGTTGAAGGCTCCCGAAACCAGCTTCCGAAGCAGATGCAGGACACTGAAAGGATTCTCCAAGCAGGCCATTGGCGAGCAGTCCTTCTTTCGATAGAATTTGTCAAAAAAACGCGCGGGTCATAACTGCGTGCGTACGCTTACCTTGATCACGCCCGTTTTGAGTCGAAGGACCCGTACCCGTATCTTCGTTATCCACGTGTAATTCGCGTTGTTCATCCGGGTATACGAGCAGTCCGTTGTGCTGGAAAGTGTCAGACGCGTCCATACGCGATTCTTCTGCATGCGGGAACGACGGTTCCCCGAGCAAGCCGTTACTCCTGAGTACGTCGACTTCTGTCATCATAAGGACGCGTTCAAAGTAGTGAGACGCGCAGTGCACAAGATAAGAGTCGTTCGCTGTGAGTAATGGGGTGGGAGAGTGCACAGATATGTCAAGAGACGAGCGCTGAACTGCTGGAACACCGCGGGCTGACAGTGAGGTCCAGGAAATGAGCGCGCGGATGCCTCACGTGATCGTTTCTGTCATGTAATAGTCACAGTCACGCCCACCTTGAACATGTTACCTGTTGAGGTTTGCGTAGACTTTTCCCCATCGCTCGACCCATATTTCACCCTATCACGAAGAGGGAGCATACATGCTCGTCTCTTGTCAGGAGATCTGGTAAAGAGCGAGAAGAACGAGTCGATCCTGGCATTTGATCTGTTCGCCCCAAGCGTCCGCCAACGCTAGCAGAATTTCTGTGCCTGGTTTCGGTCATCGCTCAGACACATCACCGCCGGTACGCTAGCTATGGATGCACCGCGTGACAAAGGCGCCGTTCTTGCTGTGATGCTGGTGCTGTTGGCGGTTGTCATCAAACAGGTAAGCAAGCAGTGAAGGACGCGATCGTTCCGTCTCCGTAAAATTGGCTCCAGTCCACAGAACATTGCAAACGTTCACGACTTACAACTCGTGTGTGTGACATCGCGCTGAGGAGCTTCACTCTGATCATACTAGCTATCGATCGACTCAATTCTGGGACTTGACGAACGCTGGGGTGGACGATCACCGATCTCTAGGTTTGCCACGATGAAACATAGGCGCAAACCGAGAACCCCATGCTGTCGGTCTTCGCAGCCTCGACACAGGGGATTAGCAGTCCCATCTCCGGTGGCCGGCGTTGGAACAACACGTGTCAAGCCTTGACGACGGGATTATAAGGGGGTAGTGGGTTCAAGAACAGGCGTGCATTCTCTGTGAGGATCCCATTGCTGCAGCTTCGTGGTTTCACATTCTCCAGGACCTGGCGTCCCCCGCACTATTCTGAGACCTGCGTTCTCTGCATCTACTTCATCCTCGACGACGCTAATTTCCTAATGTACGGTCTACTCTATGGTTCACTATTGCTGCTCTCGGCGCTCGTATCCGCTGTGAAGGCTTTGCCCGCACCATCGAAGCGTGCCACGGACTTCCTTGATCCTCATCTGGGCGGCGGGAAGATGGGCGCAGATGGTGGAGGAGTCCTGGAACCTATTAACATCATCATTTCCGCCAACTCCTCGCCAGAGGTTCTGACGGACGACGGCTTCACAAACTACATGAAATCGCTTGGCCTTTCGATCGAATGTCTCGGCCAACATGGCGGTGGACTGTTCACTGCTGATTTGGGCGATGGCAATGGGTCCAAGAACCAGACCATTGAGATGAGGGATGATTTCGGTGTACGTAAATCTATCTGATTGCCGATCGTTGAATGACCCTAGCTCAGGTGAGTTTCCTGGGCATTGGCACCTGCTTGGAGAGCCTCACTGGCGGGAATCATCTCAGGTAAGATTTCTCTCCGCGAGGCGATGCACGATCTCACATCCAGCGTATATGCACAGGATGTTCCGCCAGGATGGACCCAGCGCAAACAGCGGCGCGCTTTTCCTAGCCGTCTCTGAAGAGAAGGACCTGAGCCAACACCATACGGTCGATGACGACGGTTATAACAAAGGCCGGTAAGTCGCAACCTCCGTCATTATATGTATCCTTTTTGTGCTGAAAGCAACTGGTTGTCATGACCGTGCCACTTGCGTTAGCGATAAAATTGTATCAGCCGCCACCAACCCGGACGGCACGTCTCACGATGGCGTCAGCTATAAGTGCAGAACGGTCTGCTGACAGCTGGTACTACGATCGATGGGCTCCCCGTCAACCATGGTAAGCCAATTCAGATGGATTACGTCCGCATTAACCACCACGTAATTGATTTTCCTCCTTCCGCAGGCATATCCCAGGATGGCGTTGTCCAGATGCTCACCGTCACCATTCAGTAATTTGGCAATCGAGTTGGCGAATCGGCTCACGCCGCTATTGACATGGAGCTCGGAAGACTCGGCGTGTTATCAGTGTTCTGTCGGGCGCGCTCCCTGTGATCATTGCGCTGCGAGGCTTTGTGCTGTGTTCACTGGAGAAAATGGGTGGCGCGTGGAAGATAACCCCTCCTAGTTATAGAGTCCATACAAGCTCATGTGCGGGGATGTCGAGGATAGCCTTATAATGATCAATTTCACGAATGACGGGGGCATCATCGTCTGGTTTCAGCTCACAAACAGGGTCCTAGAAGGGGGCGGTGCCTAGATCTGAAACTGCTTAGTATTCAGCAACTTTCTCCCTTAAGCTCAACCTGGTGAAGGTAGATCGTGTTTGAGTCGGGACGCCGCCGGTCTTGGCGGGGTATTCCCTAAACGCGTGGCATGCGTCGCACCGCCCAAGCTGCGCCGGCAGCAGAACTCTGGCCATTCCACATCTTTTGACAACGCTCTATTGACGTTCTCGCACCGTTGCAGAGTTGTGACTGCTATGCATAGAAGCGTAAGATTCAGTGCTCGTCGTATGCTCTAAGCTGTCGGAATTAGGTTATCGGCAGCCCGTACCCGGCTGGCGTATAGAAACCGTTATCCTGGCTTTGTATACGCCTACTACGTACACGTCGTTGTGCCCTGCGACAAATGCGGAGGGGCTGGGCTTCTGCGGTGACCGCGGTGAGGAGAGATCGCGCCCAGTGCTCATCGGACATCAGACGGTGCCTCACGCGTAACCGGATCATGCTATGCCAGAAAATTTGCCGACTGGGGTCGAGATCCGCATGACGGAACGATATATAATGCACGTCGTCTTGCGGACAAGCAAGAACAGCCCTACCTCTTAACCATCCAACTATTTAACTGGTGGATAAACACCTATTAGAGCGACATACTAATCATGCCTGGCGAACCGAGCTTCCAGTCCCCGAGCTATTCACCTCCCGATCTTTCGCATCACCTTTCTATCGAAGCGAGGGCCCGGTTGCCCAACCCTATGAAGGCGATATGGAAAGTCGCCCAAGGTAAACCAGGCGCTATCAGCCTAGCGAATGGTACGCTCGCTCCATAGACATTTCGTATGCTGTGGATTAACAAACATTACCAGGCGACCCCCACCATTCTCTGTACCCCATTCATAAGATGGAGTTCGAGATTCCTTCGATAGCCTCCGAGGATCCTGTTCGGGCGTGGCGGGCGGGCACAGGCGGTTCCCAGATTATCGGCGCTTCCAGGGATGACCCTGGACCGAGCTCGAGCAGGGTCAGCCTGAATAAGGCGATGGCGTACACGACAGGCGCCGGTCTGCCAGAAACCCAGGATGTCCTCGCGAAATTCACGGATATCTTCCACCATCCGCCAAACCACCGCGTCACCCCTTCACTAGGCAATTTCGACGCCGTCACCAAATGCTTCCGCCTCCTTGGAGAGCATGGCGATAGTTTCCTGGCCGATGAATACACCTTTAGCGCGCTCACGAACGCGGCGTTGCCACACGGAATCAGATGGGTTCCCGTAGAAATTGATGCGGGAGGGCTGATTCCGGACAAGCTGGACGCTCTGATGCAAGGATGGAATACGGCAACTCGCGGCCGCAAACCCCATGTTCTGTACCTTACCCCGTAAGCTTTATACTCAGAGAACGAAGAGGAGATCTTGATTATTTCGGTCTCATTCTACAGATCTGGCCAAAACCCCACAGGGTCCACCCTGACCTTGGAGCGCCGGCAGCGTATCTATGCGCTGTGCAGGAAATGGGATTTGATCATCATTGAAGATGGTGAGGAAGTCACGTTCATGGCATTGACCAGAAGCTCAGATTTGAATATGCAGATCCATATTATTTCCTGCAGTATGAGATCACCGCAGCTGGGCTCTCTCCAGAGGAGCCTGGATTCGCGACCCGCTATGCGAAACAGTTCACCCCATCATTCCTTTCAATGGACGTCGATGGGCGCGTGCTTCGCATCGACAGCTTCAGCAAGATTCTCGCGCCAGGCATGCGCCTTGGCTGGATCACCGCCAGCCCTCTGTTCACCGAAAAGCTCGTCATATATACCGACTCTTCCACCATGCATCCCCATGGCTTCGGCCAAGTCTTCGTCCTCGAACTGCTAGGCGAGCGCGGATGGGGCGTCGACGGCTTCGCTCGCTGGCTGAGCAGTCTCCGCGAGGATTACAAGCGTCGGCGGGATGCGTTCCTGCAGACCTTCCAGGACGAAGTGGAGGCTAAGGCGCCAGGACTGGCTGAGATATCGCCCCCTCAGGCCGGGATGTTCTTCTGGATCAAGGTCAACCTGCAGAAGCATCCTCGCGCTGTTCCCGCGCAGAGTTCGAACGACGATGCTTCAACCCACAATGCATCTGCTCTCATGGAAGAACTGTTCTACGAGCTTCTCGAGGCTGGTTTGGTCATGATGCCCGCATCTATCTTCGCCATCAAGCAAGAAGGACAGAAAAGTCAGATCGAGGAAGTGAGCGTTCATCTCGCATTTATCTCTGCGCCTTGCTCACGAAAGCAATCATAGCGCCTCAACTACTTTCGTGCCACGTTCGCCGGGACAGAGGAAACGGTGAAGCAGGGTCTCAGCATCTTCGGCCCCACACTTTCGAAGTTCTTCCGCGACGAAAAGGCAGCTTGAGCTGGAGCTAATCATATAGAGCAGTCTAGAATATGTACCCGTAGAGATTGCATTGTATACACACTCTCGCACTTATGTATCGTAATATATATTTTTCCCCGCTACACAACGGAGTTTTCCCTAGCCGAGGAGCCACGCGCACGGCAGAGAAGCAAAATTGCGAACGCCTCTGCTGCAAATCGTCTCATCCGCGTCGCTCTTTTACTCGGTCGGCTCGCGCTCAACGTCCACTACGCATGCGAACATAGCACGGTCACCATCTGCGGCTGCGCGCAATTTGCAGCGGCGGTACCTGCTACTTCGCGACCCGGCGTACTCACACAGTGACGTTTTAGATGCCGCTGCTTGAGCTCAATCTCGAACTCCTCGATCACATATTCGGCCTCCTATCCCGGCGATCTCTCTGCGATCTGGGATCGACGTGTCACACGGCCCGCTGGTTAGTCCTCCCCGCGCTGCTCCGCGACGTGACGCTCGTCAGCGACCACCAAGCTCGCCAATTCTGCGAATTCGTCCTCGCCGGACGTTCCGCCCGCGCAGCCCTCATCCGCTCCTTCACGATCGAAGATCCCGCGTTCTTGACACTTCACCTCAACGATGTCGGTTTCCCAACCCCTTGCGGCGTGATCGACTGCGCGCCCAAGCTCGCGGTCGTACTCGAGAATGCTTGCAACATTACCTCGCTTCGCCTTGGGAAGCTGGATATGCTCATTTTGCAGGAACCACGTATACAAACGGCTTTGCAAGCGTGTCGCACTCTCTTGGACATTGCTTTCAGCGATGTTGGACCACGAGCGATGAGGGCCATGAAGAACATGTGCGGTGTACGACGGGCGCGGCTCGCAGTGACCGGCTGTTCTGATATTCCTGCACTCCTCCAACCCTTCCGTTCGTCACTGGAAGATGTCTTGATCGCTTCTCCTGGCACAGAGTTCATATCCATAGCCCCGAACACGACCTGGCCCAACGTACACACCCTACGGGTCCCTCATACCGCTCTTTCTCGTCCACAAATCGTTTGCGCCTTCCCCCGCCTCAGGCACTTAGGAGTGGGCGTCTATCAGCGCTTGTACGGGCCGAAAGACGTCCCTGATGATGTGAACTGGGCACATCTGGAATCCGCGGAAGGAGACGCGATCGCACTGCGAAGTCTCCCTCTGACTTGTCCGGTGCGCAGGATATCCGCGCTCGTATACGAGACCGAGGAGTCGAGGGCCGCGCTGCTAGACGTCCTACAAGCGACTCGGCCTGCGGTTCTGTGCTGTACGGTCGTCCCATCCATGTCGGAGGAATTCTTCGTGCAGATAAGCCGACGGTCGCCTGGCATCCGCGCACTTGAGCTCAGCTTATCGGTGTTTGCGGTAGGAAGCGACGAGGAATTCGTGACGCTGCTGGTGAGTCACGAGGCGTCTAACCTCGCGGTACGCTCATGCTGAAATCGGGATTGGGAAGGCTCAACTGGCCACATCCCTTGCGCACCTCAGGATCCACTATCTGTGCCTAGCCAGAGAACTGGGACTAGATCCGCCTGCATTAACCTCCGAGTTCAAGGAGACCGTCGCGCGGTCGGTGCAGTCGTTGAAATACTTGGAGGAGCGTCATTCGGCGGAAGGAACATTCTGGGAGGTGGTGCGAGGCACGACTGGGAACGAGGTTACTCTGCGGGAGATGCAGCCAGCGGATGGACGGCGGATACGAAGCCAATGGTTCCAGCATTGAGAGGACGCGGTGTATTATTTATAGAACGAAGTGTTGCCTGATCTCAACGTCATGATTTTGCTCCAGCCGCGTGGTGAGCGCAGGACTTGGCGGCTGCGAATTTTCGACAACCACGGTCAAGTCCTCGACCTCCGAGGCGCGATGCTTTCACGAGCGCGCATTGTCGGGCCAGTAGGCCGGCAGCTACGCTATGGGCGGATACCCCCCACACGCGTATTCACGTCCACCCGTCCTGCCCAAGCTTCCAGCGGGACTCTACGGAAGGCAGCACGATACACGACTTATCTCGTCACGTCGTCCGTCGTGGGCGTCCTGGCCGTCACCGGTGCCATCTTCTTGCACGACGCGTTCACGTACAGCGAACGGCACATAGACCGCGTACCCGTCAACCCCCTCGCGCTCCATCCAGAAACAGGCGGTCCCAACAACTTGCCGATCGCAGCAGTCCTCGTACATCCCCTACAACTGCACAACGTTCTGACCACCACTAATGCCCCACCCGGCCTCAGGTTGACGACGAAGAAGATGAAGAAACCAAGAAGATCAGCGAGAAACCCAAGCTGGTCATAGTCGGGGGTGGTTGGGGGGTGAGCTGCCTCTCTGAAGTGTCGTATGACTTCAGCTCTCAGTTTATATGCAGGCAGTCGGCGTGCTTGACACCCTTCGCGCCGGCGACTACCATGTCACCGTCATCGCGCCCGATACCTTCACGACGTTCACTCCACTCCTGCCCTGTACGTATGACCCTTCAAGCGTTTCGACGATCCTGATCGCAGAACTTTCGCCCTCACAGCTGCTGCCGTTGGTACCGTCCAAGTTCGGTCACTCATAGAACCGCTCCGGAAAGTGATAGCGCGGCTACGCGGGCATTACATTCAAGGCGAGTTGCGCATGTTCAGTGTAACCTAACGACGCCTTACGATGATGCATCAGGCTCTGCGGTAGATATCGTCATGTCCGACCGTCTCCTGGAGGTAGAAGTCGACGCTCCTGAAGGCAGAAGGAGGATATACGTGCCGTAAGGATCAAAGTTCCCAGTTGATAGACGTCACGATCTCATCCGAATATGCCAGATACGATAAACTCGTCATCGCTGTTGGCTCTACTTCGGCGACTCACGGCATCAGCGGCCTGGAGCATTGTTTCCAACTGAAAACAGTCGGGGACGCGCGTGCCATCCGCAAGCGGATTGTGGGTGCGTATACCGAATACGAAGTAATAATGCGACCCATCTCACGATAGTCAGACAATTTTGAGATGGCATCTCTGCCGACCACAACGCCCGAAGAGCGCAAGCGTTTGTTGTCTTTCGTCGTCTGCGGTGGAGGACCAACCGGCGTTGAAGCAGCTGCCGAGATCTACGACCTTTGTAATGAAGATGTGATGAATTATGTGGGTGGAATGAAGATCTTCAGATTTCACAAGCCTTACAACCCGTACAGTATCCAAAACTCTGTCGTGAAGAGGTTTCGATTCACGTCATCCAGTCACGGTCTCATATTCTCAATACCGTGAGTTGCCGCAAATTCTCTCCTTAACCGTTTGACCATTGATTGTACGCTGCTAAATTTCCGCGCAGTATTCGGAGGCAATCTCAAAATATGCGGAAAATAAATTCGCTCGAGATGGGGTTGGCCTGATCACGAATGCGCGGTAGGGATTCATCATCAACTGAAAGAAGCGCCTTCTTGCTGACATGTACCGCTTGTTCTCAGTGTTGCGGGCATTGAGGCTGACAAGGTAGTGTATAGCATAAAGACAGCAGACGGCAAGACCGAGCAGCACGAGGTTTGCCCTGATCCTTTGCATTTTCGATCATTTGCTGATCGCCCTTGAACATCATCGAAGATACCCACTAATTTTGTGTTATGGTCTACCGGGATTGCTATGAACCCTTTTACTGCTCGTGTATCGTCTCTTCTACCCAATCAGGTGAGTATCATGACTAGGCAGCTTACTTAGCCTCCGCGCTGAACATGTGTCAGGTTCACAAGAAAGCCATTGAGGTTGACGCTCATCTCCGGGTGAAAGGTGCCCCGCTAGGAACGGTTTATGCCATTGGAGATGCTAGCACGGTGCGCGACGTTGCCTGTTTCTGCAGCCGACGTGTTATGCTGACCAGTCTTGAAGGGCGAGACGTCGATCGTTAGCTATCTTATGGAGCTCGTGGACGAAGCGGACAAAAACAAAGACGGCAAGATTGATTTTGAAGAATGGGGAACTATGGGTATAGTCTCTTGGCAGCATCGCGCACGGTCGGGAAGCTCATAATGTGTCAGTGAATGCCATCAAGCGCAAGATACCTCTCACCGAGCCCCATCTGGCTAAGGTGAGGTAGCGATGCCCCAGTAGCGCTGGGCGCCTTCCTGACACCCAGTGTCATATAGGTGGAGGAGCTTTTCAAGCTATACGACTCGGATTCCGACAATAGTCTCACGTTGAATGAGCTGGTTGTCCTTCTGCAAGAGATCGGGAACCGCATCACCGCGTTGCCCGCTGTGAGTTTAGCTGTCCAACGCCATGCGATTTGCATTGATTGATCTCCCCTAACTCAGACTGCCCAAGTAGCATCGCAGCAGGGAAAGTACTTGGGCAAGAAACTCTCTAAGGTTGCAAAGTTGAAGCGTACGATGACGGAGAACGCGATCCCTGAGTATACGGCGGACGAGGCGGTTGCTTCACCTTTCGTGTACGCCCTGATCGATCTTCTATCAGAGTTACCACTCACGAATGCAATGCCAGTTATCGCCACCTAGGCAGCCTGGCTTACATTGGTAATGCTGCCGTATTTGACTTCGGTAAATACAGCTTCATGGGCGGCTTGGCTGCCATGTATGCTTGGCGAAGTATATACTGGAGCGAGCAAGTCAGTAACCGGACAAGGGCGCTGCTCATGATTGATTGGATCGTCCGGTCAGTGCTTTCACCTCGCACATGTACAGTACGCTGACTCGGCTGGGTTCGGATAGCGGCGTTTGGGGCCGGGATCTTTCGAAATTGTAAGGCACTGCAACATCTGATAGACTAGCCTGACCGTAGACAACACAAATGTAGCAACTGAAATCTAGAGGACGGTTGCATACTGCAACAACACTACCGGCCCAAGGATATTCGCTGTCTGGAACTCGCGCGTTCTCTCGCTGGGTCGTACCGTCTCGTGTTCAACAGATCGCCCGACGCTCCTGGACATTTTCTGGTTTTGTATTGTACTTTATATAGCACATATGACTATACGGCTTCTGTCCATTCGAACGAACCCATAATAGCGGTCTTGCCTATGAGAGACCCTGGACTTGGCGACAGCACCGTCATCTTCTTGTTCCCAATATCGAGCGCGGTTCTGTTCAGTCCAGAAGAATAAGGCAAAGCAGCAACAAGGTCGAAGGCTTGGGAGCTCACACTACTAGAAAACCCACAACGTGCAAATCGAGTATTTCCTCATCGTATCGCTCGGACTCGTCAGGGTTCGGGGGTGCCAACAGCGCGAGCACGGAATTCAATAGCCCGGAGCCTGGCATAGCAGGATCAACGAGAATGGGCTGAAGCTCAGATACCACGCGTGCTGCTCCGATTGGCAGTGCCGAAGATGGTGCCATGTTTTCTATGGTCATTTGTTGGAACAGTGGAATCGTCCCAGTCGTAAGTACGCTCACCTTCGCCAATGCGGTATATCTGTAGATCGCCGAAGCTGATCACTGTAGACGAAGGCGAAAGAGTGAAATCTCCGATAGTCTCTCCACCTTGCGAGGGTGCTGTCACCCCCGGCGGGGGCGTAATTTTCTGACCGTACATATACGCGTGTAGCTGATAAGCTTGAATTCGGTCTCGATATGCTTGGTCAAGTTCCACGACCTGCGCATACGTGAGACTGACGATGGCATATGTGCATCAGCAAACCTGTACTCACACCGCCGGATTTTGGAACTTTGACAACGTTCACCCGATCGCCAAACGTCCTCTGCATTTCGACATTGAGCTTTTCGTGCCCTACGACAACAATGACATTGACTGTGTCACTATCAGTTCGCGGCTCCTGAGAATATAGCAGGTATGAATTACTTCGGAAGGCGTCTACACAAGCTTTAATCAGGGTCAAGCGGTGATCTTGACCTGGCCCCGATTTACTAGCAGCGAACGACGAGGGAGTATCGACGATTATCCCTGCAACTCTCCCTAGAAGACTATGATCTTATCGGTTCTAGATAACCGACGTATGAGAAACTGTCGAACCTTCGGGATCGAGGTCCCACCGATCATTGATATTTTCGCCCAGATTTCGGATGATGCGGTCCAGGAGCAGAGGGTTGCGCTTCATATTCGCATGGCCATACCAGTACGTCAGAGGAAGCAGCGCGTTTGAGGATAGGTGCATAGGAGCTGATGTAGCAACCATTCCCAGGGGGTTGGCTGGCGAAGCAGTAGGTAAAGGGCTGTGGAGGGGAACAGCAGACACTGTCCCTGGTACGCCCCATCCGCCCTGATGGTTGCGTCAGGATATTCTGCATGAATCGACACTGAACAATATACTTCGCTTGTGTTGGTGTTCACGAGTATAGGAGTCCATCCCTCGATAGAGCGAAGACAGTAATTAGCAAGAATCTTGCACAGGCTAGTTTTCCCGGAGTTCTCTGGCCCTAGCACCAAAACACGAGGAGGGTCGAGACTCGGTGGAGCATCCTCTTCATCCGATATAGGAGATCCATGCAACGCCGCCAGCGCTCGAACTCGCATTTGCTCGAATGCGAAGTGAAGATTGGCGTATGTTGACATTGGTGTTTCCTCAGACACATACTCCGTGGACGGTCGACCAGTAACGTGCTAGGAGCGCGTAAGTATCGGGGTCGGAAGTGATGGGAACGGCGTTCGTGTTGGAAGTTAGATAACTCATCTCGATCGTGCATCCTCTCCATGTAAACACGGCAGCTTTGCATTCGAAGCCGAACACGTACGATTTCCCCTCCACCAGTTCGTTTCCAAAGATCTCAGCATGCCCAGTGAGGAGCTAGAAGAAATACGCTGAGTGTTTCAAAGCGCAAGTGAAGAATGGACACACCTTGATGGCCAGGCTGGTTCCAGGATCGAGTTCGAATCTGTATTCGGTTTCGGGTTCTAAGGACCAGCTTTTGGTGTCGCCTGCCATTTTGACAGGCCTGTAGCTGCTGTTATCGCTGAGCGTACACCCGCTGATTGGCACGAGTAATCGGATCTGTCGTGGAGCACGACTATGTAAATAGCAGAGAACGACAGTCTGCGTTGTGATAGTAATCTCTCAAGATGCGAACTGGCGCCGCAAACCGAAATTTTCTTTGACGCAGACAGCCTCTACTATGTAGATATGTACGGAGCGTTGTCTGACACCAAGGATTTGAGCCTGTGCTTGTGTCGGTTGTGGCAGGAAGCAAGCAAACCTGACCTGCGGCCCATGCCAGATCCAAAACAACCGAAGGTCCGCGTCAAGGCGAGCGCATCTTCATCGACATGTTGCCTCACAGATCGATACTCCTAGTATCCTCATGCTAAGCCGGCCTAAGAGGTTTTCATTCGTGGATGTCTTTTGCTACCCTGCCCACCGAGATTGTTCTCTATATCCTCGAGGGTTTGGTACTCGACAATGTTGACGGCATCTTGCCCGGCACCGATACGGAGTCGCTCTGGAATGCGTCCGAGGCTATATCACTCGTTTGCCGAGACTGGAAGGAGAAGGTGGACAGCATAACCTCTCAGATCTACCGTGTTCCTGTAGTTGGTGCAAGGTGCGACATAGGCCATGGAAGTATATGCTGAAGATATTCATCTTACTTTGCTGCTGCAGACACACATACACCTCGCGGGGCCAAATCCTCGGCTTACTCGTCCACTTCATCGTGTGCAGTCGGGTGAATGTGTCGGTCCTCTCATACGCGGGACATCCGGATGATCTGGCTCACGGAGGACCGTACATCGCTATCCACTACTGGCATACGCGCTGGCAACTATGCGTAGCAAGCTACCGAAGCAAATTGGATAATGTCACGCAGATGGTAGTTGGAGGATGGGACCGGTTTCGACGCAGCGAGGGAAGACATGACATACAGGTTCTCCGAGAATATCTCGCTCTTCCGAGCATAAAGTATAAACGTCGACTCGGTTACATGGTGTTCTTCGACGTAATCCTACAAACGCATGGTGAGTACCGTACTCAAGTCCCCCTTGCATAAACACATGCTCATATGCCCAACGTAAACAGTAAAGATGATGTTCGCGGCGGCCGAGATCATTGTTACGTCCCTGGAGATTTTCGAGACCTTGTTGCGATTTGGCGGCTCTGACCGCATAACGCCTGAGGTTCGTACTCCTGCAGTGATCATCCTATGAACATCCGCAGAAGTCGCGCCTCAATAGATTATCAAGGAACAGTTCACGACGGGCTTAGACCTCGTTGAACAATGGAGCAACCCAAACATGTACTCAACGGATGCGCTGAACGCATGCGTAAAGGGTTCAACGCCCGATTACTTCAGTTCGGAGGTTGACCGGGAAAAGCTAGAGCATGATCTGTCGACCGTCCTTCGGAATCCAGATATCCCTTACCTAATATCTGAGGTTGTGGTGGTAAGCTCGTACATATGCTTGCATCCTCGCCCCTGATTTCCTCTTCAGATGAGCGGTATTCGGGCTCCAATCAAAGGATTGTCAATGAGTCACGTTGAGGAAACGTTCAGCGAGGCAGCCCGGAGAGCTAAGGCCTTCTGTCGTCGGTTCGACGACGGCAAGAGCTGTACGTAGTCGTCGAAAATAATTTGGGCCTGCACACAGACGATAAAATGCCATCTGCTCTCTCTGAACATGTAATATGATGTGCATTGCTTGCTGGATGCCCCGCTTAGGGCCCAGTGGCTGAGCCTCGCGGCAGGCCGGAAGGAACCGTGAGAATGTTGGGATGTAAAGTCAAGAGTCGGCGACGTAGCTCTCTTTTCCTCACCACATCCCTCTCGTCGTCGCCGTCGTCCACGATGCTCACTTCCCGCGGCGTCACTCGTCTGTCCCGCAGGGCGGTCAACAGCGCTCAGAGAAACGCCGCGTTATTCTCGTCCGCTGCGGCCCCCTTGCTCGCCAAGGCCTCCACCGTCCCTAAACCCGCCAAGTCGCAGCGCGCAAATGTTCGTTCTGCACGGGCTGCGCCCCAGGCTGGTGAGTCTTGAGGTGCTCAGAGGCGGGGTTGAGACCTTCTGACGTTTTCCGGTCGCTGGTTTCCTCCAATATCGTATTTTTCGGGCGCGTCGTCACTCGGACCGTAGCTCGCTCGTACGCGACGGAAGCGAAGGCCGCTATTGGTCACGTCAAGACTGTCATCGGTGCCGTCGTCGACGTTCAGTTCGATACCGATAACCTCCCCCCCATCTTGAACGCCCTCCACGTCGAGGATTTCAATGGCGGCCGCCTCGTACTCGAGGTTGCCGCTCACTTGGGTGAAAACTCGGTTCGCACCATCGCCATGGACGGTACCGAGGGTCTCGTTCGTGGTCAGAAGGTCGTCGACACGGGCGCTCCTATCATGGTCCCTGTCGGCAAGCCCACTCTCGGCCGTATCATGAACGTCATCGGCGAGCCCATTGACGAGCGGGGGCCCATCAAGGGTGTCAAGCTTTCTCCCATCCACGCGGACCCGCCTGCCTTCGTTGAGCAGTCGACCACCGCTGAGGTGCTCGAAACCGGCATCAAGGTCGTTGACCTCCTCGCTCCCTACGCACGTGGTGGAAAGATTGGTCTCTTCGGAGGTGCTGGTGTCGGCAAGACGGTGCTCATCCAGGAGCTCATCAACAACGTCGCGAAGGCGCACGGTGGTTTCTCCATCTTCTGCGGTTCGTCTTCCTGGCTTGGTGATGCGATGAATGTCCACTGATTCGCCAATAGGTGTCGGTGAGCGTACGCGTGAGGGTAACGATCTTTACCATGAAATGATCGAAACCGGTGTCATCAACCTTGAGGGTGACTCCAAGGTCGCTCTTGTCTTCGGTCAAATGAATGAGCCCCCGGGTGCCCGTGCCCGTGTTGCTCTCACCGGTCTCACCATTGCGGAGTACTTCCGTGACGAGGAGGGCCAGGATGTGTTGCTCTTCATCGACAACATCTTCCGTTTCACTCAAGCCGGTTCGGAGGTGTCCGCTTTGCTTGGTCGTATCCCGTCCGCCGTCGGTTACCAGCCTACTCTGTCCACGGACATGGGTGGCATGTGAGTATCTTGTCAGCTCATTCATATTGCCTGCGTTGATTATCGTAACAGGCAAGAGCGTATCACCACCACCAAGAAGGGCTCCATCACCTCGGTGCAGGCTGTCTACGTGCCCGCTGATGATTTGACGGATCCGGCTCCGGCTACCACCTTCGCTCACTTGGATGCGACGACCGTGTTGTCTCGTCAGATTGCTGAACTGGGTATTTACCCTGCCGTCGACCCTCTCGACTCCAAGTCTCGCATGCTCGACCCCCGTATCGTCGGCAAGGAGCACTACGAGGTTGCGACCGCCGTCCAGAAGATCCTCCAGGACTATAAGTCGCTCCAGGATATCATTGCTATCCTTGGTATGGACGAGTTGTCTGAGGAGGACAAACTCACGGTAGGTCACAAGCTACTCTCGAAGTCATCGCTGCTCATTGACGTCTTTCTGAAGGTCGAGCGTGCGCGTAAGATTCAGCGTTTCATGTCGCAACCCTTCCAGGTCGCGCAGGTCTTCACCGGCTTTGAGGGCAAGCTCGTTCCCCTCAAGGACACCATTCGGTCCTTCAAGGAGATCCTCGCTGGCACCCACGACTCTCTGCCTGAGTCCGCCTTCTACATGGTCGGCACCATCGACGATGTCAAGACAAAGGCGGAGCAGCTTGCGAAGGAGATGGGTGGCTCGTAATCTTATTTACTCGTGGACGACTGGGTGCCTATATGTAGATCGTTGTCAGGACCTGGCATAAAAAATCGTTATTTGCTTCCAAGAACGGCTGAACAAGAGCGTCATCAGTTTTTCGGGCACATGAGCCATGCGGGGCCATGCAGTCAATCGACCGACGGTGGTTGCCTAATTTTGGTACCTCGTCCGGCCCGCCGCTCGTGCAGCCCGGATCCGGACTCCTGTTCTCCTGCTCAGGTGATGTCGGCGACGGTCACACTTGATGCGCGCCGCGCCGGGCTCGTCTACGAGTTGCGCTACCAGTACAAAATGAGGACGGGATCGAGTGGCCTGGACTCGCTTAGTATCGCGCCCTCCCGCCATGCTACTGCTAGGAGTGATCATACTGGAACTTGTTTTGGCTTCGACCTTCATACCGCGCGTTCATGCGCTGTCCGTGTACGCCGCCTGCCAGACGACACTGGGAAAAGCAGTTGATCCAGTTCTAGGATGTCCTAAAGGTAAACGCTGTGTGGTCGCCGGGTGACGTACTAGTAGTATTGACAGAAACTCAAAGGGACAATCTTCGTGTCACAGAAAGATCCTCGAGCGAAGTTCAGTAGCGTGCAGGCTGCCGTACTATCACTGTAAAGAATGGTGCGCGCCATATGCCGTGCAACGAACTTACTGTACTCCCAGGCCGTTGGACGATTCGCCTCAATGGATCCTCGTCGATGCTGGAATATACAAAGAGGCTGTAAACGTTACAAGAACCGGGCCAACGACCATGCTTGGCCAGACGAATGTCGCAGATTCCTGCATGTAGACCCTCTGCTCCCCGCCGATCGTTGCTGACTATTGGGTAGACGAGCACAATCTTGTGACTATCTATAACACGACATTCATCAATCAGACCACGCAGAATGCATCCATATTGGACAACGCGGACTCGCAGGTTCTTACTGGTAGGTGTGCCAGCCTCGCTCTCGTGAGAATCTGACTCGAGCCGATTGCAGTTGCGCCCAACAAATACTCCGTTTGGACAGGGCAAGGTTATTATGGAGCAACACCGCAACCAATTCCTGATGTATGACACAGACTAGAATTATTGGAGACGTGTTAGCACTCAGCAATGCTTCTGTAGGAATGGGGTTGCAAGGACTTCCGCTCGTACAATATCAATTGGGAAAATCGCGCGGTAAGCACGCGGTCCCTTCTGTTCTCGCCACAGAATGTCACGTCCGAAACAGGGCAACGCGTCCATTGGTCCCGCGCTGGCGGTCGGGGTCGGTTTTGCGAACGCCTCCTTCTACGGCAGCTCGTTCAAGTCGTGGCAGGATACCGTCTTCGTCGGAAAGAACGCGAGCGTGATCTTCAAAAAGAGCCTGGTTCTGGGTCAAACGTACGCGGGTTCGGATAATGATGTGAAAACGCCTCGCTCACGGAGGATATTGTGTATAGTGATTATGTGTATGGTTTTGGTGAGGGCTGTCTCGGCTGGGGGTAATGCGCATTGTGGTGAGACTGACGCTTGTTCATAGGCACTGCCTACTTTCTGGAGTCCGTTTTGGGTTCAAGAGGAGCAGGGTGGTAAGCAAACCTATTCTGCACATTCAACCCGCCCTCACCAAGTGACATCCTCTAGCCTGACGGCTTTCAAGGGTCAGCGTCTCGATGCCTTGTCGTCCAAAAAGCCGACGATCTTTTTCAGGTACTCCCAACTACACAAACACATATGGCGTCTACTTTGAAAACTCCCGTGTGGTGCATTCCCCGGAGCTCTCTGCCGCCCAAGCTGCGAATTTTACCGGAACTCAATGTCTGGGACGCCCGTGGAACAACGCAACGACCGCGGTGTACATGAACGCACGTTCGCCGTTCATGTTGCTCGTATCCTCTCTTACGATTTGTGATATATAGACCTATATGGACTCGTCGGTCCTTCCGGCCGGCTTCACCATCTGGTCTCCGACTGATCCAAGGAATGGCACCTTGCTGTTTTACGGCGAACACGGATCTTACGGTCCCGGATGGAATCGCAGTGCTCGAGCCACTTTCGACCATATCCTCACCGCACCACAGGCCCAAAGGTTCTCGTTACAGAACGTATTTGGGAAGAACCCTGCCTGGCTTGATGACCTGTACTAAAGTACGCCGTGGCTGTATATCAATACATCCAGGATGAATGGAGCGACGCTAGCAATCCTGCTGCGGTCCTTTTCCCCTACAAGACAACGCTATAGATGCTGCTCAGCATCCTTGTCGTTCGAAAGACAAAGGTAGAAAGACAAAAATCCGACGCCAGCAGAATCTCTTCAAGAAACTGGTAGGCTTTGAACCTGCGTTACGGAATATCTTTCCAAGAAAATGTCAAGAGGGAACGAGGCGGATTCGCATCTCCGGCGAGGAATATCTTTACAGGAAAAGGTCAAAAAGGTAAGACGCTAGCAGGATTCGAACCTGCCTCACTCTTCAAGAGAACGTCAAAAAGCATGACCCTGTCAGGATTCGAACCTGCTCCACACGATATCTCTTCAAAATAGTACGACGCTGGCAGGATTCGAACCTGCCTCACTCTTCAAGAGAACGTCAAAAAGTATGACCCTGTCAGGATTCGAACCTGCCCCACACGATATCTCTTCAAAATAGTACGATGCTGGCAGGATTCGAACCTGCCCCACACGATAAAATAGTACGACACTGGCAGGATTCGAACCTGCCCCACTCTTCAAGAGAACATCAAAAGGTACGACGCTGGCAGGATTCGAACCTACGCCCGGAAACCGGAAGAGATTTCTAATCTCTCGCTATAACCACTCAGCCACAGCGCCATGCTGATGTCGAGCACTGTATAATATATTATTCTTTCGGAACAGAGTAATGGTTCAAACGTGGCTCATCCTTCGCTGGACCACTCGCGTGTTGAACGAGGAGTATATACCAAGCCAAGCCATGATACAACTAGCCTAAGCAACGTCGGGTCAAGGAGATCTTCAGGCGCAACCTCTTTACATGAAGCGATCTATGGTCATCACGGTAACGAACCATCGATTCTAGCGACTCGGCTTAGTAAACAGGCGTTCACCTGAACCAAGCCAGCCAAACATATCACTGCTCTTCGGCTACTATTGTCTAGTTGCTATCTCGCAACGGCTTTTGCTTGGATAATCGCAACCCTGGAACGTCGCTCAGGTTCATCTTACGAGCAAGTGTTGTCCACTATAAATAATCCCGTCAGGAATAGCGACATGTATCAGGAGCAAACGTACCATGAGGGGTGGCTCTGGAAGCAGAAACCCGGACGTGGCCATATCATTCGCGGTTTGAACCAGCTGAGTCGGTTTCCAGTTGAGCTTCCTGAGCGAGCCCTTGTAAAGGCCCAGCCATGCCTCGTACGTGCGTTCCTTGGTCAAACGGTTGACCTTTGACATAGCTTTCCAAGTTGCATCTAAATCTGTGCTGGCAGGCGCGGTGCGTCCTGGTGTGATCGGTATGCTTGCGATTTCCTTCAAGAAGACGGTCTCAAAGGGAGCGAGGAGTAGGAATCCTTGGCCAGCCTTGCCAGCGCGCCCCGTACGGCCCACCCGATGGATATACTGCTCCTGCGAGGAAGGCATCCCGATCTGGAATACGTGGGTCACGTCCGGAAAGTCCATACCACGGGCCGTTACGTCGCTCGAACAAAGGAGAGCTGATTTGACCTCTCGGAACGTCTTGGCCACGTTGTCACGCTTCGATTGGGACAACCGCGAGTGAATCTCTAGCACCGGCAAAGGAAGAGGCGGGGAGAGTTTGGAGTAGAGTTCGGCGGCGAGCTGTGCTTGGCGAGCCGTTGGATAAAAGAAGATGGCTTTCACCTGGCCATTCGCCTTTTTGAGTTCTTGACGGAGGAGGGTGAGTGCAAGGGCAGGAAGCTCATTCAAAGGAGCTGTGATCACAGTCTGAGGAACTCGCTCGTGGGTGCTAACGTCATCGGGGGAGATTGTACTGATGTGAACATAACCTGGACTGAGGATGGTGGACGCGATGGTCTTCACTTCCGGCGGTATCGTGGCCGAGAACAGTAGAGTCTGTCTTTGAGAAGGTGGAAGAGTCTGCATGATGGCTCGAATCTCTGGGTAGAATCCCTGGTCCACGAGGTTATCCGCCTCGTCCAGTACCAGAAAGTCGAGTTTGCCAAAGCAGGCGAGGCGTTGTGGATCTGAGAGATGGTCCTTGAGGCGCCCTGGTGTCGCAACAAGCAGATCTGGGCGCGTGAGGATCACACGAGAGTCAGTATTGACGTTCGTGCCCCCGGTGGACGTATGTATGCGAATTTCTGGGATTCCCTTCGTCAGGACCTCGGCCTCCTTCGAAATTTGCCTGGCTAATTCTCTCGTAGGGGAGATGACGACAGCACGAATACTTCGGGGCTGGGACGGCGGAGAAGCGAGAAGAGTCTGGATAGCAGGGATGAGAAATGCGAGTGTCTTGCCCGTACCAGTTTTCGCCTGTGCAAGGCAGTCCTTACCCTGAAGGATAGGTTCCAGCGTGGCCGCCTGAACCGGTGACATGACCGTGTATCCCAGGTTTTTATTGACCGCGTCCATCATTTGTCGAGTCAAGATGCCTTGTGCATGCAAGTGAGCGAATTGGACATGCTCGCCATCTTTATTCGCGAAAGCCTGCGGAGGCGCAAGAATGGGATTTGATAATGCCTGAGCTTGCGTAGCAAAGGTTGCTGACGGTCCCTGCGATGTGTGCAGTGGGGCTGGTCCTTGTCCTCGAGCAGGGCGTCCACGTCCACGTCCGCGTCGAGGACGTCCTCTGTAGGGATGGGACATGGTCGAAAGGAGCAAACTCTGGAAGGATCGCGTCGCGCGAAAGAACGACATGGGTGCAGAGCTTGCGCACGTCCACAGTCGCGAGTCGTGTCATCACCGGCACCCTTTTTCATCACAACAATCCATCATGGCAAATTTGAATCTACCGGCACTGTTTCGTAGAGCTTTGAAGGACTTATCCAAGGCAGCATCACTACCTGTCGTAAAGGATGAGACCCAGGTACGCCCTACATGCCTCACTGTCTGACCGTCGGTTCATGCTAATGAATCAGGAACTCGTTCGTTCAGCCCGACGTGATCTGCAGGAAGTCATAAGCCGCGTAAATGCGCTTTCCTTGTTCAGTCCGAATGAATCTGTGGAAGACGTTTCTACGCGCGATCTCGTATATCTCTTCACGCCTTTCGCAGCCGCAGAAGCAGAAGGGAGAGTGCGAATGTCAGAGCCAGAGGAGAGAATTGAACGGATAATTGCTTCAAGAGTACGTTTACCTTGCACCATGCATGTGTATTCTTGAGTGACGGTCGTATCGTAGGGTTACCTTCAGACCTTCGTCGATCGCCTTCTCTCGTACGGTGTCATCCCCGAAGCAGAGCAGAAGTTGTATGGGGCTTCCTCTACTCAGGTCCAAGATGCCACTCGGAGAAGAGAAATGAAGATCAAGCAATACAAAGCCGAGAAGGAGCTGCGTGCACAAATCGAGGCGCGCTTTTCTTTGTGAAGTTTATTGGAATGCTCATGCTCAGACCTATTCAGGCTATTCGTAAACGTCGACGCCAGACACCTGTCGAAGAAGACGATTCGTCTGATTTGAACCTCATCGCATCGCTACTGCCTTCTTCTTCGGCTGTACCAGACGAAGATGGCGATGACACGGATGACGTCCTTCGACAAGCGACGCTTGCTCTCTTGCGGCTCATGTACACGCAAGCTCAATCCCAACTCGCAAGTCTCGAACAAGAACTGGCTCTACTTCGCTCTGCCCCGCCTCGACCGCCCACTGTGCCCGAGTCTAGCAGGAGCGACGACGCGAAGGATTGGCGCTTGGATATACCGACCGCGCCTCGAGACGGGCCTCTTCTTGATCCTAATGGAAAGGTAGATCCATCCGCCGTGGGAGTGGGGTTCTTCTGACCAACTAAACTTCCAACAGCCAATGCGCCCATTCACAATTTTGCCTGCTGGCGCATCCGATCGAGCCGAAGTGCAGTCCCAGGTTTTCCGACCAGATCATAGGCTACCAACAATGAGTATCGATGAGTATCTGGAGATTGAACGCCAACGTGGCAACATCATCACGGGCGGCGGGTGCGTCGAATGTTCTAACATAGACAGTACGATTCATTATTGATGCGTTATTCACGTAGGCCTGTTTCCATGGAACAACCTACGACATCTGAACAGCTAGCAATCGATGCGGAACAGGATGGCTCTGCGTTTGGAGCGCAGCGCGAAGAAGAGAAGCGCCAGAAGGACGAGAATTGGGCGCGATACACGGATGCAAACCCGCGTGGTGCAGGGAATAGCATGAACAGAGGCTGAACGTGGCAAGCAATGAAAGATGGGAAATAAGGAAACTCTAAAATGTATTTCATGGCTCGAATATGACGGCCTGAAGGATGCACCCTATACATCCAACTGGTAAAGATATTATAACAGATCCCACTCGCATGGATCGTCAGCGCGAAAATTCCGATTGATGCCTCCGGAACTTGCAAGAAGTTGCCGTAGCCGCGAGGCTGGTCAGTGATGTTATCGAAGGATTGTGTTCTCCAGTCTTCATACGAGCGTATCACCTTGCAACTCCTCAAACTTCCTTCTGGCAAGCTGAATGTTCATCTTCAATGCTGCAGTTTCTGTATGTTGCGTTTCAGTCTATCAACAGCTAGAAATCTCGCATCCAGGGCTGAACTGACCAATTGTTGGATCGTGCACGATTATAAGCACATACATATTCTTCGTCAACTCGTCCAGCACCGCAGTACATTCCGGAAACTCGAGCTCAAGGGAGCGGAACTCCTCTCTCACCCTTGCGCACGAGTGTTTGAAGGCTTTGATCAACTCCGAGGTTCGTTCGTATCGTGTGGGATCGAGAGCGTCACCGTGTGGATCCTCCGTGCTGTCTTCCAATCTAGGGGAGTCCTGAGTACCGGAGGAGGCTCCGGCGACTGGAGGGAGAATGGCGGACGTTGCGATGACCAGGAACGTCGTGCGCTCGAAGAGAATGACTTCAGTTGCACTGCAGGCTTCCGCGAATGTGGTGAGATGCTTGGACAGGACTGCAGCGTTGGGAATGAGAGCGTGCACTATCCGGGACCATGCCTGTATGTCATGTTCAGATCGGAGCCTGAATTGATGAATTTGAACGAAGCGCACCCTATACAAGCTTTCGTCGTGTATTGTCGTTCCAAACACCTGTATATCGAAATCCACCTTTTGTCGCTCGCCTTTTTGCCCCAGGAGCATCGCCTTCTGTTTCTCGAGAATCTTCTTGCGATCGCCTCTCACAAGATCCATCTTGTGTATCAACAGGAAGACGTTGGCTTCCGGGCTGTATTTGGCCAACGCATCGAGACAATCACGATAGTACTCCAGATCCTTCTCTCGGGATTTGCGCTCGGCATCAGTCTCTTTCGTCAGAGCGGCAACGTCAAACACGTAGATGAGCACGCCGACATGCGAGAATATGGTGGGGCGTTGTGCGGAGAGGTATGAGTCCATGAAGCCGTCTTGACCACCGCAGTCCCACAGGTTGAGGGTGAGGTCTCCGAGGAAGCGGACATGGTTTTGCTCGACGTCCATGGTGACTCCAAGGCGAGAGGTAAGGGATGCCGGATTGTTAGAGCTGTGCGTAGGTCATCGATATCATACGGATGCGCAAAGGGAAAAGGAGACGCACAATATCATGGACCGCATAGACGTCTTCCCGCTGCCAGAGGCACCCATGAGCAGGACCTTGCATCATGCATCTGTTAGTGAAGTCAGATTGAGTAGCGCTGCGTTTGATGAAATGCTCACCTTCTTCTTCATGGTGACTAGTGGCTTGGCCCCGGGCTGGTGGTGACCGAGGACGGACAAGAGTTGCACTAGACGCGACTTCCGCGACGCTCACCGCTCTACTTCGTACATTAACGTTTCTACTTTCAACTCAAGATTCGCAACCTCGGAGTCAGTTACGGATACTATATGTACATTGGCATTGCTCGGGAGTTACGTTGTACAAGTAGGCTGATTATAGTACAAAAACATGGTGTTGAATCCGATCTGGCATCCAGTCGCGCGATAACGTCATCACTTTTGTTCATCACCTTTGTTCTCGTCCTTGCCTTCCTCCTCAGGTGACTTCTTCTTCTGAATCTTCACGTACGCGTCGTCTCGCTCTCCAGCAGGAATCGCCTCGACGTCCCCACCGATCTACAGATATACAGATTTAGTAGTCTGTCACTGCAAAATTGATCAGACAACTGTACCTTGCCGGAGTTCTCGAAGTGCGCCTTGTCCCTCTCCTCACGGATGGCGGTGAGCTCGGCAGTCAGAAGTCCATGACCGGGCGCGGGACCCCAATAGGAAGTACCGGCCAGTGAACCAATGATGCTGGCAACCGATGCATTAGTGGTGGAACGCGTCGAGTTGGTCTTGAAGCTCTTACCAGGTGCCGACGAGGATCGAAAGGTAGAACCGATACTGAGAGTACCACTGGGGCGCTGCAGCTCGTGTGAGTATCAACAAGGCGTAATTTTGACGCAAGTCTCACTCCATCCAGCGTTCGTCGCCTGAAGATCGGCATACCACAAGCCCGTAAAGCCCACCCACTGTGTGATCAAGGCAGTAGTGGGCTCAAGTGCGAGCGTCGGCCAAGCATACAGGACTGGCGCGGCGCCCAATGCCAACCTCTTCCAACCTTGGTGGCCCCCATAGCCGGCGAACTCCATGCCCCAATGCAAGGCCCCAAGGAAGGAGAGCATGACGGCGCCGTACGTCACTTGGATGTTCATCGCCTGGTCCAAAATGGTCAGGGCAACTCCTGGGTCCACGTTCGACCCTAAGCCCAGCGCGGCAAGCCCAGCTTGGCGAGCAAGATACACCGTGGTTCCGGATGCTAGAATATACGGGATTCCACCTATCGGCCCGTCAATGATCCATGGACGTCATCGGCATTGTAAGGCGACATACCTGCGAGGCCGAAGGCGATGTAATCTTTTGGCACTGACTTGGCAACAGCAGACGTCACTCCGAGCTGGATAACACCGTCTTTAGCCAGTTTCCGAGTTCTTTGAGAACGGTACCCACGAAAGTCTGTTGCGTCGGCGCTACTGCGTCGCTGGTCATATTAGCACCTGCAATCGTCCTTGCGACATCGCTTGCTGAGTTTCCGAGCTCTTCTTTGACATTGGTAGCCGCGTGTGCAACAGTTTGCGACCCAGGGCGGCCGGAAACAGACGATGCTGCGCCTCTGACAAGAATGGGGCTAATAAATTTTGGTCGCAGCGGCTGGAAACGCGGGGCGCGAGCAGGCGCGCGTAAGGTGAAGGCCGAGCGACGGAGTGTCGCGCGCGATAATACTGAGCTGGAGACAGAGTTCATGGCGATGGGATGCAACCACTCGTCCTTGGTTCGTCTCGATCATATATGGTCCACTGACGCTGGAGTGCACCTATGATGTCATCGGCTTCACAGATCGGCAAACCGGATATATTTAGCATCGCGGTTGGTGCAGCCACTTGCGCGATCCAACCCAGTCGCCATGGATGACCGCTACGTGTCGACGTCAACCATGTACATCTCAATGCTTTCCCAGCGCCGACATTGTCATTGCTCGAGAAGTTACTTCCAACACGATGCAGCGAGTGATAATACCACCGGATGTTCTCTCGGTCGCGGTATCGCATTCTGCCTGCAAAATCAATCTGGCAGAGGCAAAGCAGCAGGACTTCGGAATCCGTTTTTACCGACGGCGCGAATCTAGGCGCTGATTCAGCTGGTGAATCGGCGAGCGGGACAACGATGAGCTCACCCCGAACACGACGTTATCCTTGGACTCCTCCACGGTCACTTTGCTGTCAAGGCCGACGGGGATGACGTTCTCCCAGAACGGTTGTATGGTCTCCCGCCAAAGTACTTCGTAGCCAGCGATGTTCGGATCATCGTCGACGACCCACGTCAGCGTCGAGTTGTTCGTCAGGACTGAATTATCGATGGTGGCATTTTTTGGGGTGCCTAAAGTACTAATCAATGCCTGAACATGTCGTATCAACATCGAGAGTCGCACCTGGAGCAGAGGCAAGCGAGAAAATCGCCACGCCATTGACCTTGGCGACTCGATTGATGAAGTCAAAGTCACAGAACTCTATCAAGTCACCAAACTGTTCACCAGTCGTAGGGTCCACTCGAACGTCCTGGAGAGCCCATGAGCTAGGGGTTGCTACGGGTTCTGCCACGAACCTGATGCTGGTGCGCGAAGTTCTCATGGGGCTCCGTGAAGCGCGCGGCCGGGTAGCCTCGTTGCAAGAACGGCTCGTGATCACCACCACGGAGGAAACGATCCAGACGATACACCACACGTACTGAGATACATGGGAACCATTAGCTTAGTCTGGAGATGTAATACGATACAAGCACACACCTTTCATATCGGTAAAGGTGTTCGTCGCAACCTCGTGTACGAATCGGCCCAATTCTCGAGCCGGCGAGTCGTTTTCTCCGCCGATCTGTTCGAGCGTTGACTGAACGGAGGCAGACGCGAAGGTGGGCACGCCCTGCGCGAAAAGACGAATGCTGTTCGGGTCGCGCACTCCGTTGTCCGCCTTCGACGAGCCGACGATGTCGTTTGTGAACATGCCTTGGACGTCGGCTCCCTCATCCTGGAGCACCTGTGCTAGGTGGTCCGATCCAAGAAGCCCTTGCTCTTCACCGGCAACGGCGGCAAATATCATGGTGGCCGACGGTGGCGGCTGCATCTCATCCATCAGTTCAGCCTTCCTGCATGGTACAGGGGCTGACATACGTGCTGAGAGAAAATACGAGCCAATTCCATGATCACGGCAACACCGGAGGCATCGTCATCAGCGCCAGGCGCATCGTCCACGTTGTTGAGAATACTGGTAACCCGAGAGTCGTAGTGGCCAGTCACCACATATATTCGATTTGTTTTCGACGTGCCCTCGATACGAAGCGCCACGTCCGTGATAGGTGTAGCGTTGACGAATAAACCAGCAACGGGGGCTTGAATGTACGACGGTAGCGAGACGGTCACGTTGGATCCCTTGAATGCATTGGCCGCAAAGCCTCGCATCTGAGACGCAATCCAGTCCCTCGCAGCGCCTGGACGGTTCATTGGTAAGATTGAACCGGTTATGAGTCCATCACTCACCAATACCGCGCACGGGATCCGTCTGACTCGACGCCGTGTGGCGGGTGCCGAAGGACACGAGCTTTTGAATAATAGACTCGATGTTTGAGGTGCTAACTTGGTTCAACATACTTCGAAGCTGAGAGGAAACTTGCTGCGGTTGCAGCGCAATGCCAGGGCCCGTGGGCCAGGCGTCGTTGATCGTGCATTGGCGAGGATATAGCTGCACATTGCGCTCTTCGAACCGGTCAGCACGAGCAGAGGAAACGACCAACAAGAGCCCAAGTAAGCCAAACTTCATCGCAGAAAAATTGGGGGGTGAGGCTCTGAAAGTCGGCTCAGCATCGACCGCCCTTTTATCAAAGATCGGATATCTGCCCGAAATTATGCGCGCTGCTCGCGGATACAGAGTGGGCATCAACCATGAGGCCATGTGTCGACATGAATAGACATAGACCGACGGAGCTCCAGCTAGGATCATGTGTTGTGGTGCTATGCCCAGACGTCAGGAGGGAACCATCTTCCACCTCCTGTCTTCGCAACAGGGTCAATCAACACTCTTCTGCATTTTGCAACGGAAGAATATGATTCAAAATCGCATTGGCCCTCGCTCATACGAGTGCATCTGTGGCAGCAGGAGTATATCAGGGAGACTCGGAAGCTGGAATCTCTGGGAGCAGCAGCAAGGAAGCAGGATAGTTAGATAGAAGGTCGCCAAAGTTCCAAACGAAGTCGGTCGTGAGTATGCAGGGTCCGTAGCAGTCCATGATCCCAGACGAAGCATAAGGGCCAGCCGTAAAGATGGCGCCTTCTTGACAAGATTGCTTGAGAAAATCGCGAAGCACGGTCACACACCTGAACTGCGCACGGTTGACCTAACACCAAAAACGCTGCTTACTAACTTCTATACGCCTGTGAACAATAATCGGTCGAACGAGGAAAACTGCATGCTCGAGAAAAAGTCGGGCCTGACCACGCCGTCATCGCGTTGATTGTCGTGCTTTGAATACATTGGCATTTATATGTGTACTTCTTGCTATATGCTGCTCGTCTTCTTCCAAATTCTCTACGGCATAACGTTGATTGCGATCCCACGAGAAAGGCCCATATTTGATCGTAATAGTCGCCGAATGGGACACTCTACAATTCCGTTCCCAACCTGTGGTGACAAAACGCGAAAAATCAATGATTAGCAAGGTGTACTCGAATGCTGACATGTATAGGTTTATCGGGAAGATAGAAGAGGCACCGCGAAAGCCGCTACAAGGGACGTGACAATGATGAGTATAACAGTGCTGGTCTTCGCAAGGGTCGGTGCCTCCGTAGAGGATGGCTGTTGCGGTGACGTAGAACGAAGTGAAGAAGTAGGGTACGAAGGCACTCGCTGCGTGACAAGATGTACATACCCGATCGACTTTAGACCGTGCACACTGGAGAACAAAGTTAGTGAGGCACATCAACAGTAATGGCGAGAATGACTTACTAGTAGCCGTTGATATTTTGGGTAATCTCGTCCTCCATGCCGATGGGAACGCCGGCGAGCGACCACATCACCTTCGTCGAATCGGAGGATTGGTCCAACGTCGTGGTCAAGGTCGCTTGGTGGCCCGAGGGCCATGAGGGATTTGAAAGCGCCCAAGTCTGCACAATCTCCTTGCTAGGCGTGAGCGAGACATATTTGCCCTTTACCCCTCCACCAAACAGGGAATATTCGGTGTCCGGCTTGCCGCCAGAAACGGCAGGAGCCCGAGTCCACTGGGGAATGCGTTTCTCATCCGTGAAGAGGGAGAATAACTCGTCTGCAGGGGCAGCGAATGTGGCTTCGACCGTGACAGTCGTGGTGTTCGTCTTTTTCGCCTTGGGGGCAGCTGGTTTCGCAGGAGCGACAGAGTACGAAGGAGTAGTTGATGCAGCAGTAGCAGGTCCGGAGGACACGGGCGTAGATGAGCCAGAAGCAGACGGAGTACCGACTTGAAGATCCTTGCCGTGCGTCTCAAGCATGGCGACAGGGAACTCGGCGAATTTAGCCTCCAGCGCCGCAGGAAGACGAGTCTTCGCCAGTTTGTACAGCGCATCGACGGTAGGCGAGGATGCTGTCGTAAGAGACCATTCGTACTGCGCGCACCTAACGGTCAGCGGGATGCGTGGAATGGGTGCCTATAAGAGATTGCCTGCTCACCGTATAGTCCGACAGGCCATCGAGAGTTACTTCATGGGACACCTCAGGAATGGTCAAGCGGCCCTTGACCTCGGTACCGTCCGAAGCAGTTCCCGCCCATTCAAGCCGGATCTTGCAGTCATAGATGGTGAGCAACCTAACACGTAGAGATCAACACACCAGCCAGCAGCCAATGTATAGCTCAACCGTGATTACTCACTTTGACTTGCGCTGGCCAATCTCAACGTCACCATCCACCTCCGTAACCTCTGACACGCCAACCGTCTCGTCGCCCTCGCCTTGGACGGAGATGGCGGTCAACTCGCGTTCAAACCATGACTTGGCCCATGGTCCAACGTTCTTGTTCTTCCAGTGCCAGTTAGCGGTGCTCGGAGGCAAAGCCATGGTGTTCCTACGTCGCTAGTGGGGTGAATCAGAGTTTCAGAGTGCAGCCAAGTGCGACCTTCGAGTTCGTGCTGAAGTTGTTGAAGCCATAACCCGTGGCATTTGAAAAGGTCGTGGGGTAAGCACTCCAGAACATTCCAGGGAATTCCCTTCGACAAAATCCCTACTCGACGCCGACGGCGCAAGCGGCAACTGGTATGTTCCAAGACATAGCACGTATCGGACATCGATCGGATTGCGTAGAGTATACGATAGATGGAACAGAGACGTTGAAACGAGCGTGATCCCGACATAATAAAAGAAGAAAATGCAAAACTTTAATACCCTTGACTATCCGGTTCCGACGGGTAAAAAAATGCGAAGGACAGAAAAACAGGCGCGTGTGCGCTCAAGTAGTCCGAGCAAGGGGTATGAGTGAGCGGACTCGTACACAAGACGGCGCGAAGGGGCAATATGGCGGTCACTTGATCAGTAACGACCTAACGCTCCGCATTCGGACGCGGGTTGGCGGCGTCCTTAAGCGCGAGAAGCTGCTTGGAACGGAACGCCTCGTAGTGGATCTGCGCGGTGGTCTCGATGAGATCCTGCAGGTGTGTCCTTGTAAGGAAGTTGCGGAGGTGCATGAATTCGCAGTGCGTTTCGTCCTCGACGTTGACGACGCCCCAACGGTTCTTGCGGCCACGGACGGACTTGCCGTCAATGATCACGGTCCGCTCTGAACCCACGACGGCGAACGGGATCATGCTCTGCGTACTCTTGTAAGCAACATCGATATATGAATGGTAGATGAGACCGTACCCGGATGCTTTCGTTGAGCTGGATTTCCTCCTCGTCATTTTCGTCTGTGTCGAACGGGTAGAGACGAATGTTGTGGTGAACCAGCTCGGCGCGGATCTGCACGGTTATTCAGCCCCCGGCCGTTCTAGCGCGGCCATATGCGTACCTTCTGCTTGAAAGCTTCGCGCTCCTCGAGGGTCAAACTGTCCGACTTCGCAATGACGGGAACAACATTGACAACCTCGCTAAGCTTTTTCATGACGATCACGTCGATAGGACGAAGGGAGTGGCCGGTCGGGTTGATGAAGTATAAGCAGCAGTGAATGCGCGTGTCTTGAATATGGCGGTCCCGCATAGCCGTGAGCTCCTTACGAAGGTAGGCGCTGTGCTGGTCCTTGATGTACTTGATTATAGGGTCCCAGCTAAACACGTATGAGCGGTGTGAGCACTATCAGCGATGCAGGCGGAATTACCAGTTTTCGTTGTTGATTTGGTCGCCATACCCAGGGGTGTCGACGATGTTCAAACGCAGCTTGACACCGTTCTCAACGATGACTGGCGCAGAAGGTTAAAATTTTGAGGTGGACTACATTCATAGACGCTCACCATGCGACGCGACCTGGATCTCCGTCGTCTGCCTTACCGGCTCGTCCGCCTCCAGTCGGCCCTTGGAGTCGATTAAGTGCGACGCGAAGATGGTGTTTACCATCGTCGACTTTCCGAGGCCGGTTTGCCCTGCATCGAATTGCGTTGGTCTACGCGCGTCGCATGAACGCTGGCAGCTTGGAGGTACGCACCGACGACAATGACATTGAATTGGAAGCCGCGCTTGAGCAGCTTGTGCTCAATCTGACGGGTAATAGAGTCAAAGCCAACATAAGCGTCAGCGCGAATTTCGTCAACGGGAGCGGCGGCCATTTTGTGCAGAATGAGCGGACGACGACGACAACAGCGGCGGGCGAAGGTCTCTTGGGCGGCAACCACGGTCAGTGCTGCACGTGGCAAGGATGTTCAAATTTGGGAATTACCGCAAGCAAATTGGACCCGAGTCTGGATGAAGCAGGGTTAGGGTCACAGCACGGCCACTGCACAGCCATCAAATTCGCGCCGGGGTTCTCGAGCAACGACTCGGTTAGTATACTGCGCCCGTCGCGGGGATCGCTTACGAGGGAGATAACACACAAAGACAGCAGCACGGTGAACGCAGTCGTATCAAAGCATCGCTGCGAGGAAATATCACGGCGGAAAGCCAAGTGCACTGCTTACTTCCGAACATTGAGTCAGCATCTGTTCCGCGCGCTGATGTCAGCCCGTCATTGGGCCGAGCGCATCCGCCAGACACGGCGCGAGTATCCTTGGGTCCGGGTTTCCCTCGCATGTTCCCTGCCTCGCCCCGCCGACGACACCATTGCTAAACGCCCGCACCATGGCGCTCAGTCGAGCTGCTGGATGGTACAGCAAGGTCGCTGACTTCGATCTTGCCGACCTCTTCACCAAGAAACGCCAACCAGGCCCGCCCAGAAAGGTCTTCGTGAACGAGTCGCTACCGGAGGACTACTATGACCAGAAGGGCAGGATAAAGAAGGAGCACGTCTACGTATCCAACCAGGTCATAACTTCCAAGTACACCATCATCACCTTCCTCCCGCGAAACCTGCTCGAACAGTTCCGGCGTGTCGCCAATGTGTAAGTTGCTCACGAGATAACACCGTTCATCCGCGATACTCAACCTGTGCATGGTCTAGCTTTTTCCTGGGCATTAACATCCTTCAATTCTTCCCCAAGTTCTCCACGATCAGCCCCGGGCTTGTCATGCTCCCACTCATCATCGTTCTCCTCATAACCGCCCTTAAGGACGGGTATGAAGATATCAAGCGGCACCAATCGGATAATCGCGTGAACCGCTCTCAAGTGCGAGTGCTGTATGCGGATGGATGGGAGAACTCGAACGCGATGGCGCCGAAAACGAAGACGTTCATCCGGGGAGTCGTGCCAAAACGCCTTCGTCGTGCAGTCGTACGGGCGAATCACAACCCCAGCCCCGACGATGCCGATGGACGCAAGGCTGCCGAGAATCTACATCAGGCGGCACCTCCCGAGGCAACGGGGGCACCAAGCATGTTTGATCCCGTCAACGAGGATGCCTCGGAACGCGAGTACGACGACGACGAGAATGAGCTCGTCACTGAACACGGTCTCTTCCATCACGACCACGTCAAAAAGCCTCATTGGAAGAACACCGCTTGGGAAGACGTCCGCGTCGGCGACATTGTGAAAATCATGAACGACGAGCCGATCCCTGCCGACGTTCTGATCTGCGCCACATCGGAGGATGAGAACGTTGCCTACGTCGAGACGAAGAACCTGGACGGAGAGACGAACCTCAAGTCACGGAATGCTGTACCCTCTCTGACGCACATGCGAACCGCGGCAGCTTGCGTCGACGCTAAGACTAATCACTTCCACGTTGAATGCGATCGACCTGATGTCAACATGTACAAGTTCAACGCGGCGGTTGTCCAAGGAGAAGAAAAGTCGCCTGTGGAACTACAGATGACGCTGCTCCGTGGAACAGTTCTGCGCAATACTGCCTGGGTCATCGGCGTTGTTCTCTTCACTGGTGAGGACACGAAGATTGTACTGAACTCCGGCGGCACCCCCAGTAAGCGCAGTAAGGTCGAGCGTCTCATGAATCCTCAGGTGTATGTTGCCAGATTTATCCTCAATACCGAAGCTCTCGCTGACCCTGCTTCATTAGGTTCATCAACCTGTTGCTTCTTGCCATCATGGCTGTGGCCTGCGCTGTCGTCGACTCGGTGCTGGAGCTACATTACTACCCGCTTATGGCCCCCTGGCTCTTTGACGATAATCGGTCGGGCGACAATCCGCATATCAACGGTTTGATCACCTTCGCCTTTGCACTCATCACATTCCAGAACATCATTCCTATATCGCTTTACATCTCCATAGAAGGCGTGCGTACGGTCCAGGCCGCATTCATCTATTTCGACAAGGAGATATGGTATGAGAAGACTGATCGCGCTACGCTCGCTCGCAGCTGGAACCTCTCCGATGACCTGGGACAGATCGAATACATCTTCTCGGACAAGACGGGCACGCTGACGCAGAACTCCATGCTTTTCCGCCAGTGCTCGATTGGTGGCCGGGCTTACCGCGGCGACCCTGAGAATGAGGAACCGGCCGCAGTTCCCGTGAAACCGGACCCTACAAAGCTGTCCGATGCGGAGAGTGATTCGGTTCCCTCTGGATCTACGAGAGTACCGTCGGACAATCCGACGCCTAACCCCGCCTCTTCAGAGGTGAAGCTTTCCGCCGGCGTTCTGCGACACTTCAAGGACTCCCACCTCTCGAGTGATATCGAGAAGGCCCGTGACGGCGACCACGAGGACCTCCAGTTCTCTCGTTCACTGAACGGTTTCTTCTCTGTCCTCGCTCTCTGTCACACCGTCCTCGCCGCGATAGACCCCCACACACACTCCATTGAATACAAGGCTCAATCGCCCGACGAGGCCGCGCTCGTACAAGCCGCTGCCGACATGGGATTTGTTTTCCGTGGGCGTGACAGGGAGATACTCATGCTCAAAACCCCGTTCTCGGACGAGGTGGAACGTTACGAATTATTGAACATCCTCGAGTTCACGAGTGCGCGCAAACGCATGAGCATCGTCGTGCGAAAGTTGGACGACCAGGACGGCAGGCTCTTCTTGCTCAGCAAGGGCGCGGACAACATAATATTCGAAAGGCTCAAGCCTGGTGAGAACGAGGAGTTGAAGAAAACTACGGAGAATCACCTCGACGAGTTTGCCAACGAAGGCCTGCGGACATTAACCTTGGCTTACAAGGTCATTCCAGGTAAGTTTGCACATTTTGACAGCGCCCTGCGGCCGACTTATCATCGATTATCAATCGCAGAGGAGTACTACGACGAGTGGAGTGTCCGCTACCACGAAGCCACTGTTTCTCTCGACGATCGTGAGGCCAAGATTGAAGCTGTATCTTCCGAAATCGAGCAGGATCTTCGACTACTTGGAGCCACTGCTATTGAAGATCGTCTTCAGGACGGTGTCCCAGAATGCATTGCCGACTTGAAGCGTGCCGGCATCAAGATTTGGGTTGCCACGGGCGACAAACTAGAAACTGCCATTGCTATCGGGCACAGTACTAACCTCATTGGTCGCGACTCCAACATAATCATTGTTAGAGGCAATTCGGAGACCGGGAAACCGGTGCACGAACAAATGGTCGCGGCGATAGAGGAATTCTTCCCGGAGAGCGAGGCCATGCAAGACGAGCACGTTCTGACTGTGAAGCAGCAGCATTTATCTGGCGATGGACTGAGGCTCGCAAGGGTTAACACAGGCATGTCCTCGGTCGTGGGGCAAGACAACGGCAACCGGCCTGGGGGTTTCGTCTTGGTTGTGGACGGCGCGGCATTGACACAGGCAAGTTGTGTGCACTGCGCTATATCAAAACATCTACTGAACGACTTGCAGGCCTTCTCTACCGAAGAGAACAAGCACATTTTGCTGAAATTGGCCATGATGTGTGAGGGTGTTATCTGCTGCCGCGTATCACCTTTGCAGAAAGCTTTGGTCGTCAAGCTGGTCAAAGACGGTGTGGGCGCCATGACTTTGGCTATTGGCGACGGCGCCAACGATGTTAGCATGATCCAGGTATTTGCAGCGCGTCTTTGTTCAGATCCATAGCTCACCCCACTGCGCAGGCTGCTCATGTAGGAGTGGGCATATCTGGCGAGGAAGGACTGCAAGCTGTCAACTCTTCGGACTATGCCATCGCTCAGGTCAGAGATATCTCGAGAATTTCGTAGTGCGGGTCCTGACGAGTGGCCTAGTTCCGCTTCCTTCGACGCCTTCTACTAGTTCATGGCCACTGGTCGTATGCACGCAACGGCACTATGTTAGTTCGTTTGTGATTGAATACTTGGCTCCCCTAACCTTCTCTTCAGGATTGTCAACTTCTTCTACAAGAATGTTGTGTGTATCGGCGTTCTTTGGTGGTTCCAGATTTACAACGGTTGGAGTGCTTCCTAGTGAGTAATGCCTTCGCCAGCACAGCAGGGGTATACTCATCATTTTATTAGCGTAATGGAATACACGTACCTTCTTTTCTGGAACTCGTTCTGGACAATCGCGCCGGTTATTGGCCTGGGCCTGTTCGATCGGTTCCTCGGTGGGTGTGAAGTGCCTCCTGTATCGTTTCTGTCGCTGATAGGCTCTCCCAGACGACGACGTGCTCATCGCTTTACCCGAGCTGTATAAATTCGGACGGGAAGGTACCTGGTTTGGCACGAAATTATTCTTGATCTATATCGCAGACGCCATTTACCAAGTATGCTGCTACTTGAACCTGATATCATACACGGTGCTGACCCTCTTACAGTCTGTTGTCATCTTTTTCTTCATTCTGTATGCCTACAAGCAACCGACCGCGCGCCCAGATGGTTACGACGTTTATCTGTATGAATTCTCCACCGTACGTTACGCTTTTTGCCGCCAGCATCAAATCGCTCATGAATTATCTCATCAGACTATGGTTATATCTGCCGTCGCCGCTGCCGATTTGTTCGTCGGTTTGAACACCTTCGCCTGGACGGGGTGGGTCTTCTTCGCCGTCTTCATCGGTATCTTACTGGTTTGGGTCTACACTGTGCGTAAAACTTCTGCGCAGATCACAGCTTAAGTTGACTGGTCTTTAGGCTGTGTATTCGGTGATCTCTCCTGGCTGGTTCTACACTCCAGTCTACGGAAACGACCACTTCCTCTTCACCTCGGCCTATTTCTGGTTCGGCGTGATCTTGACACTCTTCCTTGCCATGCTCCCGCGATACCTTTTCAAGGCATACAAGGCTGTTTATGACCCCACCGACCTCGATATCATGCGATACAATCGCAAATACGAGTCTGCGGCACAGATCAAGAAAGAAGCGCACCAGGAAGTTCATCCTCTACAAAATCTGCGCAGGAATTCGTATCATTCGAGCGTCAACGGGCCTTCTCCAATAAGACCCTCAGTGGATGCTCGCCTTGGCAGTCGGACCGACATGTCGACGGGCATGCGATCCGTACATCGCGGCTTCGACTTCGCCACCGAGGAGGACGGAGTCGCAATGCGCCGTATTCAGACTAATCTGTCCGAGCGGCGGCAAAGCAATCTCAATCTGCCTGCCACCCAACGGCGGAAAAAGAAAGGGCCTCTACTTTCTATGCGCAGGACAATACGCAGGAAACGAGAGGACATGCAAGATTAGATGGAGACCGTGGCTACCATCTGTCATGACCCGAATACGCGGCGACCTCATCCATTTGTATCAACCACCCAGCAGCTGATATTTATGATGGCTCATTGACGACTTAGCATATACTGCATACATGTACATCAGTAGCTCCAGTGCCTCTAATACAACGGCGAGAAAATGTCTCGATAAATTAGTCCTAAATAAAACGTCCACGTTATATCCCTCAAAATCGATGAAGCCATCAACTTTGAGGGGGCAAACCGTCTTCAGTAGTGTCTAACTTGATTAGTGCGACTCCCGCCTCAGGGAATCCCTGTTTGACGCGCTTTTTGCGACTCGGGGATTCACTCACTCCAGTAACATCTCTGGAGCGTTTGAAGGTACGGAGTATGTTGGCCCTGGCAGGCGCGGGTATCTGATGTATTCGCATGGGCGGGGGAACGGAATGAGCCATGATGCTCTGGCCATCCGGAGCCGGCATTTGATGTACTTTCATCCCGTCCTCTTCAGGCTTTGCAGTCGACAACGGCTTATTCCGCAGCTTCTTGTTCTTGTTGACATCGCGAAGTGCTTTGATCTTTGATTGGCTCTGTCCGTACTCCGCAACTCGGCACAAATCCACAGAAAGGCCTGCACGAATAAGGATGTCAATCCAAACCTAGAGACGCCTACAGTCAGTCGTGTCCCCGTCCACGAGCCCAAAATCCAACCTTCTGGTTCTCCTTCAATGTGTCACCAGGACCTTTCACCTCGACGAACTTGCATACGCGCTGAGCGCTGTGCCATAGAAAAAGATCCGGTAGACCAGAGACTCTCCGTTCGTAATCTTCGCAGAACAGTTCGCAGATAATCGCTAAAGCCTCGCCACTGATGCACTACATCCGCGAAAAACAAATGAGTATCGAAGGGAACGCTGCAAGTAAGCATCTAGTGCCTACGCGGACAATCTCCAGAAGATCTTCCTTTGTGCACAAGTCCCAACGAACGCCAACGCACCACGTAGATTTTGCGCGGTGTTCATCATCTACACGTCCCAATATCTCCTCCGCCTTGTTCTCCTTCAATTCGATCAGACGAGTCCTGATTGGGCCGAAACGAGCGCGGTAGAAGCTATCTTCGCCAATGTCCAGAGGCGCAGATTGATATGCTGTTTCGAACGCGCCCGGTATTGGTGCGAATATGATATCCCAGAACAGAAGACCAAACAGAGTAGTGATGATCCTGCCCTCGCAATGGAAGCTGCGAATGATACGTAAATTGGAAGCCAAAGTGGGGACTTCGTGGACAAACCCTTTGTACCCCGCCTTCTCGTAATGCTGTAGGGCCAGCATCTCAACGCTAATCTCTTCGTTACCGCGCCCGACCCAAACAGATTTTCCCGTCCAGAACTTGAACTACAACAGATTAGCAAGCAGTTGACGCCATAACTATGTGTCTCACCTGGTCTACCGTAGGTATACTCTCCGAACCGCTACCATTGGCTGTCTTGGACAGGGATAACTCACCATCCCTTTTCCCAGGAGTGCTAGGAGCTAAACGAGTCTGATGTAGAGGCGGCACTGTATATCCCGGATTGATGCTTGTCGGCCTCTCCCAGACTCGTTTTCCCTCTACTTCAACCGTGACTGCTTGTTGCTGCTTGCCGTCACAGGACTGCCGATCGTCTTCAGGTATGTTGAGCCTCTTCTGCAGTGTGGCTAGTCGACGTTGGAGGCCCGGCCGATAGGCTGAAAATGCAGCAACACTAAGAAGAGTCACAAAGGCAGCTTACTGAATGACCTACTACTATGCGTCAGTTCATCTTCGAGACCCGCAACTACAGCGTCCAATGCGAGCTGTCGGATCTCACGAGAATGCTTCTTCGGATGATGCGTCATTAGAATGAGGGCTTTGCGATCGTGCCATCGGCCTCGACGACCGGGCCTCCATCGTGTTTGGGACAAAAGCTTGTCCAGGATGCCGATTTGAGTGTCGTATTCCTTGAGAACACCCAGGGCATCGACACCCTTACACAGTATACGAGTGTAGACGTGGCCTATGCACACCACGTCAATGGGAATCGATGCAGGGCTGAGATATGCGCACCGCATTCGAATCGTTCCAAGCCTCTCGCACGGGTCTCTTCTTTGCTCTTGACGGAAATCATATGAAGCCACTTCTCAAGCACATTCACGGCGATAACTTTCACTTCCTTGGCAATTTGTTCACGGGCAGTGAGGTCATCGCGGGTTTCTTCATGATCATCAGCCTGCCTATCACGGCCCTGTATCACATTGATATGGTTCTCCTTCTCTGGACAGTCATCCCGTTCCGATGGTCCAGGAGTCCTAACAGGTGCCGAATTGCTCCTCCTGATAGCCTTGACCACTGACGCAGGGCTAGACACGCTCAGGCTGGTGTGCTGTCGCACGGGTGTCTTTGGGTCGCGTGAGAACCTGCTGGATACGGACTGTGCCCGCTTGGATTGTTTTGGAGAGCATCCGCTAAGAAGCTCATCTACAAGGGCTTCAAGCTCGAGCGCGTCTTCGTAGTCAAGGAGTGCCTCTTTGGTTGGCCAGATATCCGGCGTTCGTTGTATCGAAGCGACAGCATCGCTGGCACCGTACGAGCGCTTCTTCGAGCGTACCAACACCCCTGGCGTGAGCTTATCCGTCTCAAATCTCGTGCTTGCTCCACATCAGCCTGCTATCTCGCATTTCGATAGTAGTCCAACATACCTCCTGAAATATACAAGGTGCACTCGCCGGAACAAGCGGCAAACGTCATCATTTATGCGAACGCAACGACCTAGTCAAAAAGTCCCTTAATAGCCGCATTCGAGTATTAAGCGAGGCGACCACATACCCAGTAATTTAACAAGCATTTCGTGAAGGCGCTCCAGCTGTGACCGTCTGGGTACTAGAGTAGGTCGGCTCTGCTGGTGCAAGTTGCTAGTGGCGCCTTTCCTGGGTGACTCTGCAGTTATGAACGGCAAGGTAGATTGCTTCGACGCGCTGGCCAAGATCAACTGCTTGATATGTTCGCGCTGAAGATAAGAAAGTGAGTACAAGGGGAGCTCGTGTCCGGTGGCCGACGTCACGCACCGCTCCTAGAGCCTTCACCTTCATCTGCTTGGCAATCTTGTTGAGTTCCTCAACGGTAAGGCAATCGAGTAATTCCTCCGTGCTAGCATCTGATTCGTCGGACGCTAGTCTGAGTAAGGGGAGAGCTTGTGGTTCTCGACGAGATGAACTCGATGCATGAGAGCCCGTGTCAGAAGCTTCGTCGTCCAGAGTCAAATCAATTATCTCCGTCCCGTCTTCCATCCTGGTCACTGGCGTCGGCTCAAGAAACTGCTCTTGGCGTTCACAAATAGTTGAGATTGAATGGTCCATGGAGATGAAATCATGCGGGTAACGGCTCATTTCCTTCTCGAACTTCTTAAGACTGTCCAGACGATGCCATTTTCCGTCTTTGCGTAACCATAACCGAATGAAGAGATATTGGTCGGGATCTGCGTTTAAACAGCGGTAAGATCGATTAGCATGGGTTGGGTTGTGGCAGGCTGCAGCTCACAGCTCAATCTACGAAATTTGTCTAAAAATCCATGTTCTTCAGGAGAGAACAAATGATTCTCGTGCTCAAGAACCGTTTCCAGCATTTCTGGAGCGCGAGTCAACCCATGAGAGGACACAGAAGAACAACCATGCGCACCGTAGAACAATTCCCAATACATAGACCGCGTGAAGGTCGTCCTTCGTGTTCCCTTCATAGGTTCCTCTTCAGCAACATCATGTAACTGCTCCTCAAGGACGTCTATTTCGGTTTCTGCATCTTGAGGAACGTGCTGAGACAGAGGTTCGTCGCCTGCCCAGTACACAAGTTTTTGCCTTGAAGCGATGTTTCCAAGAACCATGTTAAGCAAGATGGTGATGGCTATGAAACCAGAGGCAAACTTGTAGATATCGTAGCGACGTAGTAGCCAAATGTTCAACCCAGCGATGCGCCCCTGTTGCGAACTGGCGCGAGACGACTATGTACTTAGCGCCCTCTCACGCAGCACTCACACGTTACCCGACGTACGCGTTACGCGTCGTGTCGTATTCGGTCCCCAACCGCGACTTCGCGCGGTCACGCAAATCGGAATGATCTGGATACCCTCCGGGAATGCGAGTCGGGAAACGTTCATCTACATGACTCCACCCGACGAATGAAAAACTGCCTGAAATCAATCCGCAAATCGCACGCTTCTCAACTTCTTCGGAGGAGAGTGGTGATCCATGCTACGGTCCATGCTACTCGATGCTTGCAAGTGATCTTCCGCCGATCGCGCTCCATCCGTAGGTATGTCGGACACGAAAACACTCTCGTGACTCACTCCTCCCGAGTCTCCTGGACGGTTCGCAGCGGAACCTTGAGATATGGGCAAAAGCGGAATATCTAATCCTAGCATCCCGGTCGTGGAGCACGGATGAAGGAATGTCGGGTTCTGGTCAGTGGTCAGAACGTTGCTCATGGTTGCATCTGGAGAATGGTACAGACAGCGATGAAGTCCCGTACGCCCTTTTCCTTTAGAAACTCGGGTGACTTGTTCGTGCTTACTGCGAACTGCTCCTTCAACGTGTTGCGTCGATTGACCATGTACTCTTCGGATGTTCCACGGATGGCAAGTGTCTTCACATTTACTGGGCGTGTTTGCCCAATACGGTGCGCTCGCTTTCCACCAACAATCAGATCTGTGATTGGCGCGCGAATGAAATCGTATACTTGCCTTGATTGCTTGAGTTTCGACGTCAGCCTCCCACACCGGCTCGCAGAAGAGGACACGGGACGCCGTGACCATATTCCTGCAAGCAGCGTATGAGTATGACAGCAAGGAATTGTTCGCTGTACCTACAATCCACGGGCCCCGTGTTTGAGCTCCATTAAGAATACGCTGAGAAACGGCGTAATCAGGGCGCGTAATGGTACAGAATGGAGTCTAACGGCTCACCGGTATACGTCGGATGTCTCAAATGTGAGCACAAGTTGTTCTCGCATCCTAACACTGACCCTTGTGGATTGGAGGTATTTGATACCAGAAAGGTCAAGACCCTCCGCTACATGAGCAAGGGTCAGAGGGCTTTTGGAGAATATCAGAAACTTCTCGGTCGGTGCATGACGCAAAACCTGTAAAATCAATTCGGTTGGTTGTCTCGTACCATGTACCAGGATCAAATTCATACCTCTCTAAGAATGTAGTTCTGCTTGGAAGAACCAGATGATCCAATGCGGACATTGGCCAGTGGTGAGGAGGCAAGAAAACTGAGAGAGGGGGTATTTGGCGTGGTTATCGATGATTTGTCCTCGAGGGGCACAGAACCAGAAGGATGCTGGCTTTCATGCGTGCTGACAACCTGGAGCCGCGCTTGGGCAATAAGGTATTCCTTTCGAAGCTCCTCGATTCTCTCCCTCACGATTGTTTTCTTCGCCGACTCCCTGGCCCTGCCTATTACACGACCTGCATCATCCTCTTCACGCCTCCGCTTCCCCCCCTTCCGCATGAGCTGATTGAGTTCATGAAGTTGATGCTGGCGAGCATCAGCTTCGCATACCGCCGAGCCTTGGTTGCATATTCGCTCCTTCGATGCAAGTGGCTGCGCAACGACAAACTCTCGCATCTTCTCAAGTCGGTCTGGGTGCATGTACGCAACAATATGGTCATCCTCGGCGCCGCTATCCCGGGGACGTGACAGGCCGTAAACTTGTGAGCGAGTCCAGTGGGCGAATATTGTCCTGTCGATATTGCGGACTTCGTACGGTAGATCGATGCAGTCCTGTGATGCTCGCCATATGCCGTCTTTCATTGCCTCTTGTCTACGTCAAGTTCATGAGCTGTTAGACTGTACTGCCTATGTGAACATACAGATGATGGAACGCAGATTTTAGCAGCAAATGGTCGTCTTCAGGTCGGTTTCGCTGAACAGCGTTGGAAAGAGTCTTGTCTGACTTCTGCAGAGCATCTCGAACCTGCTCCAGGAGCTCATCGTCTGTTCTCCAGAACAGAGTCCTGACGTTACATGAGTGCCAGGGAGCAACAGAAGCCCAGCAGATCATTGCTCACTGACTGATGTTCTCCACGATCTGCAGGAGAGTACGGGTATTCTGGAGGGTGTATAAGGTTTGTTTCCAAGTCGATACATACAACAGCCTCGCACCCTAGCGTGGAAAAGGTAATCCTAGAAATTACTGAGCATATGTTACAAAAGCACGAATTATGGCTCTACCTGATCGACCCTCTCAGAATCCACAGCGTTTATGGCAATCAGGCTTTGCAAAGTGTTGTAAGATTTGACAGCGAGGGGATGAAGGTCGAGTAGCACAGTTTCCTTCCTCATAGGAGGCAATGTCACTTCATGTTCGACATCGGAAATTCTGCCGGTGGAAAGTAAATGATAATGCAAGCGCTGGGTCAGTGGACCCACCGATGTCGAACCATCGCCATCTGCATGACTTGTTCCAGGACTTGAATTGGACCAGCTCGTGGGCCGTTGATGTCGAACAAGGGTGCGATGACGTGAGTTGTAAAGAGTTTTGGGGTCGTGGCAAATTGCGGAACAGAAAGGAAGTGACTGATCATGGTTGCGAGTTTATGCAGGTCTTGCCGGTCCTCTAAGGTCCAACGCCTGGACGTGTTGTCTGCCCCGACATTGACGTCATCGTGTCCTTCATGCTCGTCTTCAAGACCATCCAAAGCTTCGGTAGGCACGAGCAGAGAGTCATCATGGTCAGTTACCGTGTCTCTGTTTTGTGAAATGGAGCCGAAGCTGAAACCGAGCATATTGGTGGTTGGGGTTCCGGTAACAATCCAGCGCCGCTCGACGCTCAGCAATTTAGCAAACGGGGTGAGAGTCGTTGCCACGGTTGCGGAAACATGCCCTTCGTCTATGACAAGACGCTTCCAGCGCACCCTCAGAAGAGACGATACGTCCGTGCGGATCTCGTCACACTGGCACCGAGGTACGCGAGTGCCTGGGAACGGGAGGCAGGTGCAGCTGTTCCAGTCATGTAACGACGTGATATTGGTTTTCTTTCCCTCAGAGGAGAATACTATGAGATTTTTAGCTCCCTCCTGAAAAATGAGAGCAGCAATCAGACGCACCTGGAACAGACATCAAGACAAGCTGAACTAGAGAGGTCAGATGGTGGTACGAGCAGACACTACTACTCACATCGAAATTGGACGCGAGCTCACTTGGACGCGGGAGATCCGCGTCCTTGTTCACTGTGAGGACTCGGAGGCCGTCCTCGCAATGTTTCTGTATCTCCCTTTGCCACTGAGCGACCAGGTTGGGAGGGACAATCACGAGCGTGGCAGATGTTATGTGCATGGTCCTTGGACCAGCACCACTCGTCTTGCGCCTTGAGGAGTCCTGCTCCAGACCGTCAACAATGAAATGGTGATAAAACGGCACATTCCCTGTAAGCATCGGCAGAAGGTTCGTGCGTGCTAATTGGTCCTCAAATTGTCGAAGGCCTGATTTTGCTGGGTGCAATCTTGACCAGTGTAGCGACATCTCAACAAGTGTAGGCACGCCTCCGACAGGCGGTGCGATCGTTCGGCCTCCTCGCGATGCCCTCTTGCGTGCAGCTTTTGCCTCCGTGGTGGAGAAAACTCTCATACTAATGGGCGTCAGTACCGGTCGGGTGTCCAAGATGGACTCTTCAGGTGCAGGTAGTTCGTCCAGCGTAGCCATTATCAGGGACAGAATCATGACTGTCTTGCCCGTACCTTACGAGCGCCATATATCAATGACACGATCATAGCATGAAAGAAAACGGATACCGAGTTCTTCACAGAGAATGCCTCCGCGGCTGGACGTTACAACTGGCCTCTCTCGAACGACTTCGCCGGTAGCTGGCTGAAAGTGGAGCGGTTCACCGTCCATGCTATGCAGAGTAATGTACAGCGGATCGGGGCATGTTCCCGAGCATGTTTCCTTGCATATCATTGCAACGACAGAACGTCGTTGATAGTCGTGGAGGCTGCTGCGCAGTCCCGGGAGCGAGTCGGCCGCACAAACTTGGCGAGCACTATCCGGAACTCCGGGGTCAGTGAGGTCGACTTGAGGCGAGGGTAGGTCGCCGTATATCTCTGCCATGGTTCGTGGATCCTGGAAGGATTATCAGACGACGAATATCTCGTTAGACCACGGTAATTAGTCACCAGTTTATTCGGCAGAAATGCCTTTTGCACAGATCCAGACACGTCGTACTCGAGGCCATCCCAGAGCGCATGATTTTGTACGATGAGGGGCAAGATGCGTTTTAAGTATTTTCGCGCAGGGGTGAGTATATGCTCGCCCCGTCTCCGCAGTTTGCCCTGCACACCCCCGAGGTCGTGAGGTATGAGGTATACACGAATATACACTCTGGTCTTGCACGGAGATAAGCACCACGAAAGCGCGATAAAACGTTCTCGAAGGAGGAAGTTGAGCTCGCGAAGGGTCACATCATCCTCCGCGGTGGTGATCAAAGGCAGAATTGTAGTGTGGTCGAAACCATGCCAATGATCTTCAGCATGCCAGTGGCTGCATATGCAGTGGGCAGACTCTTGTAATGCAACGCCAAACTTCAGAACTCCGGCAGCGAAGAAGTTTCGTACGGAATACGCCGTATTCTCTGGAGGAGTCACAGGGGGTGGCGAAGTGACGCAAGCCGAACAACACGTCTTGCATGCAGTTGGCTGCATAGCAGTTTTGTCGCTCTTAGTGGCTGGTTCGTTCGCAAATGCCGAGGGAGTAAAGGAAAAGACAGCTGTTGGGCTCCGGACTCGGGAGGGAGTCAGCGAAAGCGGGCGCAGCTCGCGATTCACGACGTTAAAGTCGTGTGAGAAACGCCTACCGGCCCTCCGCTGGACTTACTGAGCTTGAGCTTGCTCTTCGAAGCAAATGTCGATGACCTTGCGCCAACCTTTGGCCCTGCACCAGCAGCATCTATGCTTAGCTCGCGTGTATAACCTCTCATCTGCGAACGCATTCGTGCGGTTCAAGTCCTCAAAATCGAAGGCTTCGAAGGCGTCCTCATCACCTCCGGCAGCCAAGTCACCTCCGCCTTCACCTGCTCCTGCTCCTACACCAGCACCTACACCATCGGCCACAGCAGCTTCTAGCACAACTTCCGAGTCTTCAGAGAGCTTGACATGGCCGGAATACTTGCGAATTCGGGCGAACAAGCGCAAGTGGGAAATGGCTACGACTATACCCTCTACATTGTTCGCATTTGCCGGTGCATTGGGCTATTTCGGCAACTTGGAGACGGACCCAACGAAACCCATCTTTGTCAGTCTATCACCGAGCGTGAGGTCGCGCATATTCTTGCTAACCGTGTTGGTGTACTGCATTTAGGGCATTGACCCAATGTTTTTCTACGGGTTCTCCTCCGTTGGCATAGGCGGTACGTCTGCTCCTTGCATCCATCCAACAACTCCACGCTCGAGATTGTGACCATGCCTAACCGAATTTTCTCCGTTAAACAGGCCTCGGGTATCTCGTTGGACCGTCAATTGGCTCGACTTGCTGGCGATTGACACACAGACGCATCATGCCCCTGTACGAAGCTCGTGACAAGGAGTTCTACCGCCATCTCGTGAATAACCGCGTAGACCCATCAGCGCAGAGCACCAGCAATCCTGTGCCGGATTATTACGGTGCGCTGCGCCTCTTTGACCATCTCGCTATTTCCGGAAAAAACTGACAAACAACGACCCACGCAGGAGAAAAGATTGGCTCGCTTCAAGGGTACAGGCAGGTATGGTCGCCCACAATTTCAAGCTGGAATTATCCCTCATTTGGTGATCGTGATGCGCAGTGGCTACGTGATCAGGCGAGGTACAGACGGAAGGCGCGCTGGCTGGATGAGAAGGACCTTGCTGCGTGAACTTTGCCGATACATATCTCAACACATAATAATTGCATTCAGCCCATCAGCTACCATTGGCAAATGCTTTGTCCACAAGAGCGTGATTGAGAGCATGTGATGCCCGTTCATCAAGCATAGTAATGTTCGCCGGGCCATACGAATGGATTTGAGCGTCATGGAGCGCATTATACTTTACCGCTGTCCGTCAACCAGCAAGAAAAGCGACTGGGCGTGCTGTTGCAGCGCGCGGCGAGAGCACTCTCTCATCTTGTCTGGAAGGGTCGGGAAAGCCGAGATCTCCTTATCGGGACAGATTCTTACGCAAAACTCTCGCGGCATGGATTGGCCGGCGTCTCTGCCTTGTCTCTGCGGCAGCGTGAGGCATCCCTCTGGCCACGCCCTCTCGCCGTTTCTCGCTCGTTTCCCATTTTTTACCGTCGAGCGCTCACCACGGGTCCACAAGCGGCCATCTGCTTAGGCCACAGCAACGCTGTTCAGTCATTAGATCAGCCACGCAACTTTTCAACTTTTCAACTTCATCGCTCTCCAAGTTCCTTTGACCCCGTACTCTCTTTCCACCCTAATATCCACCCTCCTACACGCCAGCTCCGCAAGTCAGACCGGACAGCTCGCATGGCCCAGTGTACGCCGACGCCCACTGCTACCCAGTTTACAACTGTTACCACCGACTCCGTCTCGACATCCTTCTCGAGCAGCCTCACCACTCTTGCCGACTCCGTATCGACTATCGTCTCTACGACATGCCTCGATGCGAGCCAGGGCGGTAACGGCACTTGCGCAACCGAGAGTACAGTCACGTCGCTCAGCACCATCGCCGGCGGTGTTAGCACAGTGCAAGTTCCCATCCCGATCACAGTACCAGTGACGAACGTACAGCCCACCGCAACCCTATTTGCCCCCTGTTCCTCCAACGGCGGGAACTCGCAACAGTCCTCGTCAGGCCAAGGACAGGCGTCGCAGCAATCGCAGCAAAGCTCCCAGTCTGCCGCCCAGTCCAGTCCGAGCCCTGGGCAAAGCTCCGGCAGCTCAGGGTCCACGAGCGGTAGATCCAGCGCCAGCATCACAGGACCTATAACTTCCGCTCTCACTATTACGAGCACTCCACCGCCAACGACGATCACTACGAGCTCTTCGTCGACACTTGCAGATGGAGAGGTGACTGTGGTCGTCATCACGTTAACCAGCACGACCGGTACTCCGTCGGCAGTCGTGGTTAACACTGTCGTCCCGGATACCGATAGCGGATCTGGCCATCACGGGAGTAGTAGCACCAAACACGTTGGGACTATTGTCGGAGCGTCGATTGGCGGCATTCTTGGGCTTTGCGCTCTCCTCGGGGCCCTGTTCTTGTGCTGGTATGCCACTGTGTCTTTTTCCGATGTATACATTCCTGAATGGGCACGCACAGGCGAATCTACAAGCGTCGACGCCTGGAGTTGGAGATGGACGCTATCCTTGGCGAAAAGTCGAGCACTCCTCGGGGCTTCAGTCCTCCGCCCCCTGTGCCGATCAAGCACGTCAAAGGTCGCAAATCGAAGCACCGTTTCCTGGATGAGGAAGTACAGAGCGATCAGCCGAAGCCTTACCAGTACGGGCTGGTGGGGCAAACGCATGCACCTACGTTGACCAGCGCATCTCCGTCCATGACGACTGGTACTGTTTCGCCGTCCGTGACGGGACATGAATCGGTTCAAGCTCACAGTCCCACTCCCTTCCCAACTGGTCCTGGCTCCTCCGCTCATGGACATGAACCCTATTCACCACCCATGTCCCGTCGCACATCATCCAATGTTGGTCGCACTCTATCACCCCCTCCTCAGGACGTGGATCCTGTCACGTCTCGGACGCCGAGACTGTCGCTCCGGCTCGCGAACTGGATCGAAGAGACCGATGGCTTGGGTGCCGGGCTTGGTCTAGCTGCCGCGGACTTCCAGCCTCACGCTTTCAATGCGCAGAGTGGATCACCGACATCGTCTGGTAGCCAAGGCCCTCGCCTTTTCGCTGTGAATGCGGAGAGAGACTCAGAGGATGTCGCCAGCCCGATCGCGCCCGCGCAGACGAAGGCAGGTGAAGTTGCCGCTTTCAGGAGCCGAGTCGGCCCAGACGGCGTGATCGTGCACAAGGATGGCGGACGGGTTGAGGAGGGTTCAGCTGGGCCGTTGCCGCCTGCGTACAGTCCGCACTAAAATGTGCCCCAGACCCACAATTTGATGAACTCTGGTTCGCTAATGATGATGGCCGATCGCGGTGATGTCCTGATGAAACTCATGCATGACCCAATCTCGCGAAACAAACGGACTCCTTGGATAACGGACCATGTTCGCATGCTTCACCACCACTTCAACCTCCCCCTTTTTTCAATCTGGTTCTGTGACTTGTGACCTTTTTAATCTTGTTTTCACCGTGCATCTTCGTTGTGCCGTCCTCTGTCATATAGATACGCTCTTTCCTCTCTTTGGGTATACTCTATAATTGCTTTACGTTGGTTAGGCGCCATTCAATCTCCGGAACAACGATCAAAGCATGCATCTGTACAATCGCGTAGCATTCCTGTTAGATCTTTCATTACTTGGACCCAAAATCAGATCTGTCCGCAACAGATTAGTCTCGGCTGCTTATATGTTTCCAGCATGGTCCCCACAGCAAGGTTCATTATCTGGAAAGATGATTATCTTCGCAAGCCTGCGAACTGCTACATATGATACACGAGAGTCGCGGTTATCGCTACAGTGTCCACAGCTATTAACGAGCAATGCTACGGTAGGAGTTCGTCGTGAAAGGGGCGTTTTACAGGTGTCTTATGGCATGCGACGGGCTGACCATCTCAGATGGCAGTGGGACTTGAGTGGAAGGTGGGGATAGGAGTCACGGCACGAGAGGGTGGTTGACTGTAGTGGGAAGAGCCTGCGCTGCTCGAGCTGCCCGAACGCGAGTGGGAGCGCGAGCCGGGCTTGGAACGCGGGGGCGCGTAAACCTCCTCGTCGCCACTGCCGCCGTCGGATCGGTGTGCACTGTGGTTGCTTGAAGGACGGGCGGCGTAACGCGGCAGGCTTTCAAGGGGTTTGGAGATGAGGAATCCCTTCAGTCCTGCGGCCTTCTCGCCCTGGCGTCCGAAACCATAGCCTTCGCCGCGGCTGTTGCTCCTCTCGAAGATGGGCGGGTCCGAGGGTGCAAGGGTCTTCTCGCTAAAGACGGAGTGGACGAAAGAAGGCGAGTTCTGGAACTGCGGGCGCTGGTCGAGGCTCGTCGGGAGCACACTCTTCTTCTCGCCCTTCCATACCCGGATGGAGCGCTTTTCCTTGGCCTTCTCGCGGAAGATGAGACCGAGGAACATGTTAAGGCAGCCGACGGAGAAGAGGAAGAAGGCGGCGACGAGCGTGAAGTCGTCGACGTGGTGGGAGAGGATCGTGGCGCCGATGAGGCCCTGGAAGATGCCGAGAGCGCCGAGGCCGAAGGCGGGGCCGAGCACCGGGAAGTAGGAGATGAAGAATGTCTGCATGAAAGCGGGAGGGAGCTCAGCGAGGAGGAGGGTGATGACCTCGAGGATAATGAGTAGCCGGTTGAGAATTGCCCAGAAGACGCCTGCTGCTTGGTTAGGAACCGTGCTGTTCCTGCACAATACTCATTAGTTACTGACAATAAAAGGTCGTTGATGAAGAGATTTACTCAATGTAGTCACAATTGACCATGGTGGCGTTGCCGTCCTGCTTGGCGGCCATGAAGTGGTTCACGGCACGAATGTCGTTGACCATGACGAAGATACTGCTCGAGAAGACGAGTAAGAGGGCAACAACGCTGATGAAGCGAACGGCGTTGAGGCCCATGAAGATCCCTGATACGCGTGTGGGTAAGCCTATGACCTTGTCCGACCCATCCGTGCGCACTCACAAGCACGAGGGGGCAACATGATTGCGTATAGAGTATTGATGTTGACGAAAGTCGGGTGTGATGCGCGTAAAGGACGGTCGGCAGATGCGACGAATCAGAAGGTCGTTGTCGACAACGTATAGGAGGCGTCCGGCACCAAGCAGAAGCGTAGAGACTGAGAGACGAGAGGAAGAGTCTAGTCGCGGTCACCAAACGGGGAGTACGGAAGCATCAAGCCACCCAAAGCGAACTTTATACATGGCGTACTGTACATGAGAGAGTACATAATGGCCTAGGATTGTTATTGTTCAGTGCACAGAGAGAAGGCGGGACAAAGTACCACTCACCTTATTGTCCCAGAAAGGAAGTGGGAAGGAGGGAACAATGGTCAGTCCACTGTCGCCACTTCCATATTACGCTCATTGGCAACGTTGTCGTAAGGTACAACACTGGTTACAACCGCAATCATCATAGAGCTCCGTGGAGATATCGTGGACTGGGATGACTCGCAGGACAACCCTGATTCAAGTTGTGGTCGTAGGCTGTCGTCGGTAATTTCCATTCCTGGCCACAATGGCACGCGTCACGTGGTGGTCGACGCCCCTGCCAGGTCGATATCTTCGATTCCGACAGCAGGTCTTCACTCTGGACAAACAGTGCCGTACATGGCGCGCACGGACATATACTTCGCCCCTAGAACTGAACGATTGTGAACTCCCTGGTCTGGACGCCCTCTGCCTCAGCAACTGCTCATGACAAACCACAATCTCCTGTGCAATTACGCGTCAGCAGGAACTCTCGAAGGAGGTTCTACGTAACAAAGTCGTCTGTATACATACACATAAGCCATGGCGACGCGCGCCCCATCTCAGCACACTCAGTACAGCCGAAGGAGGTCCAATACGGCCACCTCCATGATCAGGACGCCTGCCACACCGGCCAAAGTTGGAGACGCGAAGAACTTCACGGCCTGGGTGCATGAACCGAAAGAGAATATCAACGTGGCACTGAATTGTTCGCATTGGCCCGGAGTCAGCGAAGGAGATGTATTCCGCGTCACCCACGCGGACGGCAAGGACGCAAGAGGGTTTTTGTTCGTTCTTCTGAGGGATGACGGCGTAGCGAAACCGCAACTTCAGGTGAGTCATTCTTCTCAAGAACGGACAAGCGTGTGAATGATGGAATCAGTTCTCAATTCCTAGACCTGTTGCCGAAGCTTTCGGAGTGCGGAATAACGCAGAAGTTACGATCACCAGGGTATGTTGTCCGTTCTGGGACATGGCTTGGGCGATGCTGAGATCGATACAGGTTGACAAGGAGGCATGGTCAATCGACTACGTTGAATTCCGCTTCCAGGATCAGTATCTCGGTCGCAATGATATGTGGAGACTTGGCGAGTCGCTTGTTGGGCATGCCGTATACGTCGGTCAAGAAATATCGTTCCTGGGATCTATTGCGGCTAAGATCCAAGCGCTCTACGTGAACGGGAGTAAAGTTCGCTAATCTGTCGATCTCGTATGCGCTCTTGTTCGTGCTCATTTCTAGTTTCGTAGGCTGCTGCAGGAATCATTACCACCACGACAAAATCGGTGCATAGGTCTCTGTCTGCTAAAGTCACGATTTATATACAGGTTTGCAAGGAACTTTGGGAGTTCGACAACGCCGGGGAACGTTACAATGAACGCATAGTGCATTCGTTTCTCCCGGCCCTATTCGAGAAATGGCGCGATGCTGGCACCAATCATATCGTCACCATCGTGTTGGTATCTCGGGTATACTATGACCAATCCGAGATCGAGTACGCCGCAGGACCACTGCGCCAGGACGAGGACCGGAACTGGTATAAAGATTTCTACAAGGTGATCACGGATTTGGAAGTGTTGACGGAGTGGAGGAGCACGCTGGTCAGCTTGAAAGATTCATTCTGGGCGTTTCAAAGGGACATCCTCCTCACGCATCATTATCACCGTGCTGCTATGGACTCCTCTGTAACAGGTCTTTCCGAGCAGGTTCGACTAGTGGGGAGGCTTTCGTATGCCCACGACGGCCCTATCTTGGAAGCCATTAATATGGGGCTCAAGTCATCGGAGTTACATTATATCGACCGCTCTCTATCTTTGACCGGCTCGGCGACAATAATCATCACGCCGGGGACGGGGTACTTTCGTGTCAACAAACAGCTCCTCCGTTTGACCACCACACGACTTTTGGATCAAGGCTTCGGCGTGGACTTGGTCTCGCTTACGAAGCCCCCGCTGCACCAAAGTCCCATTTTCTCCTTCAGAGGCTTGGAGCCTGAACTGCTCAGGAAGGATAGGGATGGGAAGACTGGATCGAGGGCCATGGACTCACTATGGGGCGGAGATGATGGCCCAAGCGATTGGCAGGGGCGCGAACGGACGACGTTTTGGTGGGAGCCTTTCTGGATGTCAGCGTCGTTCTGGGATAGACAAATGGATCAGCCCTTCCGACAGGACAGGTGATTCGTCATTAAGTCTTGTTATGCGATACTGACGTCTCCGACTTAGGTTCGTGGCCAGAGCCAAAATGCACGAGATGCAGATGATGGGACTCTTGGACCACGATGTTCTCTCGAGCATTGAGATACCCTTCCTGAGCGATCAAGAGTCTCCATTCCGCCGGCAAGATCTTCCGCTCACAAAGGCAGAGACCGATGAGTTTGACACGGCGATCTTCGAGTACAAAGCACTCAGTGGCAGAAATCGCAATTCGCTCGCTTCATCGGGCAATAGCACAGTTCTTGCCAGTTCCTGGAAAAACGAAAGGCGTATCAGTACTATATCGACCCTGTCGCATCGGTCGTCCATCAAATCCACGAAATTTGCTCCCATCGAAGAGAGTCCGCGGATACCACTGGAGGAGCTACCTGACGAAGGCCAGGAAAGCAAGGAGAAGATGCTATCCCCAGCCCTCTCGAATCTTGCGTTAAGCGCATCACCTTCTCAATCTTCTATACGCTCGAATCTTTCCGGTCGCTCCTCAGCTACAACGAGGTCAAACGGTGGTAAAAGCCAACCTTCTGGCTCACAGAGCTATCTCAAGCCCTCGTGGCTGTTCAACGCGTTCAAATCCACTCCAAGCCAAGCTCAGACCACTGCCGCGGTTGCTCATGCTGAGTCTAGCTCCAGCGTGAAAGCGTCCCGTGCCACCATCTCCAAGGCTTCAGCCTCCGGTCATCACTCAAGCCGGCGCACATTGAAGACATCACAGTCCAAGAACACCGACTCTAAACCGGTTAGCATACAACGCAGTGGATCTGCGCGATCGGTCTTGAGCCGCAGAATGGAAGAGGAAGGCCACGCTCAACGCACCATCACGCCCTTAGGAACCCCTCCGCGCGACGAAGTTTCATTCGGGAAAAGAAGAAGTACCCTGAGTTCAATCACTGTCCCGCTAAGCATGTCATCCCCTGCCATACGGATCAATCCTTCTCGTGCCGATGTTCCCCTGTCCTACCACGTATACGCGCTGGCGAGGAGATGGGAGCACATGTCCCCGCAGCCATGGTTCAAACATGAGATCAAGTGGAAGTCGATGACTACCCCTGGATGTCTTCCGTTGACCGTCGAACACTTCCCCACGACATCGGAGTTGGACTCTTCCTACGATGTGGCTTCGTACGACTTTGTCGTAGACCCGCCTGATATGCGGTCTTTTCTCGTCAAACCTCCGACAGTCACGGGCCCGGATATCCGTCACGCATGGGCGATGGCCATAATGCGCGGGATGGCTGCGTTTAGGTTATCGCAGGGTTTCCAGTTCGTCTTGGGTTCCAAGAAGAGTGCTGAGAAACTGGAGAAAAATGCTCTGCGACGCACCACGTCGTTTGTGGGCGAGGACGAGATGACCCCCAAACCTTCGGGAGCAGCGGAGGTTTTGCGCTCCTCCGAACCGATATACCTCAGCATGAGCAACGAAATACACAGGATATCGTATGCCACGGAGACGATCCAGGTTCGGCGATACGTTCGTCGACTGCCACCCTCGCCACCGTTCGAATATCAGTGCCTTATCTGGCCCAAGCTTGGGGTAGGTTACACGGAGTGGAAGACGTCCTTCGCCTCACATGGACTCGAAAACTATGGATGGAATAGGTCAGTCTGCTTGATATATGTTGACTTCGCGTAGCTAACACCTTACTGGGTAGGCTTGACATGTTAGTTGCTGGTTATGAACCCCAGTTTCACGAATCCCTTCGCTATTGGCGTACCCGTTTCGTGGTGATTCCTACCGCGGAACCCCCTTCCATTACCACGGGCCCTTCTGGAGAGAAGCTCAACGAGGAGGAAGTCCGACTTCTGGGGATGGACAAGCTAGCTGATATCTTCACTCGACTTCGCTGGCGAGCGCCAGGAGACGATTCTAATGCCCCTCCAGTTCGTTTCCTGCCAACGGACTTGAATCCAGCGGCTTCCGTACTCGACGAGAACCTAATGGCACAGCTGGATCACATACATGCCTCGGGCCCGTTAAAGAAAAAGACCCACAGCCATAGGGACATCAGCGACATGACTTTATCGTCCATCGCCAAGGCGATGCGTGAAGAAGACGGGGTCCAGATCAAGGATTATCGCTGGCATTCAAACGTCTACAAGGAATCATTCACCGGTTGGGACTTCGTCTCATGGTTGGTGCGCGAGTTTAGAGACGTGTCGACCAGGGAGCAAGGTGCGGAATGGGGCGTCAAACTGATGCAGCAGGGCTTGTTCGACCACTGCAGAGGTAAACACGGATTTTTGGATGGGTGCGTCTCTCACGTCCTCTCCTGTACCTGAGCCTGACGGTTTCCTTTACAGGCATTATTACTACCGTCTCGTTGGGGAATACGCCGTTCCGTCGACTCCTAAAACAGGCTGGTTCCGTTCACGGCATCCCGAGGATTCCAACGTTCGGTCTGGGCATTACCCCTCGGGCGTCGCGAATCCCCGCGCCCAGAAAAAGAAACGTCTTATTCTCAGCCAAAGCATGGTGATCGACATTGACCCCAACAAGGTACGCTGGCCCCTCTCCAAAAGGCGTAGCTGAACGCTGTCCTGCAGAAAAGTGATCAGGCCGAGACCGTCATCCTGCACCACGATATCATGCACAACCCTGCAACGGTGTTCCATTTCGAATTACACTGGATAGGAACCACGCCTCGTCTGATAGAGGATCAAGTCCGGTCCTGGAACAGGGTGATCGAACGCTATGGGTTGAGGCTGGTCGAGGCGTACGTCACGCAGATATACGACGTTCGGGAAAGGAACGCGTTTCAGTCATGCTTTCCGGTCAGGTTGGCGGTCCAGGCGCCGGTCGTGCCAGACCTGGACAAAAGGGTACCAGAAGGTACCCAAACGGCGCATTACTTCGAATACGCTCTCCTCCGCCAGTTTGGGTTCATCCTCGACATCGAAGCTGCGGACCTCTACCCCGAGCATATCGACGCGATCTATTCGTATAGGCGAGAACCGTTCAAGTATTCGCAGTTCGTACATCGGTCTGGGGTTGCATTCGTGCAGGTCGTGGGCGGTACCCAAGGCTTCCTATTCTTGACGAACAGGCTCATGGGTCCCACCCGCATGGGCACTTCGATGAAAGGCATCAACCAGAAGGAGCAACGGCCGGCCGAAGCGGCAGAGGAAATCCGGATAAAGTTGGCCGAATTCTGTTCCGACCGTGAAGCTTTACTGGAATTCTACGACAAGGAGTTGGCACAGCTTGGTCACGCCCGACCTGCGCAAGAGGATCCGCCTCCCCTCAACATTTGAATATTCTGTGGCGCAGACTGCTTGCTCTCTCCGGCGATCCCCTTTCTGGATTCTCCTTTTCGCGGACCACGGGCCATAGCGAGACCCGCCGAGACCATCCCACCGGTGTGGGATGACTGCGTACCGGCGTAGAAACACGACAACCGTACCTATGCTCGCCTACCGTTTCGGTTTCACCGTGCGCGGTTTTGCGGGGATGCTTTTGATAGAAGTAGTTTGTCCGGATTTGTGACTGGGTTATCGTGGTGTATGTACTCTAGCTCCTGGAGAATGGCGAACTTAGACCCTGTCCTGTCGTACGGAGATGTGAGAGTGGTAACTGGGAATGGGATCAATACATGAAAATGAATCAGCATCACGAGTGACGAGAACGTCGTGGTATCTGCAACAAATGCTTGCTCTGGCCGACATGAAGTACTGTGGAACTGCGCCGTCAAGAATCCAACAAACAGTTGGTTCGGAGGTTCGCGCTCCGGGTTGACTGCGTGACACGGGGGCGCTATATATCATTGTCAAGGCCGATGGAGGGCACGATATGCCATAAGGCATGTGCATTGCGATGGCGAACGGGAGATATGCCTATCTTTGGGAATTTCCACATCGGCGCTGGACACCGTCCGAAGCCGGTTCGCGGGTGCGTCGGTTTCAGTCCGATCGAGAGGCAGCGAGGATCGCCAGGGTTCCTGCCAGTTGCGCGGGAATAACGCCCGAAATGGCATAAGCGCTTCGATCGCACGATGCGCGAGGCGTCCGACGGCTTCGGAGAGTCCCGAGAGCCCCGTCCCCGTCCAGATCCTGATATGTATACCACAGAAGACGCGTCAAACCCGCGACAGCTCCCTTTCCGAGTACATAGTATCAGCAACAATCGTAGGCGTCCAAACGTACCAACCTTTTGACACGGCCGATGCGAACCCGACAGCAGCGGAGCAGGCCATCACCAACCAACTATCAGCCGAGTAAGCACAGAGATGTCGGGACTCCCTCGTTGCGCGCAGCTGGGTCACAGACGAAAGCAATAAACGTCGGGGTCGGGAATATACACTGTCCAAAATAAGCGATGCATCGCTTCCACTCTTCGCATCCACCTGAGGCTGTGCTGTGGCGATGCTGTCTCCTTGTTCGCATCACCCACCAAACGCATGAAGTCACGTCGAGGGAAGTGGGTGTTGTGCGGGGTGGTCACCGCAATGTCCGAAAGGGTGAAGTGGTGGATATCAGCTAGAAGACGTCCGTTGCATGATGCGGCGTCCTGTCTCGCTCCCGTATTTTCAGCATTAACGCCCGAGCGCCCGATATCGGGGACGCGATGCCAACAACAAACAGAAGCCGCGCCGAGTTGAGCACAGAACCGAGATTGATGAGCTGGGGCGCGGTTGCCTTGTAATCACCTTGTAATACAGTACCGTAATAATTCCCTTCGTCGTTAGAGTCGAGTTGGGATCATTCCCGCCCGCTGTACACTGGGAAAGCATGTGATCGCCGGAAAGCGAAACGGGAAGGGAAACGCGAGAAAACGGAGCTCGTGTTCGCCAGGCATCTTATGTTGCAGCCGGTGCGGCGATGGCGCTGGACGCACGGCCCGTGCATCCATATATTTCCTGTCGGTGACGACAGTCGGCACGCACGTCGGGAGGTCCGACTATTTTCGGCGAAAGTTAGCGTTCCGAGAGGACGCTACGGCAACGAATCAGCAGTTTCTTCGGTCCGAACGGTGGTTTTGCCGGCGGCGATGGACGGCGACAAGTTGACCAGGAGATGCACTGGGACGCCATTGTGCAGGCTCCTTAACCAGCCGCTCGTATCGCGTCGAACTCCCAAATCCTAGGGCGGTAGTCAATGTTGTAACAGAGTAATAGATCATGTGAACTCAGGGGTAAACAATCATGTGATCTTTCCTTTTATATCCTGGGCTTGGGGGAGTACGACGCGATAGAGCGGCTGGCGGATCATGTATTTCAAATTCTCGGCTTCGCTCGGCATACCCGCTCAAGAAACACGCCTATTCCGAAAGCGTGATCCGGCATAATACAAAGCACCGCCACAAGGACCCCGAGGCCCACCGTAGCCTAATTGCAAGAAGTTTCGACAGTTCAGGCCGGTCCAATGCATATTACAGTACAAATCACTCCCTTAGCAGAGTAAGCACCCTAAGTACGAGAGCAAGCGGCCTGAGCAAAAGTGAGGAGGGAAGCAGGAGGAAACAATTGTTAAAAAGAGACACAATGGTCGGACTCGAACGCGCGAGGCGGACTGCCACC